GAATCGCACCATTGAATTCGGGTCAATGTTATATGCATAGTCGGGTATTGTAAGAAAAAATATTAATTTGTTTCTTAAAAACAGTGATTTTCACACAATTAATACAAGATACAAAAATAAACTAACTTTACCTGCTACTAGACTTCACAGAATTAATAATTCATTTAAAGGTCTTTGTGTTCGCTTATACAATAAAGTCCCAAGCAATATCCAAGAGTTAGCCATAAATAAATTTAAAGATATTATAAAAAAAGCACTTATTAAAAAACCTTTTTACAAAGTGTCTGATTATATTACAGACAAAAATGCTTGGGTTTGAACTGTTCCAATCATTCCAACAGGTTTTCTATATTAAATAAATCATAATTGTATTGACGTTGTAATAACGTAATGATTTGTAAATGTTGTTACATTAGACTTTTAATGTTGTGGAGATTTTTTTCGCTCGTTTTTCTCCGCAGCTAATAAATATGTCCATAACGAGTAGCAGGGGAAAAAAAATTTGGACAATTCAAAAGAGTTGTACTATACATCCAATTTGAATAAAGGTATATTGATTTCTGATTTCTGATTGATAATTACAAAAACGTAACGTATTAACAGGTAAAAACGCCGAGTGCCGCACCCTTGTGCTGTGTCGCAAAACTCGCCAACCAACACGCAGTACGACGCACCCGATCCACACTGACCCCGAAACTTGCAACCACACCTATAGCTTGTGATCGTATTTTCTGTCGCCCTTTTGATTAATTAATCGCATTCATTTCATGTGGTCTGACTCTGCTCCAGTTTTGTACGGGACGAGCTGGTCCATGCGAGCGATGCGGCATGATCTTTATTGGAAAGTCCAACTTGTACTCCGCTTACCAAAATCACACAGACCATAAATTAGTATATATTTATGGAAGTAATAAGTTTCCATTCATTACTTTTTAGATTTTTGTATGTGAATAATCCTTATAAGTAAACATTTATAGAATTTTATTTTATGCTAAAGCAATTGATAGAGAAAACCGTTGGTCCCGGCTACATCTGCAGTCGTTAGCACCCACCAATCCACACTGGGCCCGCGTGGTGGGTCATGGCCCAATCTCCCTATTTCATCCATATTTAGGGCCTGTGCCCCACAAGTGGGGACATTAACAGCCCCATTTTATGTTAACCATTGAACCTGAACTCTATTCTCTCCACCCTCCAAAAGACAGCTAGTCTGACAGTTTTACCTGCCACTCCAAAACCAAGCACCAACCTTAGACTTCGGAGATATGAATAACAAAGTGCATTTTGTGGCATTAATTAAAAGTTGACACTGGGTGAAATAGGGTATGAAAGTTTGTATGGTAATACTTATATTATTTCCGCTGCGTCTTTAAGTTTCGAGTCAAATATAAGCTCCGTAATTAAAATAAAACATTTTTTTTAGTTTGTCAACGTCTGCATCGCTAATTCAACACGCTAACATTTTAAACTTTGAAGCGCAAAATATAGAAGCATGAATTCGTATTCCAATGCGCGTTAGTTTGAGATACATTAACAGTATTTAAGTTATCTCTCATTTACGGTAAATACTACATCACAGCTGGTTTAGCCAATATGTCGTACAGCTTTAATCATCTGATAACATTTATAACAGGTTATGGTAATCTTAACCCACTTATTTTTCACATAATTATTTCTCAACAATCTTTAGAAAGTAAAATGCAACGAATGCACACCACATAATTGTTATGTGACCCTTCGGACCAGTTTCACAGTCATCAAATTAAATCAACCGAGAAGCCATATAGCGTCAATTAAGTTGCGCAATCGCCCTGCAGCACGCGCACGCGGTGCAGCGTACATTTTGGAGAAATGCGGCCATTACGTAAACACGGCAACATCTTGTCGTATTGGTCTTAAGCCGATCATAAATACTGTTGTTATAAATACGTAAAGGTCAGTCGTATCTACTTACGTCGAATCACTTGCTTTAAGTCATGTTGGTAAAATAATTGTAATTAAAATTTGCTTAAAAGTTATATGCAGACCCCTGTTTTCCAGTGGGCACTTTGGGCAAGTGCGTAGGGCTCCGCGACCGATAGGGGGCCCCCTCAGATCAAATACAAAGTCCCTAGTTTCTGTTAGTTCATCAAACGGGGGTCACAGGGGCCCCATTATCCTAATATGCCCAAGGACTCCAATAGGTCAAAGACGGCACTGGTTATATGGAATTCGTATTGGTGGTATTGACCGGTATACAGACATTGAGAATATCAATCTTAAATAAGTACATTAGATATTTTGTTGGATTTTTAAAGAAACTACTATTTAGATTTCATCCCAATACACTCATAGATATTCACCGAAATAAAGTGTACCTTATCTTATGAATTAATACATAAGTGGAAAAGTTTATCCAATTCTGTTTGACAGTTAAAGCCTAAGTAAAAAAATTACAAAAGTTACAAATTTGCATTGTTTAATTTAACACGATGTTAAAATTTGGGAAGATTTTCTGACAAAGAGCAATTTTCAGTTAAACGCCATAAATACACGTGTCGTAATTATTTCCATAATATGCTTTTTGTTAATAATCAAATTTAGTAGTAATTAAAATACTTAAAAACTAAATTACTAATAAGTTGCAGGTGAAACTGAAGTGCCAAAAGTTTCACAACAAAGGTCATGTTTATCTGCAAATGCGTAAACGTTTAGGAAATCCGTGAAATCCGATGGAACAGCTGAATATAATTGTAATTAAATGCCGGTCCGAAGCAATACAAAACATCAGAGGATGTATCTAATTACAAATGATCATTATTGAATTGTGAGGAAATTAAGTTTCTTAACTCTGAGCGCATCACTTAGGAAATATTTGGTGGGAAATAATCTATTTTGTACTAACTCCTTCGAAGCTATTTATCATCATCAGCTTATTAATGTCCCCAATGCTGGGGCACAGACCTTCCCTATAGATGGAATAGGGAAATTGGGCCATGACCCACCACGTGGGCCCAGGGCCGATTGTTGGGTTCTAACGACTGCAGTTGACACCAGCGGCTTAACGTGCCTTCAGAAGCACGGAGGAGCTCGAGTTAGTAAATTTTTGTTCACCCATCCAATGACCGACCACTGCGAAAGTTGCTTAACTTCAACGTTCGCATCCGAATGTTGTTAGCCACTTAACTGAACTGAACAGTTTTTGGACCTTTTAATTTAGTCCAAATAGTGAAATACAGCCTCAATAAATAGCTTATGATCTTAAAGAAAGATATAAAAATTCTCCTTAACTAATGTTATAATTAATGTTAATCGAATAGTGATTATGTAAACGGAATTTTAATGACCTGCGCTGGGATCATGATATTGCAAATTTATTGCAATGACATATGACATAAGAGTCACTGCAAAATGAGAATAACCTGTGTTTTAATTTCTGTGCACATAGACACCTGTTTCAGCCCGTTCGTTGGATTAAAGCCAACAATGAAGAAACTTCTACAAAATTCTTTCTACGTAATCCTACTAATATTATAAATCTGAAAGTTTGTATGTTTGTACCTCAATCGCGCAAAATGGCTGAAATGGTTTGGACATTATCTGAACTGAGACATAAAATACTTTTTCCGAAAAACTGTTAGGTTCCTGTGATTTTCTGCAAAAACTAACTATAATGAAGAGAAATTGGCAAGCGGAAGTTAGTTTAAAATAAGAAACCCACACGTTTTACCAAAGTATAAAAAGAATCGGTAACTCCATACCATGCCCCTCTAGCATGACCAGCGAAACGGGATATGATAAAGCAATATATCTTCTTCTTTTTATTGGAAAATGGCGGTACACTTTTGTGGATTTCGCCAGACTCGAGTGATTCAGCTTGGTTGTTCAGTACGAATTGACATTGTTTTTTTTAAGTATGTTGTGAAAGCACAATATGTGAAAGAAGTAAAGAATGTACTTGAATTTTTATAATTGGATATCTGTTTTCTTATCTGAAAGGTAGAGACAAACACAATAAAAAGTCATAAAAAGCGATATATCGAAATTAAATGTCAGACTACTGTCATACTCCACTGTAGTCTGACAGTTAATGCCGATATATCGCTTTATCATATCCCTTTTCGGTGGTCATGCTAGATGAGGCTGAAGTTAAATCATAAAATAAATAAAATTTAATACTTAGTTTCGATTTATTTGATTAGAAGAACAAGAATGGTACTTCTCCCACGCAATATACCCACATCATAATATACACTAATTCAACTAGTTTTGTTACAAATATCGTGAGAGTGTTTATATTACATAGCAATACGTAGGACGGCATCCAGGCAACATTGTCGTTATTATGAATTAAATTTAAAATAACACACGGGCTCGAGGCTACAAATAGCGTACTTAAAACTAAGTTATTTAAATCAATGTTTGCGGAAAGACGCCGAGCGAAAAGTGTCATATAAATCATGTAAAATTAAAATTTACTCGCTTATAAAACCTGATAAAGACTTTGAAGACTGATTAAGTAAAATGTCTACTATTAGCGTACTGTCGTGGAAATTGTAGAATTACTAAGGCCCGTATTACAGAATGACAACCAAGTGTTGATCTTTACTTCAGTACAGTTAGAAAGGGATATCGCTATGTGCTATATATAGCGACATCCCTTTCTAACTATGCTCAAGACTAGATCAGTCACTGAGAATCTTTCTATAATACGGGCCTTAGTGTGGTAACTTGAAATACAAAATCATCAGTCCATCTACGAGGCTACTCGAACAGTTGTGAAGAGTCATCTCTTAAATGAATGAACTATTTTCAACTCTTTAACCAGTTGATTCACACCTCAAAGAAATCCTGAACTGGTGTAATGATACAAAAAACATACAAATAATTGTTAACTTATAATTAGTTTTTTTTAAGATTAAAGATTAGCCGGCTTTATCTTTAAGGTGTATGGCTTTATAAAGAATAAAAAAAAAGATTAAAGATTCATTTTAATAATGATTGATATCTGTTTGTTCCAGATGGCGGTTTCTACTGACGCTGCTGGTGTTAGGAGCAGCGTTGGCCTCAGAAGAAGAAGATAATATACCGGATGTTGGCGTAGAGGGCGACGAAGAGCTGGCACTAGACCAAGAGGTAACTAAACTACTAATACTTCACTAATACTATCATGTAACTAGTAGTCTCCGTGATCAATAGGTTCAATACCGGTAGTGATCACCGACTCGTCCGGGGCTCTCTGAATATCAATATTAAGGCCGAGCGCGTCCATTTGATGAAATCCAGGCTCCGACCTACTCTGCTCCAATCTATAACAGGATCTGAAACGTTCCAGTCAAATCTGGAGAACCGATTTGCTATAGCAAAACTAGAAACTCTACTTCGAGTTATGCGAGACGTTGCGGCTACTCGAGAATTTTAAGCGGTAAAATGACTACTTACATAAAGTAAAGTAAATATAGTGGGGTCAATTTATAGAAGGCATATAAAAGTGCAAAATAATACTGAAACGTTAGGTAATGGATCAGATATAAACTAAAATTCATTATGAATTTCATAAGGATGTAGAGTATATTATTGACAATCCCGCCGATTAAATTAATGTCAGGTAGAAAATAATTTATGAAACTTTTAGAAGAATCAATCAATTGATTAATCAAATTCATGTATATTATCTTAAAAACCTTATCAGTGTAAGCAATGAGCCGTTACAATCACAATATTTACTACTAATGTGTAAATCTGTACGATGCAATAATTATTTCTTTCTAACTCATCATTTGCTAATTGTGAATGTAACTGCCTAGTAGCAACGGAGTTATTACTTGCTCAGTTCATAGCAGAACGTGACAGACATGGACGTAGGTAGCTACTTTAATACGTCCATGGTGACAGGCAAGAAATCTACCTAATGCTTTACTTCACTGCTCTCATAAATAATTATGCCTTTATACGTATTATACAACTAACTATATTTTGTATTACATAATTAATAACCATGAAAATGCTTAGAGACGTTTTATCCATATTTGACACATTTGCGCTCTATGCTCGACGTCACAAACTTGGATTACTTATTAGGTCATCATTATATACAATTCTGCAAAAATCAGAAGAACTACCGGACTTGACACATACTCTGACGTATTAGCTTTACTGGACTAAATAACTTAGTAAAAGCAATTAAAGTAGGTACATACTTACCTATTATTTTCAAGGGATGCTATCTGAAAAAGTAATTTTGCTTAATCATGTCCGACTTATCTTAATGTGTCAATCTCTACTTAGGTGCACTTCAACATGTAACAAATGATTCCATTATTAAATGGAATAAGAATAAAACGACGGACGCAATAATAGCTGTCGGTTGTAACTTTGCTTTTATTTGTTTCGGAAATTGAAAGTAAATGTGCCTTTGGGTAACACAAAATACTTTCACTATTTCATAGATTTACACGGGATAATGGTTCAGCACAAGTAGTTGAATAAAAAGTGATGTGGCAATGTAATGTACGGTGCTAAAATAAGCACAAAAATAAAGATCGATTATTAAAATACATTTTTATTTAACACTAGCTGTGCCCCGCGGTTTATTAGGGATATTTTCCTGCAGTTAAACGTAGCCTATGTGTTAATCCAGGGTGTCAGCTAACTTCATTCCAAATTTTTTTTAAAATCGCTCCAGCCGTTTAGACGTGAAGAAGTAACAAACATACACACTCACAAACGTTTTTTTATATTTAGTTATGAATTTACGAATAATACATGGTAATAGTTTAAGCATTCAACTGCTAAATGTTAAAATCTAAAGAAAATTTTACTAGAAAAACGTCCAATCGGTCAAGGTTTCAGACGAGATTCGAACACGCATCTTTCGCTATTGATAAAGCAATTTTCAATCAAATATGCAAATTGGTTAACATTTACATCTTTTCCTGAAATTTACAACAGTTGATAAGCATTATATCGTGAAATAAAAAAAGCAAATGCATATTTAATACGTCCACAATAATAGTAGACAATTAAAGTGCGTGCGCTATATAGTTAGCGTGCTTGTTGTCTGTGGTCGGGTGTGATGGAAATGGCGCGATTTCCCGGCGACTCAGCCTTCACATAGATCGTGACCGTTTTCGAGAGCGCTCACGACGGACGGCCGATGCAATTTTTCTTTCCGTTTAGGTGTCAATGTCCGAGCAAGAGAGCAAGGCCATCAACAGTGAAAGTCGAAAGCAAATCATTACTTATATTTTAATCCTCTTTTTGTACGTGAGAAGCCTAAATCGATATTATAAACACTAGGTAATTTAGAGAGAAAGCCGTTAGTCTGTTTGGTTTCAAACATTTTGAGAGCTTAGTAAACAAACACTTCGTTTCTTAATTAGCTGCTGTAGATTTTAATTAATTCCAGAGAATCTCATCATTCATTTGATGGATTTATTCCGATAAGGCTCTATAAATTCCCGTTAGAGTCTGTGCGGAAAGAGAATGGGATTGAGATCGGAAGGCGCTGTAGTGCTTTTCTACAGTATTTGCAAGGTTTTACCCCTTTTAGACATGATTAATACAAAAAAACCGCAAGAAATCACAACAACAAACAAATCCGTATCAATACAAAACTTTGACGTTTTACAGATTGCTGGGTTTCATTGCCAAATAAAAATCTTAATATTAGTTACGTTTTTCGCCACGCCCATTCTCTTTCCGCACAGACTCTACTAGGCTGTCTCTAATAAGTTCATCTGCCTCATTGTACACTTTTGCTCTGAATACCTTTGAATTGAACTATAGAATAACAACATTGCTTAACGCAAATCCCTTGATTTGTTGGGTACATTCAAGAGCACCCTACGATACTTACAGCACCGTGATTGAAATATTTATGTACTACCTACTTCATCAGTTTAAAGAACTCTATATCTTATTATCAACAAGGTCTGGATGTGGATGAAGTGTGTGTGTAGCAAGAAATCGGATCGGGTCGAGTGGAGAGATCATGGAGAGACATATACCGGACAATGGGTGAAGTCTCATGAAGAAGAAAAAGAATAAGAAGATATCTTACTATACCATTGTCTGTAACTGGGTGACGGACGTCTCACCACACTTACACAGTTATTATGTCGATCCGAGTTCTTTAAGTAATGAACAAATAATATGAAATGTTGTAGTAGGCTTAGTAGATGTATAGCTTTTTATTATTACGAATGTACTTATTTCGTTTTTTTATGAATGTTACGAATAAATTAAAACCAAACGTTGCCATTAGTTGGTACTCATATTGGTAGGGTAGGCTATACAGGGCGTCCCACGGGTTTGTCACACGCAGAAAAAGTATATTAAATATTGAAGATAGGATTTTTTACTGAAATCAGACATCATTTTATTTTTAATAATAAATAGAACAGCTTTCACAGATTTATTTAAAATTACATGGTACTACGGGCGTTTTCATTGTGGACGTATTTTATGATACTGAGTTAATCATAAGGATTATTTTTTCATAAATAACATAGCATTTGACGACCTCCGTGGCCGAGTGGTTTGTACGCCGGGTTTCATGGTGTCGCCGACTCGAGAGGTCCCAGGTTGGAATCCCGGTGGGGGCAGATGTTTGTGTGATGAATACGAGCATTTGTACTCCAGTCATGGATGTTTAATATGTATTTCTATATAAATATGCTTATATATGTACAATATATGTATTCTATCCATTAACCTAGCATCCCATAACACAAGCCTTACAGTGCTTACTTTGGGCTAGGCTAATGGGTGTGAGTGTTGGAAATATTTATTTATTATTATTGTTTTAAATAAAAGGAAGATCATGAAAATATTTTTTTTTTTTTTTCAGGAAAATTTCCTCTTACTTTTCCGTGCTTCCAACAGCTACAAAGTATTTACTAACTACCTGCTCACTTAATACTACCCCGTGTCTTTACTTATCATTCGTCAGGGAAACATTAACAGCATGTAGTAAAGAAATGTCTACTTGAACAGCAGTTTAAGTTATGTAATTGCGCATAAACTACAACTTCTTTTTCGTTATTCAATTATTCATTAACAGGCATTACCTTACCCGGATCTAGCAATGACACATAATAATTGATCAATCAATGATATAATTCTATGAAATAATTGCATACGGTTGCGATGTTTGTCGTCTCGCACGAATGGGTTGCCGATTTTTACTATATACCAACTCAGCATTTCTTTTAAACGCGTGATTTTGGAATTGAATAGTGTAGCAACAAATTATACATAATTACGGAAATTATGTAACTTTTCCGACCGCACTCGAGTGTAGTTACTTATTTTTATTGTTGGTCACACCTGCAAAATCTTAATTATAAACCTACGCTGGAATGGCAAAATGAATATTAAAATTCTTATGTAATTACGTCTTTGTATCAATTCGTAGCAAATCATTATGATAGAAAGCGGTGTTGATGTTATTTATGGACATTACGTTTCGATACGGGAGGTGCAAAATTAAAACTGCGTAGGGCAGCGTATATAACGAAAATAACTGTATTGCAATAACAAAGATCGTATTTAGAATATGAGTGTATTCTAGTGTAATGAGACTTAATATTGATGGCATGTTATAATTTTTTTTTTTACTAACGAGTACATATATTCACGCACATATGTCTAACAATAGTTACAAAGTTAAATTTAGAAACGTGATTTAAGGGGTCTTAATATATGGTGTTCGTGGTCTGTTAATTTATATGTATGTTCAAGGAATATATTGATCACTCAATGTTGAGGAAACATAATAATTTCGATGAAACGATTGCTCTATCAAAATTATAAACATACTTTTTTAAATGCAAATACGCATTTTGCCTAATCCAACCTATCCATGGTCTCATTTTATATATTTCAGGAACGTTTTCTCGACTCCTGACTTCTTTTTTAGGGTTTCGTTGTCCTGACAAGAAGCCCTTATAGCTTCCTCACGTCCGTCTGTCTGTCCGTCCCCGCTTTTGCTTTAAGACTGTTAGCACTAGAGAGCTGTAATTCTATAGGAGATATGTATACCAATCATGCCGACAAAATGGTATTTTTTTTTTAGGGTAGCCCCCCTACTTGTAAACTGGAGATGATTTTATTTTTTCATCGTCTACCCCATCGTATGGAGTATTGAGAATAGGTCCTTTAAAATTATTTAAGGGTTCTTTAGCCTATCTTAGGGATTCGTCCGAAATATTGAACTTTAAAGTGCTAATTTTTGTTAGAGTAATACATCCCCCTGTCCCCCCTCTTAAAGCTAAAAACTATTGGCTTGAAAAATCTAGAAAAAATCATGATAATAGAGCTTTTCATGAACTTTTAAGATTGATTTCGTTTAAATTAAATGTATGGAAGTTACAAAATGTTGTGTGATATGGATGTTAACTAAAGTCTCGAACTGGCTCACCATGGTTCACGAGGATCGATCGGAATCTTTCAAATTTCATTTACCTCGAATACCACGGCTCGCGAGCAGATAGTCCGAGCGTCCATGCTTAGTCGGTCCTGGACGCGGCTATTCATTTGCAATCATTTCGCAACATCGCAATGTCTTGATCGTCGTCTATTTTGCGACCGTGGAGCCTGTAATTGGTCCGAAACGTCAAGCAAATATATAAAAATTAAATACATCACGCTTTATAGAGAACATCGTAGCGTACCTTTGAATAAAGACCAAGTTCTCCCTGAGAGTCGCACAGTTAGAGTCCCGTCACAATGTGAATTTTAAATCCTTCGTGATGAGGGTGCCAACCGAATATCTGGCGCTTTCATGAAGAAATATCTTTGGCCGAAAGGTGTTGTGTTCCGGCGGTGTCGAGACCGTTTACCTGACACTACTCCGCGTCACACGTCGCCGTCTATACGTGTTGATTAGGTGCTTACCAACATATTTATTAATTTTATTTACTAACAATAATGTTTTATATCTGTATATATGTTAGACTATAAAGTATTTATCTATGGGCCTACGTAGCCTGATTTATAAATAAATAAATTAAAAAAAGAAACCCCTCAAAAAGTATTTAATGTACCAAATAGTCATTACGTGCATTTTTTACCTCTTTCACAGGAAACGCGCAACCTCCGACCCCGTGCTTACACTCCATCGGCATACAACGCGCTACCGAGTGGGTTCCGGCCTACCCCCTCGCTGGCAGAGCTGGCGGGCTACCAGCAGCGCCCCCAGCAAGAGGAGCAACAGTTCCTAGTGCCCGCCAGGCCCACGCAGCAAGTTTACATTGAAGAACAACGGGCGCCTGCAAGAACGCCTCACAGAAAGGTACAAACCTCGTGGTGAATTTAGTTTTTTTTTTATTTTGTAGGCAGTATATTATTTAAGTAGTTAATTATTTTCAAGTTTTTAGACACTTATAAGTTTTAAGCTTTTTTAATTTAAATATTAATATGTAAATATAATAAATAGATAGAAAGCAGTAAATATGTATTATTAATTCCATTGTCTAAATAAGGTCCAATTTGCTTAGCAAATAATTTACATTTCTAACTGTATACATTTCGGATAGTAACGGGAAGTTATTTTAAGATAGGTACCGACATGCAGCGAAAGTGATCTAGGCTGCCTAGCAAATACTTTCTAAAAAGACATATACTATAGTATACATTACATATTTATTTTACGAAAGCTCGTTTAAACATCATAATTTACCTATTATCGTTCTTATTGATTGGTATGCATTAATTTATTCGATGATGATATACACAGTCAGGTCATAAGTATTGTCACACAGTAAAAACTTTTCTTTTAGAATGCTGGCCACAAAGAAGTTTATTGAATTCGAATTTCGAATTGTTCATGAAAATAAAAATGTATACTTTTTAGAATTTTACTCATTTTTAAATATGGAGTGGACGCTTAAAGAGCGTGTTGCAGTTACTGCGTTGCATCGTTGCGGTTACGCGCCAATTAAAATTTTTGACATACTGAAAATATTGAATATAACCCAAAGATTCGTTTATCGTACCATCAAATTATACAATGAAGACTCTAGTGTAGATGACAGGTCAAGAAGTGGTCGCCTTCGGTCTGTTAGGACTCCAGCAGTGATAAAAGCTGTGAAGGCGCGAATTCAAAGAAATTGCAAACGTAAGCAGAAACTGTTGGCCCTTCAGATGGGGTTAAGCAGAACTACGGTGAAAAGGGTGTTCAATGAAGACTTAGGGCTTCGGGCATATCGAAGAAAAATAGGACATCGTTTGAATGCTCGTCTAATAAACCTGAGACAGAAGTGATGCCGCGCTTTGTCGAAGCGGTACGCGGGAAAAAAATATCAGGTAATTCTTTTTCCGGATGAAAAAATTTTTACCGTATAAGAGAGCTACAACAAACAAAATGATAAGGTGTACGCACACAGAAGTGAAGAAGCGAGCAACCGTATTCTGCGTGTCCGACGAGGTAATTTTCCATCCTCGCTCATGGTACATTTTTGCGAGAAAGGTGTAAAAACGAATACATTTGTGTATTAAAATACAGTCCTGACGAACCTTGTGGAACCTGTTTCTCATACCATGTTCAATAACAGGCACTGGGTATTCCAACAAGATTCGGCGACAGCTCATAGAGCGAAGAGCACACAAGACTGGCTGGCGGCGCGTGAAATCGACTTCATCCGGCACGAAGACTGGCCCTCCTCCAGTCCAGATTTGAGTCCGTTAGATTACAAGATATGGCAACACTTGGAGGAAAAGGCGTGCTCAAAGCCTCATCCCAATTTGGAGTCACTCAAGACATCCTTGATTAAGGCAGCCGCCGATATTGACATGGACCTCGTTCGTGCTGCGATAGACGACTGGCCGCGCAGATTGAAAGCCTGTATTCAAAATCACGGAGGTCATTTTGAACAAACTATTGTCATAAGAATCTATGTTTTGTTCAATTCATTTTGGTATATAAATGGTAACATAATGAATAAACTTGTTTCAATTATTTTATATTAAACATGTGACAGAATTTATGACCTGACTAGGTATATACTCGTATATAAGGAGCTGGCGAACAAAACGGTATAATTACATAAAATAAAATTTTACAGGAGCTGTATAAAACTAAATAACATACCTACAGTGAGCTTTTTGGCATGGTTTTTAATTTATAAATTTAGTAATTTTAACAGTGTTTTGATTGAAAATTATTTGGGATTCAAATTCAACGGGCCTGAAAACTCCATACTGTAAAAAATAAGTAGTTTGGCAAGATGCGTAATTGTACCGTTTTGTTCGCCAGCTCCTCATACTTATGTAGATTGTAGAATTCGCAAAAACATAGTTTTATATTACATAGGTATTTTCCATATAGTTTTATCCATGAATGAGGTCAAACAACGATTTAATGAAATCATACAAATTACACTGCACGTCCACTAATGGATATACCTTCTCTTGGGACCTCCCCATACGACGGTCTTGCGCTTTGACTCGCTTCATGTCGTCAATAAATAAATAAATATTATGAGTATTTACTGTACCGACATATATTTTAAGCAATCGATTTTGAAGAAAACCCAGTGGAAAAATATGCTATACCTCTTAGCGGTGTTGTGTTTCTGTCAGTGTGTTAAGTTCTAGGACTCCACGGGCTAGAAAATGATGTCAGTGTAGGCAACTGCGCATCTATTTTTTAGTGGCTATGGGTGGCCGCTACTATCAGGTGCCTCGTACAAATATTAGCGTCATATATGTATACCCCACACGAGGTCAACAGAAATCCTTAACTAATAAAGCATTATTTATAAACATCGTTACAAGGCATAGCCACACCTTAATAATGCTATATTTAACCTTGCTTGGACCATAATGTTGTTCGGAAACAGTACGAACAAGATGCAAGCTCAACGCCTTCAACAGTTTCTGTAGTGTCCGTTCATAGATTTAAAGCCACGCCTCCAGTAACATCATAGTTAGCCTTAGTCTTAACTCACTATAGTACAAAACATTGACTAGAGTTAAGACCGGTCTCAAAATTATGCTGCCTCCTTTGCTTATTAGAGGTCAAGCAGACGTTTAAACCAAGTCTAAGTTTCAATAATCTACGTCTTACAATAAGGCGGATTATGCACGCAAAGCAATAGAAACAATTTCCGGAGCAGCTCTATGCGTTTATAGCGTTTCACCGATTTGCGGATTGCGGCTTTTCAGTTTCTTTCACACCCAATCCGGCAAGGAAGACTATTCTTTATTTATGATATTAAAATAAATCCCTATTTCCCTTGGTCACGCCATAAATTGAGAAAAGCTTAACCGATTTTATCCAACTTTTTTAAATATTTATAAAACTATTTAAAAGGTTGTAACGGAAATATATTCGTAAGGATCGCTGAAAATTGGAAATTATAAGAAAACATAACTCACGGTTTTTCTGTCAGGTCCTCTGGTACTTATATCATCATTAGCCTACTATTGTCTCCACTGCTGGGGCACAGATCTTCCCCATGGATGGAATAGGGAGACTGAGCCGTGACCCACAGCGCGGGCCTAGTGCGGATTGGTGGGTGCTAACAACTGGAAGTGCAACCGGGCCAAACGTGCCTTCCGAAGCACGGATATAATAAGTTTTTGGTCACCTATTCAATGACCGACCATTGCGAAAGTGAACTTTGACGGTCGCAGGTTAAAGGATCTGTCTGCGGGGTCCCCGAGATACCCCGCGGAAGAATCCCTAAACGGGGATCCCGCGGCATCGCGCTAAGCAGCTTAGAGGGTATTCGCAGGGTTTTTTTAGCGTATATTATGCCGTAAGAGTTACGGGGTCCTCAGTGGGTAGCCACTGCTGGGGCTTGTAAGGCTTGCGGGAGCCAGGTGTGAGGTTCGTTCGGCGGTGTGCCTCTTAAAGGCGCCGTCCTCCGTAAACAGTATTTTTTGCCTGCGTATAAAAAAAAGGTTAAATTCGCTAACCACCTGCGCCATCGAGCTCCTATCTAAAACATTCTAATGCCACCCGCAGCCACAAGAACCGAGACCGGCGAAGATCACCCAGCAGCAACAGGAAGAGCTCGAGGAGCAGTTGGATGAAGAGGAGAGAGAAGAGCCCGACCGTCTGGCGCAGCTGCTGCAGCAGTCCAAGTTCGACTGTGGCGCCAAGCAGTCTGGCTACTACGCTGACCAGGAGCTCAACTGCGAGGTGTTCCACTACTGCCAGGACAACGTCAAGCACTCTTGGATATGCCCTGATGGATTCACTTTCCACCAGGTAATTAAAGAGTGATCACCAAAGTAGATAAAATTAGATAAGCTGCTACATAGTAAGCTCAACTGTGAGGTGTCTCACTAGTGCCAAGACAACGTTAAACACTGTATGTATTCACTTTCCACCAGGAAGTTGAAGATAGATAATATTTTTTTATAGATAGATAGTAAATTATGGAGGTGCAAAAAAAATAAAAAAATGCTACGGCAAAACTGTACTTGCAGTCCGCGTAGCATGAACATCACAATATACATTTTATCAAGTTTTTTATCGCGTTTAACTGTCAAACTCCATAGTAAATTGACAGTTGAGCGTGATAAAAACGCGCTACATATAAAATCGCGGTGATAATGCTAGAGGGGCCGGGCAGGTTCTGACATTCATAATTTCTTGTTGAGAAGGTATTTGACGACCTCCGTGGCCGAGTGGTTTGTACGCCGGGTTTCATGGTGTCGCCGACTCGAGAATTCCCGGGTTCGAATCCCGGTGGGGGCAGATGTTTGTGTGATGAACACGAGCATTTGTACTCCAGTCATGGATGTTTTATATGTATTTCTATATAAATATACTTATATATGTACTGTATATGTATTCTATCCGTTACCCTAATATCCCATAACACAAGCCATACCGTGCTTACTTTGGGGCTAGGCTAATTGGTGTGAGAGTTGGAAATATTTATTTATTTATTATTATTGGTTAAGTATTTTTCTGTTATGGTCACAACATTAACCCTAACTAAACTAGTGTGAAGTGTGAACTCCTGCCCCCCTAGCATGATCATCGCGATATGATATATAACGTGCCTTGATCACGCTTATTGTCAAATTACCATAGTAATTGTGTGATAAAGACGCGCGTCTCATGCTACAGGGACTGGGCCCAGAAAGAACAGTTTAGCCACTGCTTCTACCTGTTTGGTAGAATCATCTTGCTATTAGTTGGGTCTATGACCTTCTAAAAATTAAAAAATCACATTGATTGGAATGGGCCGTAACCCCACCACGCTGGCCCTGTTTTCCTAATAGTGGAGGAGACCTGGAATAAAATAATGTTTTCTCATCGTTTGATTCAGTTCGACTGAGAGATCATCCGTTGACCATTTGATTAACTTCCAAAGCCGCTAAGGCACTAGCAACTCAAAACACGATTTCGATGGCTATTTGTCTCAATCAGTTTCATTTATATTTAGTCTTATTAAATTGCTTCTGCTTTTTCTTCATCAGGTGCATTTGATCTGCATGCCCCCTACGCACGACAACATATGCCAGAAATCGGCCAAGTACCACTTCGTGAACGAGTACCTTTACCGACCCATCAACGAGGAAGAGGTGCAGCGCAAACCTAACGTGTCCCTCAAGTACTCCGACCGGTACTACCCCGCTGAGGTCTACAGGGACGACCGCTACGAGGAGGAGGAAGAGGAGGTTTGCACTTAGTATTTTAATTACAATAAGTATAAGACAATCGTTTTTATTTATTTTTAAGCATTTAACTGCTACATGTTTAAATCTAAAGAAAAAAATACTAGAAAAAAAACCACGCGGACCAGGCAGCGGACGGGACTCGAACCCGCACCCTTCGCAATCCGGGCGAATGCACTGACCATTATGCTACCACGGCCCTATTGGCTGCGTCGAAATTTTCCTAGCCTTAAGCTGCAAGGCAGCGCCATCCCTTCGCATTGTAGGTAACCCACAATGTCCAATGAATACTTTTTCAAGTGTTAAACATTTGAAAGAAGAAATAGCAATTATAGTTATGTTTTCGTTTTGTTGTCATTTAAAACAGGATCAACCGTTTCCGACATAAGAGACCGGTACTACAATTGTTTACGAGGAAGTTGATAAAGATCTCGATCCTATTTTTTGGCTAGTACAGTGCGAAGTAGCACCTTCTCTCGAATTTCCTGCACCGCGCCAAGTATTAGAGGCCCAAGCACGAATTTTGACAGCTTCATAATCGTAACGTCATAGTCAAATTTTGTATGGTAGGAGATAGTTTGTTCTTACGTAAGGTAGGGGCGCTACCTACTTATTTTTCATAGAAACATTGATGATTCGATACTATTACCGTACCGCTAGCACGAACCAATATCGGATTCGGATTAGAGTCATTGTCAAATTTTGTATGGAAACTTGAACAGTAGCGCCACAAAGTCTGTAACTAGACCTAAAAATCAGTACACATTTGACAATGACATTTCGGACTCGCAAACGATACGAATTCGATATTGGTTCGTGCTAAGGGTACCGAACTGTCAATTCTCGCGCTTGGGGTACAGTTGGAATATGTTACGAATTATGTACCTATATTCATGTTAATTTATTGTTTACCATCAGGAGGAGCAGCCGCGTAGAGCGCCGGCACCGCATCATCAACAACAGCAACAGCAGCAGCAGCAGCAGCAGGCGCGGCCTGCGCGGCCACAGCAGCCGCAGGTGTTCCACTCGGCCGAGGAGGTCAACATACCGCTCGGCCAGCGGCGCCCCAACCGCCCCTCCTTCGACTTCGACTTTTAAAAGCCATCTTAATTTAAACTCACCTACATACGTATCCTTCACATATCATTAAACCCCTTCGTGGTAAAAAAATAATGTAAATAATTACATTGTCTATGGACGCCCCTCTGTGCCCTACCCGCTGTACTCCAGTATTGTATTGCTCAGTCTTGTCTGTAGTTTAAGGTTTTTTTTATTTAAAATTAAGTTCTTATTTATGTTTTTGTAGGTATGTAAGTACGTACAATGAAGTATTCGTTCGTAATAAGTCACAAATTAGTTCTAAGCTAGTCTTTGTGGTAGAAATAAAAATTATATTAACAATATACGCTTTTTATTTAAAAAAACTGAATATACTTATCTAATTAAATTTTAATTAAAGCATTATATGCAACAACTTCAACAAGTCAGTCCCTGGAAAAAAGGTGTTTAGATTTGCGGTTTTATTTGACTCATTATTTAAAGGGTCCCATGATAAAAACTAAAACAATACCTACTAATAAGGAAGTTATATACCCACCTTACTGGATATAAATTCCTTGGTACATACATAAAAATACGTTAAAAATATTAAAACAATTTTCCCGAGAATTTAATGATTCAAATTGTAGTTGATTTATCACCATATGTAAATAATGAGTAATTATAAGGGAATTAAATTGAGCACTCACTATTTACATTTATTTTAGTCTGGTGTTGTAATAATGATACAAAGGGCCTCTATTTTGACTATCACACTGTACCTTAGCTGATCCTGTTTGCATCTGACGACGTAAAACTTTAAATATTGAAATAAATGCTTGTTTGGTTTACACGTCCTTGGATTTCAACGCATCAATTCTTTGTGGTTTGAATTACCGTCATGCTCTAATATTTACTCCTGCATACTGCGGGAGAGAAATTGCGGTAATCTGAATCTGTTCTGTAATATAATGTGAATGTTAATGTTCATACATTATTATTTGACCTTATATTGCGTACGTTGCATCTAGCTCCACCAGTCTGAGATTTCCTATAATTGCAACTATTTGTATAGTAGATAGCTGTTACTCGTGGATGCCACGCACAGTACTGCCATTACATTTTAGTTTCGCTATTACAGATGAAATTAAAGGGAACTAGTGGCCACCCATGACTCTGTTTTTAACTAAAATCGAAACTTACATTTTCTGGGATAAAAAGAATATTATTATTTAAATCTAAAGAAAGGTTTACTAGAAAAAAAATGGGTGCGTGTACTTATGTAGGCGCGTGAGAAGTTATCCTTCTTTGGCATCGTTTAAAATTAGTTTTTAATTGCATGCAAATAATTAATTACAATAAATTAATAAAAAGTCTGGAAAAGGACGAAGTCAATAAAGTTCAGTTTTAATTTGAAAAAATAAATAAATAATCAAAATATTCAATTAAAATCGCTACTGAATATAATTTATTACAACATATGTGATTTGCACTTGTATGAAACTCAAACACGTATTCCGAATATACAAACTAGAAACATGTGGATAAATATTATAAATATGAATACCTATAACTGTTACTTTATTACAATAATAACATAAAAGTAACATTGAAAAATAAAGATGTGGTTTTTGGTTCTACTACACCAATGGTCAAGAGATGGCGCTCTAGTCTCCTGAATCGCGCTTTGGTTCCGTTGTTCCAGATTAATAAATACTTTTTGTTAATTTTTTACAAAAAATAAAGATGTGGTTTTTGGTTCTACTACACCAATGGTCAAGAGATGGCGCTGTAGTCTCCTGAATCGCGCTTTGGTTCCGTTGTTCCAGATTAATAAATACTTTTGATAGGCCTTCCCAATGCAGTCGTTAGCACCCACAAAATAGAGATTCTATTTCTATTTTGTTGGTAGATTTTCTTAATGTGCGGTAAACACAAAAGTAACGCATGAATCATCATGTTAAAATTTTGTGTTACATGATGCGCGCGCATCTTAAAATTTCACTCTCATAATTTTTTCATAACGCGCCTAAAGAAGTATGTATAACTTCAAAAAACTTTTTCTAGTAAACCTTTCTTTAGATTTAAACATCTAGCAGTTAAATGCTTAAAAATAAATAAAACTATAATAATAATATTTTTTTATTTAAAGTTTATTGCACATATAAGTGTATAAGTGACGGATTTAATGCCCTTGGCATTATGTCTCAATCCAGGTCATAAACTATATGCGCATCATGTTTCATCAAAATCCGTTTAAGGATCATGGTAGGATCACAAACAGATACAGAGAGCTGCCGTCCTCAAGCTAAAACGCGGCTAAATGACAAAACGAACTTTTGAGATACGTCCAAAAAACGGCGCGTAAACTTTAAATTATTGCTATTTTGTAACCATTCATACATGACGGATTTTTAGACTTAAACTATGAAAGATACGAATACTTGTTAAAGACAGATCGACAGAGAATTAAAAACTGTATAAGATGCAATTTAAGACTGAAAAATCGACCACATGTCACTTAGCCGCACGGCGGCAGAGAGATGGAACATACACGATACCAATTCATACTGTTTGACAAATTACCGCAGTTTCGCTACCAATTTTGCCGCGTCCACCGGTGTGAAGGTGTTAATGGGCCTGACTCTGGCATGAATCTCTAAACCAGAAACTTAAACCACTAATATACTTGTCTCTCATGTTGTGTCATGGCGCGTCATAGATGTATCCGTTTCATAGATTTCGTCGCAACATCGCAACACACAAATATAATTCTAACCGCACTAAATGTATGAAATCGATACGTCTCTGAAGTGTCACGGTGACGACACAAATGATAGACAAATACATTTTCGGCTTTATTTGGTAAGACACCTGGCAACTCTCTCTAATCAGCTGTCAGATTCCACAATGTATCCGATGGACTCTGTGTCTGTATCCAGGTCATGAATAAATAAAAAAAAAAGAGCGAGGTTTTTGGCGGGATTTCATCGAGTGCGGTTGGCGTCTTATTTAAATTATTCTTAAATTCGTTCATAGTGGTAATAGTGAAATAAAATTGGTGTGGTTTTATGTAACAACTGTCTGCGTAACTGAAGAATTAGTGGAATCATTAAAAATACGCTGTTCCGGTCAAGTGGACGTGAGAATTTTACTGTAGCGTTGACTACCTCACAGAAGCTTATCGAAAAAGCCAAATCGATACATTTCGTGCCAAACACTCCAAGAAACATTAGAATGCGTCACACCGACATTCTAATGTAAAAACAAAAAGAAGATTAATTTAATTAAAGACCAGGCTGTATGGGCATTGTTCCCTTTGCCTTCGCTAAAACGGGAAAACTTGAACAAAAAAAAGAGCTGCCAGATTAATGTCTATTTATTTTCCAAAAAAACAGTGCTAAAAACTAAGCAAGTTGTTGTCTAAAAACTAAACTATTATACTTAACTAAACCATAAGAAAAGTTACTGGAAACGTGGAGTAAAAGAAAAGAAACTAATAAAATTGATCATTTTACCGCCTATCTAAGATTTAAATATATTTGCACTTAAGATAAACTTTTATGCTAATTTACTCCTTCGAAACTGTGATCCTTAAAATATTTTATCTATGATATTATGAATAAGACAAATTATGGAGGTTAGCCTCTATAACATGTCTGAGAAGGATTACAAGAAGTATCATGAATCGTTTATGGAGAACAACCATGGCTCAACTGCATTGCATACATTTTTCTGCATATTTTTTACAGTTCAGTGTTCCATTTTATGTGCTCTGTACAATAAGTATCCTTCTGCATATCAGTATTATTTTGAATATGCAGTGATAATACTGCCATTAACACTTGCACATACTATTCTTGCAGACTATATTTACATTTTGAATTTATTGTTACTCATATTATTGCTGAAATGTCTCTACAACTTATATCCTGAAATAAAACTACGAAAATCATTTAATATGGAGAACAATTTGAAAAGTAACAAACTGCATTCCATTACTTTTTTAAGAGGTTTGACTTATTTGATAACTGCTTATTGTATATTAGCTGTGGACTTCAATAGTTTTCCAAGATATTTAGCTAAAACTGAAAATTATGGCTACAGTCTCATGGATACAGGTGTTGGCCTGTTTATTCTCATGAGTGGTTTAGTACACAAAAATTTAAAGCATCATAAATTTACATCAGTACTAAAAGGGAATATAAAATTTGTTTCTATTTTGACATGCTTAGGTGTTGCACGGTTTATATCAATTAAACAATTGGATTATCAAGAGCATGTCACAGAATATGGTGTGCATTGGAATTTCTTCTTCACATTAGCAATTTGTAAAGTATTGTCAACTATTATTTTATTATATACAGAACATGCTATGGTAGCAAGTATTATAATGTTGATAGTTCATGAATATTTATTGATAATAGGTCTAGAAGACTGGGTGTTCAGTAAAACACCAAGAACAAATTTTATAAATGCTAATAGAGAAGGCTTGAGTTCTACTCTTGGATATGTAACATTGTATCTTTTTGCTGCATATTTAAAATCACTATTAATCGATAAGAGCTCGTGTAGGTTTCAGATACAGATTAAACTTGTTGCCTTATGTACAGTTCTCTGCTTGGCAGCCTTTATTGCTAATCACTACAGACCCACATCAAGAACGCTCGCTAATTCAGGTTATTGTTTGTATTTAGAGTCTGTGCTAATAACTGTAATAACAATTTTGTATTTCATTGAAGTTCAATTTCAAGACAAATCTATTTATTTTTCTGTCCCTATGATCTTGTCTGCAGTTAATGATAATGGTCTTATATATTTCTTAATAGCAAATTTATGTACAGGTGCTATTAATTTGTCAATAAGAACATTATTTTACTCTCCAACAGTGACATTATTAATACTTAATCTCTACATGAGTCTGACAGCAATTTTAGTTATCTATTTAAAACAGAAAGGAATAAGAATTTAAACACAAAATTGTTTTAGTATTATTTATTTCATCATTAATATTTACCATAGTAATTAATTCATAGTTTTTTATAAAGGATTATAATGTTATAGTAGTATTAATTATTATTAATAAATGCTGATTGAGTTACATTTAATAAGTTTCTTATTAGTTTTTACCTTAACTTTAAACATTTACAACATTTTTGTTAAGTATAATATTACTATCTATTTACAACAATAATTCATATACAGCAATAAATCAATAATAAAAACTTTTTTATGAAACTTTGTAATTTTTAAGAAATAATCTATTGTTTTTCTCCTAATTAAAATCCATCAAAAATATCAGTTCTTATAATTTAATTGCATAAATACAATTCAGTATATAATTATAATTTTGTACTAACTTAAATGGACCATAAAATACAAAGAACATAAATTAAGTACTAAACATATTTCTCAATTAACGCATGTTTTTGTGCAAAACCTTAGTTCGTGTCGATAAACACCTACTGCCTGAAATTTCGAAAACGAAAGAACCAACTCTTATTCAAAGTCATACCAATTTAAAAAGAATAAATAAGTCACTTTAGAGTACAACAATACAAAAACTCTTTATTGTACACCACGAACAACATTGAACATTAAGCACAAAACCATCTTGTACAAGTGATGCAATGGGCGGCATTATCCCTTAAAGCGATTTCTTCCAGGTAACCTTTGAATGGAGAGGATTAGAAGGAAGTGGAAGAGACGGCGGTGAAAATCGCTAGCATAATATAAACCATTAGTAAATACATACATACACCATACAAATAATAAATATAATAAATAAATATAAATAAATATTTCCGACACTCACACCAATTAGCCTAGCCCCAAAGTAAGCACTATAAGGCTTGTGTTATGGGATGCTAGGGTAACGGATAGAATACATATACTGTACATATATAAGTTTATTTATATAAATACATATTAAACATCTGCCCCCACCGGGATTCGAACCCGGGACCTCTCGAGTCGGCGACAGCCATGAAACCCGGCGTACAAACCACTCGGCCACGGAGGTCGTCAATATATATATACAACAATAACGCATGCAACAGGTAGTCGTTTTAAAATTTGCATAGTCCTTCTTGTCACCTTTCCTTTATCTTACTATATTGCTTAGCCTTACATTTCTTAATAAAGAAATATAAGTTCTCAAATAAAATTTAGCTATGAGAGTGTTTAGGAAAATTTTGGCCACTAGTTGGCGCCACTATGACAAGAGATCTTTTGTATGTTGTATGAAGTTTTTAGCGCGAATTAATCGACCTAGCATTTAAATTGATCCATAGACTATAACGATATACGTGATTTGACGGATGAGTAGACCTTTCGTCTCGGTGCTGTAGCCACCTGACCCCCGTCATTCCCGAAAACCCACATTGTTGCAGAAACGGGGCGCGTTTGTATTTCGGCACGAGTTTGCTTATTGCTTGTCAACAGCACTTTTTAAGGGCCTACATTCCTCAACTAAATTAAATTTTATACTAGCTAGATGTTAAATCTAAAGAAAATTTTACTAGAAAAAAATCATCGCTGACCAGGCATTAGACGGGACTCGAACCAGCACCCTTCGTTACCTGGGCGAATGCCTTGACCATTATGATACCGCGGTCCTTCTTTAGATTATTTTTTTTCAAAGGTTTTAAACGCTTTCGTTACTTACTTTTTGCAAAGATGTATTTTAAAATAAATAAGAGAAAAGCAATCAACACTTAACTCAATACTTATTTTTATAATACTTGGATCTCTCCACTACCGTCTATCAGATCAGATCTGTGTTAGTTTGTGTTACATTCAACAAATTAGAATAATAGCTATGGAAGCATTACTCTCTAACAAAGGCCACTAAAACATGGTTCCAAACGCATACAGCTAAATTTCAATAGCAACGCGACACAAACACAGAAAAAACAAAATACTTTGACAAATCAAAATATCTGCAAATGAATTCGGCTATCTATTCATTGGGTAAAGTTATGTTAAACGGAATTCTCAACCAATCCCATGACCTGCGTGTTGATCACAGTTTTTTCGCCCCGACCACTTGATAGCAGTTTGCATGGAAAAATTTAGTGCAGTTTGTATTCTATTATTATTTCTAATTCGTTGGTTAGATTACTACAAAAACATTCAAAAATCTCATTCATATTACGTGAAAATGTTACTTAAATATACAATAACATTACTAATTTAATATGTTTTTATTAAATTATAATCACATAAGTTTTAAGTATAAACCGTGAATTTTATGTAAAAAAACTAACTATTTAAACTATCTTATTAAAAACAATCATAATAAATCTATTTAGGTACATATTTCACTCTACTTAAAGCATTAAACTCCAAATATACCTTATAACAAATCTATAATCATTAAAAATGTTAACTAAGTACAATAATTAAGTGTCAAAAATTCAAAATTGTATAAAAAATAACGGCTTTTATCATCAAATTCGTAAGTTCGCTTAGCAATATAATTAAGATTTGTAGCTATTGGAGAGACAATGATAATAAAAATATTGTTTTCTTTTATATACGGTCTAACAATGGTTGTACGTCACTATTACTTTTCAGAATATTAGGTTGTCTATGAATTAGTCGAGCAGCACAGAATAGTATGAAATACCACACTATAAATATTAAAACAGCCAAGTAGAATAATAAATACGGAAACCTTGTTGGAGACCAGAAGACTGTATACCTCAGCAGATGGTTCTTGTCGTCTAGAAAAATAAATTGGTTTCTATTAATTTGAATTTGATAAAATTCAACGGTTTTAATTTTGTAAAATTGATACATAAAAATATTGTTGAACCTTTATTTTTCGTAACATCTATATCAAATCAAATATTATCAAAATAAAGTTAAGGTTCCCATAATGCACATAATTATTAAATAGACCCGATAATACCAATAGTACATTTTCCTAGCATTTTTAAAAAATTACAGGCTACTAAGATTAAAGCTAAGTTTCTTTGGCTAGCTTTAAAATTTAACAGAAGTAGTCAAAATGCTATAAATATATTATATTTTACCAGTACACAGTGTTTTATGGAACCAAAAAAATTTACACCTTAAGATTTTTGCATAAATCAATTATTTATACCCTAATAAAGGAAAGAGTTCAATTCTGAGATCACTATTTCCATTAAAAAAAAAGATATGAAGTAGCAAAGTTTTTGAAATTTGAGCATTAAAAAATTAACAATTTAATTTCCTCAAAAGACGGTTCCATATCTGTACATGAGATATTTGCCACTTGATAAGGAATTATTGAAGGCATAATTTTGCAATTTTATTTTATTTATAAGTGTCCTAGTTTCCGAGTAATATTTTTTTTTTAAATTTAGATTTTTAATTTTTTTCTCCAAATATCGGCAAAAGTGGAACCTGGATTTAGTACAGAAAGGTTCTATAAGCCAAGTTCTATCACCCATAAAAAAATCAGGTTTCACTTTTGCGGTTTTAAGAAGTTATGACAGAATTTAGATAAAGGTCAACTTTCATGATCTAGGATTGTCACAAAGGTCAACTATGAGTTAAATGAAAATGTTAAATTTTTTGTTTGTTAATTAATACCGTCACTCAATTGAATAAATTAACAACACTTGTGGATGAATACAATATACTTACATATACTAGGTACCTACCTAATGTAGATGTGATAATGTAGGAATACTTTATGTTTGTTCGACCACATTTTAACTTTGTACCTTACACGCTAAACGGTAACGAAAAAATGAACTATGTTGCTTGAAAAAAATTTTAAAATTCATTCAGAATCATTCAGGCATTCGATCAGAAAATAAAAACAAATCTTGGGCATAAATCAGTTAGTAGGTGTAACTATTATTGTTACAAAAAAAAACGTAGAGGTAAGCAGGCATGAACTTGTGTCTAATAGGCTAGTTGACTCATATCGAATTGTATTAAATAAATGTTTATTTCTTACAGTATTTGGTCTAAGGAACCTAAATATATCGATTTCACTTCATAAAAGCAGAAGATTGCTGTAGAAATTTAATTTAAAAAAATATTTTTTAGTCTATATTTTTTAAACACTAAAAACGCTGTTCGCCACATCCGCCATGATTGTGACGTCTCTTTCAGTAAACAACTAAATGTCATTCGCTTGTTATTGTGGGTGGATTCTTTAGTCTGAATAAATTTATCTTAAAACACTTTTAACTTTAGAAAAGTTTCCGTTTACTTTTTTTTTGACAAAACTAATTATGGATGCCGGCTTTGTGAAAGCAGAAAGCACAAATCTGCCAAGAATTGACGCACTTATGGTTGGTGAATTTTTTGCACTAAACCCCCATTTTTGCTCTGCGGAGCAGAGAAACGACAAGGCATCTATGTAAGTACAGTGCATTTAGTATTACAATGTAGTAATAAACATAAAACTGATACAACATATGAATAAGTGTAATAAAGTTGCGTAGGTTAATTTCTTTCGGCACTTTAATCCATAACATTCCTGGAGTCTTCAAGGATGTGTTTTTATATTCTCGTACAATACAATAATGATAATTACTTTATTTTTCGTGGTATTTATTAGAAATCGTGTTCTTTTTATCATAAACTCAGATAAGTTATTTTCTACGTGCTTACGAGTTTTTGTTTACTATAATTGACATCATAGCATAGACAATCTATAGGCTAAAATGGCCGACAGCGTTTTTGTATGTCCATGAAAATTCTATTTTAAAATTAAAGATTTGTAGCTTTCTAGGTCTCAAAAAAATACAATACATTTTTTTTCGGTCTAATAGAACATTTATTCACCATTTAAAACCTTTTTCCAAAAAGGGTCAACTAGCCTATTGGGTCTCCAAAACACACACACAAAACAAACAATTAATAGTTAATACTCAGACCCGAAAACGAAAATCGATATTCATTATAATGACTTCCGCCTTGACTGGGAATCACCATAAGCGTTCCTTTTTTGCAAATAGAGCTTGGAGCCCATAAAAATATGTTAAAGGTAATGTAGTAAGTTCCTAAAATCTACATTATTGTAAACTCGTTCAAAACTAATACACAAATTTATATTTTAAAAATTTTCGTTCGAGGTCAGGTTCGGTGTCAACCCTAGCATAAAAATTTAAAAATGAATATCTTCTAATCGCCGCAAAAGTGACACGTGGCTTATTTATGTATGAAAGACCACATCCGTAGGTTTATTTCTATCGAAGTTCTAGGTTCCACTTTTTCGTTTTTAGGGAGAAAAAACAATAAATACGAAATAAAAAAAAAAATCTGCTCCCAAACCAATGCATTTTTTTAAGCTAAAGAAACGCGTTTATACGCCTCTGATTATGCCCGATTGACACATATTTATTAAAAAAATATATTGTTAATATTCACTTTATAAAAAAATATTCTAGATTTCATAGGTCAAAGGTCACGATAAGTTCATGATTTTTTTTTCTCAAAAAGTATTTGAGTTAGACTTCTGGGAATTGAACTCATGCCTTTTTTAGGGTATAAATAACCTATTTATGTAAAAACCTGAACATGTAAATTTTTTTGGTTCCATAAAACACTGTGCAGTATAGTGAGATTCAAATAAGAATTAAAAAGACAATGACCTCCATCTGTCAAATGACGCTTGAAAAGTACGGTTTGCAAAATAATCTTAGGCTCTTTAAATAATAGACTCTAGTAAAAGGGGCCCTCGGCCTCGGTCGAAACGTTCAAAAACCATACACATGAGAAATATCTCGGTCCAACTCATTATTAAATTAAAATAGTTGATGTATTTTTTTAAAAGATTTGTAGTTAAAGGTTGTATTAAAATGTTATTGATTTAAATAATATTTAAAGAAATATCCTGATTTATTTAATTCTCAGTTATACTTATAATTATTACGTGTATAATCTATAGAAACGCTTGAGTGTTCTAAAAATGTCGCATTCGACATTAAGGGAATAGCTCTATTTCATTTTTACTCGAAATAAAATCGAATTTTTGTACGTAGTCCTACAAACTTCCTTTTAAATACTACCATTCATCAAAAAATATTTAAATTGGTCAGATACAGTAATCTAAAAATTGAGTCCTTTCGTCTGAGAGCCCGCATTCGGTGAGACGCGTAGCGTTTGACTTACAATAGCTACTTTATCCTTCTCGCTACAATTTTTTAAAGGTCCTGCTAAATCTTTATGTATACAAAACCTACTTTTTCCACTCTGGCCCCTTGGAGAGCACGCACATTTTTTTTGTTTTAAGCATTTAACTACTATGTGATATGCTTTCTGACTAATTTTCACGATCTAAAGTGAAACTCAGCAATATTGAGCTCAAAGTCAATTTGAAAGTGTTGATTAAGTTTACCTAATTCTGTCGTCCGTACGATACACATCTAATTCGAGTCTGTACTGAACATTACTACTACCCAATAAAACTTACAATCTTGGAATAAGTACTTCCTACGCGGTTATGTTATACCTCAGAATAATGTTATCTCTCAACAAGGGGGGTATTAAAGGGCTGGTGATGTATTTAGTATTCTGTAAGGCAAACAGGTTGCGCAAAGAGCACGCTATAACATTTTTTTCGTAAAAAGTACTGCATTAAATATTAACTTTCGTGTTCAGACACTTAAACAATAAACAACAATATTTACTGTTTAATATTTACTCATCTGAATGAGTTCTGAATAGAGTTGTATGGGCTCTTTTGAATGTTGCATGTTGATACATTTCGGCTCAGTCATACTACACTCGCGAGCATCCAAATCGACTCAAGCGCTACCTCTACATTCAAACGCTGGTGTCGATTCTGGCATGATTCTCTAAACCTAAACTTAAATTTGACAACAGTGTATCCTTGTCATTCTCTATACAGAGTGAAAAGGAGAGACTTATGTTAAATTTAGTTTTAAGTTTAGAGAATCATGCCAGAATCGACTGTTATAAATAAGGGTATACAACATTTAACAAACTACTCAACGACAAATTACTCACTAGGCTACCAGCGAGTTGCGCTACCCTCTACCCCTATAAAACCCCCGTGACCCTTCAACCTTTATCTATCCCCCCCGTTACAGCGAGGCCCGATGCCGCTCAGTCCGCTACCGGTTCAAGTGCACATCTGAATGCACACCACTAGCGCATTAAGCGTTATTTAAAACTATGCATTAGTTTAAACTAACTCAGCGCTGCATCATCCCCTCTCAGGGGATGATCGCATCAGATGAAGCTTCTGGCCATAAGCATGATTAACGGGTGTTTTTTAGTCAGTAAGAGTCTGACCTAACCCTGCAGCCTGTAGGGTATCTTTGAGGATTTCTCACCTGCTCCCCCCGCCTGGGAGGAAACAAAAAAAAATTCAACACTTACCAGTCGCTTATCAACAGTTGACCGATACACATCTCCGCAACCTGCATTCATTGTTTTCAAGAAACCATGGCCAGGCCTGCATCGGGCCCCAAATTGACTGCAGGCCACCGGCAAGCTCGGCTACAGTTTGCTCGAGAGCATCTCAACTGGAGCGTTAGGCAGTGGTGGTCGGTCCTGTTCACTGACGAGTGCAGGATGTGTCTGCATGGCAGTGACAGGAGAGGCCGGGTCTACAGGCGTCCGGGAGAGCGATTTTCCCAATGCTGTTTCGCAGAAACCGTTGCCTATGGTGGCGGTTCTTGCATGATGTGACTGGTATCTCGTTGGAGGGTAAAACCGAGCTCGTTTTCGTGCCTGGAGGAGGCCGAGGAGGAGGACTGGCAGCTGATGGGTACATCACAAATATTCTTCTGGAACATGTTGTGCCCTACGCAGGATTTGATGGCGAAGACTTCATCCTAATGCACGACAATGCTCGATGCCACACAGCGCGCGTTACTCAGCAGTTCCTTTGAGAAGTCGATTTGCGCACAATGGACTGGCCTGCGCTCAGTCCAGACGTATATGCCATCGAGCATTTATGGGACGAGCTCAAACGAAGCGTACGAGCAAGAAATCCTGCCCCTTCGAGCCTAGAAGAATTGAAGGCAGCTTTGTTAGAGGAGTGGGAAGTTATTCCTCAAGACACCGTCAAAAAATTAATAAGGTCGATGAAAAACCGACTATGGGCTGTAATTAGGGCTGCAGGGGGCAATACCAAATACTGAACCAATAAATTTTATACTTCTTAAGAAAACAACGTGTTTTACTTGTGTCAATTCTAAACACAACTCCTTTATCCACAATCCCATTTTTCCCCATTTCAGTTCAGACATGAATAATAAACATAAAGTATACATGGATATTAATAATGATGATATCTCATAAAAGCTGAAATTTCAAGCTTTCAAATGACATCTCATTTTTATTAAAATGTTGTATACTTTTACTTAAAACAATGTTTGAATGCAGAGGTAGCGCTTGAGTTGATTTTGTTGCTCGCGAGTGTTTATTTATGTTCACACAGTGGTAAGAGCTTATCTAACTTTTTAACAACTTGCGCGTACAGCGACCAACAATTCTGCCGCACGAGCTGCCGCAGAGCTCATATGAACACAAAAGTTCCACATTTATACTGGAGTGATTTATACGAAAAAGCTTTAAACAAAATCCTGAACAAGTTCAACAATATTCAACTCTAATCAAACTGCAAATCATAGAAAGTTGTAATTATGGCAATTTACTTTAGGAAGGCAAAAAGAATTACTATTTTTTAAACCCTCAGTGACGTAAGTGCGCGCGCGGGTTCGCTTATGCACAGATTACTACAAAATAATGTCACAATTAAAGAATTAAATCTTTGCAACCAATGCAAGTTATGTAAGATTTTAAATATTAACCATTATACTTGGGAGATTATGCTCAACTCGTATACAATGGGCGTCGTAAGGCTGATATGATGAACATTATACTTACCCAGAATAGCAGCTCCAAAGCCAATTTTACTTGTACCCATTCTGTATGAACAAGTTGGCACATAAACTTCATACAAAGTATCTTCGTCAAGTGATATATTCAAGATAGCTTCTCCATAACCATAGCTATGTGTCCTTCTGTGTGTGAGATCTTTGTTTTGTGTCACATACTTTGATTCATGATCGTGAGCACAAAAAAATATATTTGGGTGTATTTCTTTGATCAACTATAAAAGAAAATAATGATAATAAATATCCATAGTGTGAGTTCAGTATAAATAAATTCAATCTCCATTTTACTTTTTTATTATAACAATTCATTTGATGTAAACCTATGTCTTGATTGTGATGTTATTTCATAAATAGAATTTTCGCAAAAATCGCATGTGTGTGTACCACGGACGATACCTTTCCTCTCGTCGTGCGGTGCGTCGTTGTGGGCTTCTGCGCGTGTGTTCGCAATATCACGCAACGGGGGAAGCCAGTACAATGGCGGAAACATATTATTGCAAGTTGACGCACACCACATGTCGACATCCTCTGTGCACCGTGCACATTATCAACATGCGATGCCGACGCGATGCGACAACACACAAGCCAATTTTGCATTGAATACAGTTTTCTGACAGCAATGTAAGCGTATGGTCGTATACAGAAAGAAAGCCGATCAACGCTTATCAGCGCCAATCCTTCCTACATAAAGGAAGCCGATTAAAGCAGATCAAGCAAAATGTCGGACTCATCGGACGATGATCTGGTTTTGTTAGAAAATGTGTATTTAAAAATGCGAAAAAAAGCTATACATCCTATAAATAGAGAAAGGAAACGTGTCGAGAATACCATCATTTATTTGTAAAAAAATTGAAATTTGATGAACAAAGATTTTATACATATACAAGAATGATTCAAGAAACATTTTATTGCATTTTGGATTTAGTGAAAAACCATTTGATGAAAAATTGGTGCAATTGGCATAAACAACCAATCCTTCCAGAAGAAAGACTTGTTGTCACCATTCGGTAAGTACGAAACAAATAATTTTAGCGCTTAGTTAATAAAAGATAAAGTTATTAGATTTATAAAAAGATTATAACTTAGATTGATTTAATCTAAGGATAATAATTCAAATACAAATTATTTATTATTCGGACCAGCGCGTGTCGGTCCATAGAAAAAGGATCAGCGCCAATAGGCGCCGATAAGCGCCGATCGGCTTTCTTTCTGTATACGGCCTATGGGTACGGCCAGAGTGCACTCAGATTCAGATTCAGATTCAGATTCCGAAAACAAGCGCGAGAAATAAACAGTGTAGTTAAAGCAGGGTGGCCATAGTGGCAGCAGGCCGCGCAGGTTTCGGAGTCAGACACTTTACCGGAATGTTTAGGTCATTCAGATTCTGAATTCACCAGCGCCGCTCGGCAGTGTTGCCAACTCGGATTTTGAAAAATGCGTAGGCCCGATGAGAAAATTACGTAGAATTGGTAAATTTTGCATATGAAAAGTACGTAGATCTACGTACTTTTTTCTGAGTGAAATGAAGAAGTTAGGTGAAACCGAATTAAACGAGTATTTTATTATACAATTTCTTTAAAAACGGGCGATAGAACAAAGAGTTCTTGGAGAAGTCGCTGCATTGGAAGCATAAATGCTTTCAACTATACCATACCACAGCATGGTAAACCATGCTGTGGTAGACATTTACTATCAGACACAGACACTGGTGGATGTCGATTCTGGCATGATTCTCTAAATTTAAAACTAAATTTAACATCAGTCTCTCCTTTTCATTCTTTATAGAGAATGACAAGGATACATTGTTGTTAAATAGGCTAGTTGACACTTTTTGCAATTATGTTTTGAAATGTTAATGATTGTTCTATCAGACCGAAAAAAAATGTATTTTTTTTACCTACAAGACATACAAAAACGCTGTATATTTTATAGACTTATCTATGCTATGACGTCAAAACATTTGTAAACGAACACACGCAAGCACGTAGGAAATAAACTTTCCGAGTTAATATTATAAAACCATGATTTCTAATAGATCACATGAAAAATTTAGTAGTTATCATGATACACTTGGTAAAAGACTAGAAAAGTTGTGGTTTAAATTGCCAAGAGAAAAAAACATACTTCATGAACACATGTTTAAAACTTGCTAAATCCTGTAACTTTATCCACTGAAAGTCATTTTTTTTGCAAAGATCAATTCGATGTAAGTACTCATTGAATAATATTACAGTTTAAAAATACAATTTTCAAGGTTATGAATGTTTTTTAATAACCAAAAAATTTTGTTTCTTTTTATAGTTCGCCATAATTTTGTACCCTAATTGAGTGGATTATATAAATATAATATTTGTGATAGTATAGTAAATTGTAAATTAAAAGCTGTGATTGAAATTTTAAGTTCTTAAGAGCAAACATATATAAAGTCTAATATTAAACAAAACTGCTGTATTATTAGTCATTATCTATGTTTATAATTTTTTTATGATAATATTTACTTTAAAATTTTAAAGTTTAACATAGATATGCAAAACTCATTATATAATAAAAAAAATGTTATTTGTCATTAAAAATAATTTCATTAACATAGCATTTTTTTGTATTATTAATGATTGTTCCTACATATACTATAAACCATACAAATTATTCAAATTACACTACCCTCGCGAATCCAGACCCAGCTTTCCGGTTAATCCGGACAGTCTGTTCCCATCATATCCAGATTAGTGAGATTGTAATAAATTCTTACCTAATGGTTATAACAAGGCGTTCTTCTGGAAGAATCTTGTGTTTGTGCAAATTACACCAATTCTTCATCATTTGAGGTTCACATTTTTTTAAAATGTAGTAGAACGTTTCCACTTCCATCCTAAAATATTGGAAGAAACGTTTCCTATCATCTTTGAATTGGGGAAACAAATGGTGGTATTCCCCATATTCACTCCTTAATTTATTAATTTGGTGAACACCGATTCTCTCGCGTTTTAATTTATAATGACAACTATCAGTAGCCATTAACAAGCACGCTAGATCTTCATTAGAAAATTCCATGTTTAAGTTTCTGGATCAACGAACATATAACAATGTACTCTATGACTCCGTACGCGTCGAATGAGAAAGAGAGACTGTTGAATGACTGTCGATTGCGACTTTGTACAGATTAAAAGTTTATGAAGTGGTTTTATTTTTATATAAAAATGTAATAAAAAAAAATTTCCGTTTCGCCCAAACCAAAATTTCGCTTTAAAACCCCCCCAAATTTCGGGTAACTCCCCCCCAACCTGGCAATAGTGCTCGCGTCCGCGTCTTGTAATCTGCCTCCACTGTGGCCATCACCTGCTTTGCTCAAGCTGACATCTCACGAGCCTGCTTTCTGAATCTGAATCTGAATCTGAATCTGAGTGCACTCTGGCCGCACCCTATGGTCGTGTGCTATGTAGGTATCTAATGGCGAGTCAGATAAGATTTTCAAGAAGATTAGAAATTCTGAAACGGGTTACGAGTGGCGTCGGGTGTTACCTGAAAACACACTGCGTGCGCCACGTCGGGTGAGGTGTCCTACCACCAACACATCGATCTGGATAGATGGGATCGGATGGCGAGTGCGCGCATCGCGTCGCGTCGGATATTCCTTAATGTGATTCTGATCATCGAAAAAAGTTGACTTGATTTGACTCAACACGCGTCGGGTCGCGTCGCGTTTCAAAAGTCTGTTTCTGCCTTTAGAATGAGCAATGTCATCCCCATTGTCTAATTAACTGCGTTTTCGCAAAAGGATTTTCGCCAAAATTCGATTTTTCAAATTAGCCTACAGCTCAGAAGGATATTCCAAAATATAATCAAGTAATAATTACAGCTCTACTCATAAATAATGTACTAACCTGCATACTAAAAACAGTTCGGGTTGTTATTGGATAGTGGGAAACCACAATGTTTATATTGTTCTCATCTGCACCTTGAATATTTTTAGGGAATGTGTATGTCATTCCATTAACTTTGTAAAATGTGATATTGCTGTAAGTGATTGTTGAAGGTTGATTGAAAACTTTATCAAATTCAGCAACTTTTTCTCTGCTAACAGGTTCATTTTCACCACCAATATCATTGTCACCCGGCAGCCATATTTGCTATAAATTTACATGAACAATACAATTTTGGTGCTACACATGTGCCTAACTTTAGCTATTGAGGTTATTGTTGCTTACCAAAACAGGGCTTTCAATATTAAATATACTGGAAAGTCTCTTCACATATCCATGAAACTGAGGTATTGTTGAAATTGATCCTTCATCCATTAGATCACCCATATAAACCAATATATCTGGTTGAAAATACTTTGATACTACTGTAAATGTTGCCTTTAGATATCTGAAATATAAAGATTAAGATTTAAAAATACAAGAGACATCAATATACTCTGTTCATAGAAATAAGTCAGTGAAGCACTTTCTTTATCATATTATGAACCTTACAGCTTACAAAAACCAAGACTTCATCACTTGATAAATGAGTTAGAACACAGCCCTATCGAGTATCTCTGGGCAGTGATAGAAAAGCTGGTATTTGCTATTCTATTATTCTAATACTGGCTTGTATCTGTAAAGCCGCTTCACTTGGCTACTTGTGTTTGCTATATGTAAACTAGACATCAGTCTGTCCTTTTCATTCCTTAAAAAGCATGATAAGGACAGACTGTTGAAGTTGAAGTGCCGACATAATAATGTGCACTAAATATACATGCAAACAATAACCAGTAAAAGAATATAGATTATTATGGTTTAGATTTACCACTGGACTGCAGGTAGGTAGCCCTGAACTGGACAGGAAAAGATGTGTCAGGTCTAGTTGTACTTTTATTAATATTCAACTTCGTTCAGTCAGGCAAGATAAGGAAAGGAAAGTCACTAAAGTTATGGGAGGATGACATAGTAAAGATAGCTGGGAAAAATTGGACAAGAAGGCTCGCTAGCAGGAAAAATTTGGAGGAGACACAGAGATAGAAAAATAACAAAAAATGTAATTATTGGTTTCGGTTCTGGTCCGATTCTCTAAACCTAAACTTTTAAATTTGGAAACAGTGTATCCTTGTCATTCTCTATACAGAAAGGAGAGTCCGATGTCAAATTAAGTTTTAAGTTTAGAGAATCATGCCAGAGTCGACACCGTTATTTATAAAATGATATATGAATAAAGGCTATAAATAAACAGTCAAGCATAACACCTATTTGATTTATTAAATTAAAGAATAAATATTAATTAAATATAAGAAATATTTTAGAGGAGCTCGATGGCGCAGGTGGCTAGCGCGTTCGGCTGCGATCGTTGAAGTTAAGCAACTTTCGCAGTGGTCGGTCATTGGATGGGTGACCAAAAATTTACTATCTCGAGCTCCTCTGTGCTTCGGAAGGCACGTTAAGCCGTTGGTCCCGGCTGCATATAGGGAAGGAAGGAACTTACCGATCCCGGAAGGAGGGAACTTACCGATCGCTGTCCCAGTTGAAAAGGTAGCTTAGCGGTGGAGGAACCGCCAAATCACCCTGTATCTGAGGGTCCGCAATGAATAAAACTTTGGTGCAAGCAGCATCGTGGCCGTCGCATCCCAGCCCTTGCCAATATTGAGGCTGAATAACGTAGACGAACCATTCACAATACAAAGCTGCACCGACAAAGGCTGCGATAAAGTATTTTACAGTTGAGCTGTTTCAAACAAAACAAATAATACAAATTGTTAGTTGTTCTTACTTTGGCTAATAAAAGATAAACTGATTTAATTGTATTCCTTACCTTCTTTTCAAATACATAGTGAGAAAGAAAATTTTAAATTTTGGTTGGGTTTGTTGATGTAGTTTTTTTTTTACAGTTTAGATTTTTTTTTTGGTCTATTTGGCCCTGTTCAGAAGACCAAAGGAATCTGAGTCCATACAGCCCTGTTAGATATTTTTTTTCTGTAATAGAAAGACAAAAGATAGAGAAGTCATACGGCATAGTCTTACTTTGGTTTTTTTTCTTCTTTTTACTTACTGTTTGGACATGGACCATAGCAAAATCTTTGGTCCATATATGTATGGATTATTAGTGATGATTCCAGATGGCTCAGTGCATGGGCTGAAATTATTTATACAGGACCATAGACGTAGTACTAACAATGATGTCGATTCTGGCATGTTTCTCTAAATCTAAACTTAAATTTGACAACAGTGGTATCGATTCTGGCGTGATTCTCTAAACTTAAAACTAAATTTAACATCAGTCTCTCCTTTTCATTCTGTATAGAGAATGATAGGGATGCACTGTTGTCAAATTTAAGTTTAGCTTTAGAGAGTCACGCCAGAATCGACACCAGTGTATCCTTGTCATTCTCTATACAGAATGAAAAGGAGAGACTGATGTTAAATTTAGTTTTAAGTTTAGAGAATCACGCCAGAATCGACACCAATGTTTCCATCATTTGGCTGACACAACACGACCAGACTATTCACTAGCGGTTGTTGAAAGATACAGGTTATAATCACTGGGTAATTTACAGACAGCTTTTATTACAGCTTTCTTGTAATATCATAGATATTTGCCCTGAAAAGTATCATAGGTATTGTTTTTTTTCTTTACTTACTCATTACACTAAGCAAAAAACTTTAAAAGTCAAAAAAGTTAGTGTTAGGTCCATTCTCATAGGCCAGTTGGCCCAACTGGCTTGCAAAAATGGACCTGGTCTAGCGGTGGGAACTCTGCTTAAAAACCACAGACTAGGGAAGGATACGAATGCGTTCGGAAATAAATTACAAAATTTCTTTGACTTATTTATTTTTATAAATCAAATTGATATTGAAAATATGAAATTTTGATCTATTAATTAGCTGATTGGAGTTATTTTAATTTTAAGCAACATAGGTCGACAACTTAAATTATTTTATTTGGTAAACTACATGAAATAGGTAAACGTTATTATTAAACTGCGGCGATTTGACAGGTCAGCTTCATTTTCATTTTGAGGCACTTTTTAGAATTTGGGAGAAGCGTATTTTGATTTCATTTTCTATTACATATCCTTTAATTTCGACACCGTAAATTAGTAACGTTGGTAGAATATTATGTATGCAAGATTTTATTGAAGTGCACTTATAGTGTTACATAAACTGCGGAGCTTAAAAACGTGTCGGCAAAACCGATGTGTATAACTACATAGTACGTCAATGCACGAATGGTGGCTGTGAGATAATGGATGTAGATGCTCCGAACATATTGAAGAGGTGCAGCAGTGCACCGTTGATCAATGAGGCAGCTTCCACTACAGCCACATCGCCTACAACTAGCACTGCACCCAGGTAAGGTGCTGAGGTAAAAGACACGCCTTGGAAAACCATCGGAGGTGTTTGTCACTAAGGTCCTAGCATATTTTTGACAAGTGTTGTGGTATTTCGTGGGTGCCACGGTCGTATTTTAATCACCATCATGATTAATTATTTAGCATAATAATATTGGTAGGTACCTTTAATGCTGCTGAGCATACATATCTAATAAAAGGCATGCAATTGTGTAGTTATTTAAGAGGTAAATATACTGGAGTGTAAATTATTTTGATTAAATCTTTGATAATAAGCAAAATCATCACTATTACCTCAAAACTACACTCTTGGAGTTCAATAAGTATTTGACTTTGCATAGCATTCATAGAGAAATCCTTTAGAATTTAAACCTCAATGTTGATTTGATGAATGGAAACAATTAATTATTTTGTGATTTGTTGCTAAGAGCACATCCCAAAAAATGTATAGATATCAGAAGCATACACTTTGATAATAAACATTCTTTTAATTGATAATGTTGTTGGTTGTTAAACATTATGACATAATAATTAATGATAACATTTGAAGAAGCTGAATTCATTATCTTTCTATTAACTTCTAATGTTGTGGGAGTGTTACTTAGAAATAAGATAACTTTCATTGAATATAGGTGATGATAATGCTTTATTGGACTATTTGAAAAATAAAATTAGACAAGAGACTAGTAAGATTAAATCAACTTAGGGGGCGTCCATAAATTACGTGATGTGTTTTTTTGAATTTTCTGTCCCTCCCTCCCCAGCTGGTGAGAAGTCGTGAGATTTTATTCAACCCCCTCCCCGATCCCCCAATCTCACATGAGATTTTTCAAAATGTGGATTTCTTACGTAAACCCGTTGGATAGATCTTGTAAAAAGAAAAAAAATTGCTTTGTGTTTTTATTTTAATGGTATTAAATCTTAAGCATGTACAATCTGGATTAAATGGACCAAAATAGTATATTTTTTTTTGGTTTCAGTCAGAAAAAAAATTGCGTGATATTTGCTGAGACCCCCTCTCTCCATCATAAGATTAGATGAGATTTGACTCGACGCACTCCCCCCTTAAACATCACTCGTAATTTATGGACGCCCCCTTAATATATTTAAATAACACAAACAGATAGTATGCCATATAAATCTATAACTATCTCAATTTTAATACTTTTTTATATTATTTATTAAATGATGAAAAATAATAGTACTTTGATGTAATCTTAACATTTGCAGGCCTATGTTCTACCTGTCACAGCTACAGATAGTTGTTGTAAATATACCATACTCGTGTGCTTGTTATTATACTTCATGCTTCGTCCTCGAGATTAGCTTGAATAACACATGTAGTACGCGTAGCACGCGCCATTTCACACTATATTGAGAATATATAAACTAAAAAGAATAAAATTATTAGTTTTTTTTCTTTTAAATTTGGAATATGTGTAAGCCCTGGCGCCCGTCATAGCTGCCATTCGCTTTTTAGTGTGTCGCCGTTTCACATCTAGTTTTATTTCAATTCTGTTAAAAGTGGTTATTTAGGATGCCCAAACGTAAGAAAGATAATTGTGAACACATTAAACGTAAGATTAGAAGATTGGAGAGAAAATTGGAACGTAAAAAGAAGCACCACCGCAGTCGATACAATTCATCTTGTTCTGAGCTATCGGAATTTTCATATCGTTCGTCACCGATATCTAAAGGTATGTACATACATACATTAAGAATGCAAACTAAGTTTACATTTTTTTTTCTCAGTTCATTAAATAAATATTTCTTGGTAAAGGATATTAATGATTAATTTTTAAGCATTACTCTCTTTGAATTGGGACTGTTTCTTACTGAAAATGATCTTCAGAAGTACGATAAAACATTACTGGAAGAAAAGCTGTTACCTAATAGTACGCGATTTTCAATAGTTTGCGGACAGTACTTTTCCTTTGAACTGGGACTGTCTCTTACGAAAATTAAATCGTATAAATTGAGGTTAAATAATACATAACCTTAAATAATGATGGCAATCATTATATACACTGCAGTCACTGGGTCCTACAAACAGTACAGCGGGACTGTTATAAGGTACTACAAAGTGTTGTTTGCGGACAGTACGTGTTATTACAACTGGGGACTGTCCCTTACAATATAATACTGACATGCAAAATGGTGTGAACATAAATATTATGTCCTTTACAGACGACCAAGAGGTTATAGTTGACCTCGATGCACCATGTTCCGAGGGTCAACCTGAAGGACAATCAGAACAAGTGCTGGGGTCACATTTGGAAGCAATGCAAAGTACATCCCATGATGGTCATTCGTCGACTGACGCTCCGAAGCGTACTCTACCTTCAGATCAAATGTCTGCTCCTGAAACAGAAAACATACAATTAGAAAGTGAAATATTAGAAATATTAGGCACTGACCCTACTACAGAGAAAAGGTATGGCAAAGAGATAGATAGCAATGTTTCAACGAGATTCCAATACTGGGTCACAACAGGTATTAGTAAAGAATTGCGTAAAGAACTTGTAGATAAGTATATGACCCCAGAAAATTGCAAATTGATTGACCCAGCTGAGCTCAATCCTGAGATTAAAGCAGCTGTTTCAGATATTATCATAAAACGCGATAAGGCCATTCAATCGAAACAGAAGGAATTGACTGCTGGAATCACATGTCTGGGAGAAGCTATTACAGCTATACTGTCTGCAAAAGAGAAAGATACTGCCTTGCTAAAAACACTCATGGATTTGGCAAAAATTATATGTGATTGTCAACATTCTGATACAATAACACGAAGAAATTTTCTTCTAAATGCCGTGAAGAGGGATCTAAGGGAGTCTCTTCAAAATACTAAGATTGATAAACAATTATTCGGTGAAAACTTAACGGAAACTATAAAATCAGCTAAAGCTATTAACAAGTCTGGCACTGATCTTAAGCAATCAGCGACACCAAAGTTTCCTAAAAAGAATCTAAGCTCAAATCCAGCCAGTTCTTCACGGAATTTAAACTGGAAGGGTCTGGGTCCGAGTCGCAGGCCGACGGGCCCTCCGAGGACAAAGGAGCCTGTAACGACTCTGATGCGCAGACGGCCCATCAACTCATCGAAGCAGTCGCAATATCCGCAGCAGAGACAGAACAACAATCGTCGTTAAATACGGTAATGCATGCAGGTCGTTTATCATTATTCTATAAAGAATGGTCAATGATTACCAAGGACCCACTGGTCCTTTCTTATATAAAAGGATATAGGATTCCCTTCAGTCGAAAACCAATGCAACCTGTATCACCATCAATTCGAAAATGTACTGAAAAGGAAAGGGCTCTTTTCATTCACGAAATTGAAAGCTTGCTGTCTTTAGGAGCAATTTCAGAGTGTGATAACAGATCTGATCAATATATATCAACAATATTTTTAATACCTAAGCCAAATGGTAAAATGCGCTTCATATTAAACTTAAAGTCACTTAATAAATTTATTGACACAAATCATTTTAAACTGGAGGATTTAAGAACGGTTATAAAATTAATATCGAGAGATTATTACATGTGCACAGTTGATCTGAAAGACGCATATTTTTTGTTAAAAATTCATGAGGAAGATAGAAAATATCTTAGATTCCAATTTGATCACAAAACATATGAATTTAATGTCTTACCATTTGGCTTAAATACAGCACCTTTTGTTTTCACTAAAGTCATGAAACCGGTCATAAAATTGCTAAGATCATGTGGTTACCTGTCCACAATATATTTAGATGACTTCTGTTTAATAGGGTTAGATGAGGAGTCATGTCTTAAAAACTTACAAGATACCGTAAAGTTGCTTGCAAGCTTGGGTTTCATTATAAATACCGATAAAAGTAATTTTATACCTTCTCAGTCTTGTAAGTTTTTAGGATACATTTTAGACTCAAAGAAATTTCAGGTCACTTTGCCAGAAGGAAAAATGCAAAAAATTAAATCTGCAATACACAAGTTTTCTAACTTAAAAAGGTGTAGAATCAGAGAATTTGCTAGTTTTGTTGGACTTTTAATATCCGCTTGCCCAGCCGTAGAATACGGTTGGTTATATACCAAATTATTTGAAAGATGTAAATATCTTAATCTAAATATCAGTAATAATTACGACAAAAATATGGATTTACCTTGTTATTTGAAACAGGATTTTTATTGGTGGAGCCGCACCATGGATAAAAGCCCTGCTTATAAGATAAAAATTGACAAGTATAACCTAGAAATTTTTTCGGATGCCTCAAATACGGGGTGGGGAATTGCATGTGGAGACGACAGAGCAAGTGGTTTATGGAGTACAAATGAAAGTAGCAGGCATATAAATTATTTAGAAATTCTTGCTGCATTTATTGGTTTAAAGATATTTTCCAAAAATATGTCTAACTGCCAAATACTTCTCCGAATCGACAATACCACGGCAATTTCCTACATAAACCGTATGGGTGGTATTCAGTTCCCACACTTGACAGAGATCACAAAAGAACTCTGGCAATGGTGTGAACGTAAAAATCTTTACGTCTTTGCATCTTATATTCGATCTTCAGATAATTACCATGCAGATCAAGAATCGAGGCGAATACATCCGGATATTGAATGGCAACTAGCGGATTATGCCTTTCAACAAATCATTGAAAAATTTCATAAGCCTGACATTGACATATTCGCTAGTCGCTTAAATAATAAATGTCCAAGATATATATCATGGCAAAGGGATCCGGATGCATACGCCGTAAATGCTTTTACAGTGTCGTGGTCAAAATTAAATTTTTATGCTTTTCCTCCTTTTACAATGATTCTGAAATCTTTAAGAAAAATTATCTCAGACAATGCCACAGGTATTATAGTTGTTCCATTTTGGCCTACACAACCGTGGTATCCACTTTTTAAGAGTCTTTTAATAAGTGAACAATTAGTTTTCAAAGCAAATTCAAATCTTATTTTATCTACAAATTCCAGCCGCGAACAAATGCGCAACTCCATTACCCTGGTGGCAGGGGTCTTATCCGGGAGGCGATGATACGAAGAGGCGTCCCAGAATCTACTGTGGACATCATGCTTAACTCCCTTTCGGATAACTCGTATAAACAGTACGAAGGTTGCTATAAAAAGTGGTTTATTTATTGTCAACAGAATAAGTTAAACTTATACGAAGTATCAATTCCCGACATATTAAATTTTTTAACATCAATTTTTAACAGTGGTGCTCAGTATGGTACAATTAACTGTTATCGCTCCGCTTTGGCGTTGATCACTAAAAATAGTATCTCACAAAACCAAGAAATAAAAAGGTTTATAAAAGGAGTTTTTCGTACTAGACCTCCACTTCCTAAATATAATGAAGTCTGGAATATAGCTCAGGTTTTAAGTTGTCTTGAAAAATGGTTTCCCAATGAAAGTTTGAACCTGGAAATAATATCAAAAAAATTGATTACAATATTAGCCATTGCCACAGCAAATAGGGTACAAACCCTTTCCAAAATTAAAATTTGTAATATTGATAGGTCTTCTTCAGTAATTAAAATCAAAATTCCGGATCTCATAAAGACATCTAGAGTTGGAACAGCTCAACCATTGCTCGTTTTACCTTTCTATAACGAAAAGCCAAGTATTTGTCCTGCAAGAGTTTTGATTACTTACCTTGAAATGACTATGTCTCTTCGTGCTGATTCAGACAAATTATTTATAAGTTACCGAAAGCCATATAAGTCTGTTACTTCTCAAACCTTATCCAGATGGATAAAGAATACGTTACATTTAAGCGGAATTGATATTTCAATGTTTACTGCGCATAGTACCCGACATGCTGCTACGTCAGCTGCGCAAAATTTAGGTGTTAGCGTAGATCAGATTATGAAAACTGCAGGTTGGAGTTCGGAATCACATACGTTTGCCAAATTTTATAACAGGCCAATAAACAACAATTGTGATAAAGAATTTGGAATCACTGTTTTGAGTGCTTAATCAGATTATTTTTTCGTTTATTTCATAAGTTTTTATGTCACAAATAATATTGTTCTTTGGTTTTTTTGTTTTGGTTACCTTTTGTTTCGATGTTACAAAAATAAAGAAGCAACTTATGTTATATTTACTTTATTTATTATCCAGTTACCTATTACAATTATTAATATTTTTCGAATAGTCTCTAAATGTCTACATGTGTTATTCAAGCTAATCTCGAGGACGAAGCATGAAGTATAATTAGAGATTAAACGAACTTACCTGAAGTGAAGTTCTATCCTAATTATACGAAGGCTTCGTCCGAAGAGATTAGCTTCCCCCCCTCCCAAAAGTAATTATTATTCCCATATGTTATTCGAAAAATATGTATAATTAATACTCTTAACTAAATGACAGCTATGACGGGCGCCAGGGCTTACACATATTCCAAATTTAAAAGAAAAAAACTAATAATTTTATTCTTTTTAGTTTATATATTCTCAATATAGTGTGAAATGGCGCGTGCTACGCGTACTACATGTGTTATTAAAGCTAATCTCTTCGGACGAAGCCTTCGTATAATTAGGATAGAACTTCACTTCAGGTAAGTTCGTTTAATCTCTAATTATTATGCTTTATGACGCCATATAAAATACAACAAATGAGACAATGAGGATCAGTCATGTTTTTTGTGGGGTGTGCAGAATTATAGTAACAAAACAAACAGTAAATACTGTGCTTTTTTTAAATCAGACTTAAAATGACGAACATACAGCAACTTTACTCCTACATACTTATTATAGTGTATGATCTTATACAACTTCGAAACATGCTGTCGACTTAATGCTCGTATGTAAACCAACAACCTGGTTTTGAAGAGCTTTTTGCCTTCTCATAGCTTTATTAAAGCTCCAACGTACTTTATGCAATAAGCAGCTTCATAGGCTTTGGAAGCTGTGATACTACAATATCTGAGGTTGATACAAAATAAGGATTCTGATTGATGAGAAGTGTTTTACCTTTTTAAGACTTCAAAAAAATGATATTTCCAGTTCAATGATTCAGTTCAATTGATGTGTATGTATGTATAGTGATTAGATTTGGATGGGGTTTCGGTATATAAATGCATATTTATTCACCTGATTCATTACTAAAGAATAAAATTTACTGCAATGGCGAGATATTTGTTTTGTAAACAAGTTGTGATGTATGTTATGAGGAGCGAGGCATTCTAACACAGGTATATGTTTACCTAAAAGAGTGCTTCAATGACTTTTAAGTTAGTGTAATTTGGTTGCAGATGAATATTTTTCATTTTTTAGTGTCCCACTGTTCCATCCGCGTAGATCGATTGGAAAAGCGCGCGCGCAATGTACCGACCAACGCATGTAGAATTTCCAAACAGTAGCATAATCCATATTACACGAAAAAATAGATTATAACCTGATTTATTAGAAGTGATCATGATGAAGTTGGTTCTTTCTATTTTTATTAAAAATATATCTACTCCGAATCCCTCAATGTATCTCACTCACACTTATTTAATTAATAACTGAGTCCCTCGAAACAAAAATAAATTATTTAACACTAATAAAAATCAAACTACATGCGTAACACAAGCATCAAGTAACCCGTGAATGAATATGATCAAGCGGTCGCAGGGATCATAACAGATGATGTTTAATATATATTTTGTATATTTGGATTTTAAATGTGAAAGTTCTTTTGCCAGTATTTATTATATATTTTTAATTCTCACATAGGAGAGATGTAATTATGTTACAATTAAATTGTTGCTGTGGTGTCTTTTCACAAGCTCATTAGGTATATTATTATCAATTGAATATGAGGCATCAATCAACAGGATATGCTGTGTGGCAAAATTCCTTTTGTATTGTGTAACATTATTGTTCCAACTGTGGAATGTTTTTCATACAGATATGTTGAGATATATTATGAATAAAGAAATAATATACTTACTGCAGAAACGGGCAGTGATCAGTGAAATAATTTGAAATTTATATTGAAAGTTTTTTTTAGAAATATTTCTTAAAATAAATATAGATTTAATTAACATTTATTGGAGTTTATGTTTAAAGTTATTTTCTGTTTCTGTAAATTTAAAGCAATTTTTTTTTGTAATTTCTATTCAACCTGAGGAGGAATGTCTTTTGTTGCAGGAACACATTTTTCAGTATGCTGTCAAATAACAATTTATCAAGGATGCGGAGATACAGTGGAAGCAGCTTCAGCCCATTATCAGCACCAGTCAATGTAACTGTAAGTTTTCAACCAGTCATTCAAAACTAAATATGTTTTGTTCAAATATGCATATGAATGTGGTTCAAAAATAGTGTTATGTAGACATTTATTTCTCCCATTTTATTATGCCTGATGGCACATTGTCAAAATGGCCTTTAAAAAGTGAAAGTCTAGACAATTTGTTACTTAATAATTTGTAAATTTTCGTTTTCTCTGTTATTTCTGTACATAAAGTTGTAATCTTCACAGCCCTATATCAGAGATTTAAATCTCAACTGTTTCATTCTATTGATGAAACTGTGTTGGAGCACATAAATAACTTATAATACTTATTTATTACTGGTAAATTTCTTTATAATATAAAGACAGTGAAATTCTTTAAAAACCATCATCATCATCAGCCTATTAATGTCCCTACTGCTGGGGCACAGGCCTTCCCTATGGATAGAATAGGGTGATAATAATTAAAAACCATAATAAAGCTGTAATATCTTTATTATTTCTTCTTATATTTATATCATAGAATCATTTACACATAATGACTTTTTAATGACAAAATATATTAGTAGAAATGGTGAGCTGACAAAGTATTTATCTAACGACTCTCAATATCCCCATGATAAACTAGATATGAGATAAAAACGAAATATTAATAAAAAAACACGTTTATGATTTTTTGACATACTCTATGCTACGATAGAGTATGTCAAAAAATCCAAAATAATTCATATATTAATAATCTAAGAGGATATTAGGCGCATTAGTGCGAATATGGTGATATCATCATTAATTATGCCGACTCCATGTTTTTTTTTACGATTATAAACTTGAAAGATTATTATATCACGCATAAACAAAGAATTCTCAATCGTCTCACAAGAAAAAAAAACGACACTTTGATAATTTCAGCTTCATGTGTGGCGGAGCGGGCCGCAGCGCATCCCAAAAAAGGGAAACTTAGCACGTTAGTGACGGGCCAAGTCGCAGCCGCAATTTTGAAAATTATCTTATTTTTTCCTGTATAGCTCTGTCTTACCGCACGCTGCGCCCAGGCACAGTGTGCAATAGTTCATATAAAATAAACACCCGTGGATTTTTGCCGCTCCGTCTCGATATAATATGCGCGAACTTTTAAGCCACTGGACCCATTATGATGTTTTTCTATGAATATGTTGAAATCACACGCAGAATTGACTCACAAGCACTTACAAATTCATTAATGGTCAGTTCATATTAGGGCAGAGTCGAAGCGCATTGTATCTAATATCAGAAACAGTTACATAATAAATTCACTCTTATATCCGCAACCTAAAGCACATTTTTCCTTCTGAGTTGATAACCAGCGGAATGCACAGACGCGCGAATTCAAATGGTGAATTTGCTTTGTAACGTTTCTAAAATTCGCTTCGATGCGCTTTTTCTACTCTGCACTGGTATGAATTAACCATAAGCTTTCTAAATATCGTTCAGTGATCAGCTGCAGAGGCGAAAAATAAAACCGTTTCATCCTCGTGTTTAACCTAACAAGTTCACCTAGGTGGACTCTGGAAATTTGTTCTGGCCCTTGGTTCATCTGGGTGGACCACGGATACTGACGAAGACCCTTGGTACACCTCGGTGAACTTCGAATAATATTTAAGTTGTAGGGAGTACTCTCTACAACCAGAATCTCTTAGCCATGTATGGTCTCCTGGTACTTTTTTCGGAATATTATTTTAAAAAGTTTATGTATGTAGGTATTTTTTTTAAGTATGGTTTCATAGAAAGACTATAGTGGAGAAAAAAAATAATTTTCGATGGTTCCATGGGTTAATACCCTGTTCTTTTCCCACTGTCCCATCAATGGGACGTCCTATGGAACGGCGGAAAAGAAACGTTCCGCGTCAGTATTCGCGGTGCACCCAGATGAACCAAGAGTCAGAACAAGTTTCCCCAGAGTCCACCTAGGTGAACTTGTTAGGTGGACCACGGGTAATAAACAATTGAAACTTTAGATGAATATTGAAATAAAATGCAATTATCAATATAAAATACAGTGTCAGATTAATTAAAATTGTTAAAGTTTTTAACAGGGGCATTCAAATGTATGTTACAAGCTTTTATGAAAAAAAGAATTGATTACAGGTATTGTATAAGTCTGTTTCCGCGTTTTACACATGGCATCATCCGATTAAAAACGCTCGCTGTTTTAAAATATGCAATTTAGCGACTCCTTCAATTGTCAAAATTTCGACTTATACATAGTATTCTTTACTAGTAGAAATCCTTCAATCACCAAGCATTATTTATTATTCATGATGAATAGGCATCAGAATAATGACCGACTTTCTCTTAACTTGTTTGAAAATACTTAACAAAGTTGCCTATTGCTTTGACAATATTTACAAAAGTCAGTACCTACTACTACTAATATCCATACTTATACCTATTATAAATGCGAAAGTAACTATTTGTTTTGCTGAAACTTCATATGGCTATTCATGTAAATTTGACAGCAGTATTTCCTTTTCATATTGACGGGAGAGGTCGAGACGTGTATGTACGCCTCGGTTTTCAAGGTATCGCCTACTCAGAGGTCCCGGGTTCGAATCCCGATGTAGTACACAGTGTGATTAATATGAGCACTGCGTTCCTGAGTCATGGAATTTTATATGTATTTTTAAATAAGATATGACTGTATCAGTATATGTATTCTATCCGTTATATCCGTTAGCCTAGTATCCCGTAACATAAGCCTTACAGTGTTTACTTTGGGGCTATGCTAATTGGTGCATGTGGTTAATTTATTTATTTTGATTAAGATAGCAAATGCGAATAGCAGTGTGAAGTACATACTGTAGAAGGTCATTCGAATTTCTTTTGTCGCGAGAATTTTATTTGAGAAGGATGTAATTTCGTATTGGAGATAAATTAACACGATAAGCGGTTTGCAGCAAAACTCATGGACGCCGCGGTTGACGCCGCGAGTGAACCAACTGCGGGCGGAGGAGTGCGCCGACGTTAGCAACACGCGCGAAGTGGCGCACGAACGAGAGGTCCACACCGCCATGCAAATGGGCCAGTCCTGCGAGGACATCCTCACGCTGGTGGCCGGCCCGCCGCAGTCCCCCACCAGGCTACACAGGTACACACCCGCGCTACTGTATCACGTGATCATAGTGGCAGCAGCACGAGCGGGAGGGCCACACCGCCATGCAGATGGGCCAGTCCTGCGAGAACATCCTCACGCTGGTGGCCGGCCCGCCGCAGTCCTCCAACAGGCTACACAGGTACACACCCGCACTAATGTATCACGTGATCATTGTGGCAGCAGCACGAGCGGGAGGGCCACACCGCCATGCAGATGGGCCAGTCCTGCGAGGACATCCTCACGCTGGTGGCCGGCCCGCCGCAGTCCCCCACCAGGCTATACAGGTACACACCCGCACTAATGTATCACGTGATCATTGTGGCAGCAGCACGAGCGGGAGGGCCACACCGCCATGCAGATGGGCCAGTCCTGCGAGGACATCCTCACGCTGGTGGCCGGCCCGCCGCAGTCCTCCAACAGGCTACACAGGTACACACCCGCCAATAATGTATCACGTGATCATTGTGGCAGCAGCACGAGCGGGAGGGCCACACCGCCATGCAGATGGGCCAGTCCTGCGAGGACATCCTCACGCTGGTGGCCGGCCCGCCGCAGTCCCCCACCAGGCTATACAGGTACACACCCGCACTAATGTATCACGTGATCATTGTGGCAGCAGCACGAGCGGGAGGGCCACACCGCCATGCAGATGGGCCAGTCCTGCGAGGACATCCTCACGCTGGTGGCCGGCCCGCCGCAGTCCTTCAACAGGCTACACAGGTACACACCCGCGCGATTAAAGTGCAGCCAACGAAAGTATGCGATCCTAAGAAATCGTGTCAATTTCTGAAGTTAACCAAATAAAGCACACTTTCGATCTAGTAAAAAAAGAGTTCCGAAAATATACTCCAACTATAGGCAACTGACACCGTATATCATCTGGCTATTGTGGTACCAACACTCGAAGTCGTGCACAACTACATAGATCTATAAGTACTGATACTTCGCTGGCTCGACGACCCAAAATTAGTCTTACGATTGTAGGTGTACTCACAAATGTCAAATTCATTCAATGCTTCATTAATTAAGACACGTGTTCTCACATTTCATTGTTTTCGCAATGAATGTGATAACGTCGACTTGAGTCTAACTTATAAGTTCATTCTGAAGGTCTGACCTGTCCTAACCTGATAATACTTCACTGGCTCAGCCACCCTAAATGAGTTCTAGCCTCCGATATTGGAGATCGCCATCAGTCTCCATATTAATACTTAGGTATTTATTATAAATGCGAAGCCTTTTTAACAAATACCTTACCATTGTTATGATCAATTTTTAGTACATAGTAATAAAATGCGAAAGCAACTCTGTTGTTACGATTTCAATACGAAGCCGCTGACATGGTTGAATGTAGTGATAGACGGGATATTTTAAGGACTTGATGCGTAAATATATGAGAGGGTACTTTATTACTTTATTCGGTACAAACATACAAATATTTCCTCTATAATATTTTTTATAAAATGATTGATTTGATGTGCGTGATAAGTTGATAATGATAACACAACAAGCGAAGGGTGCGGGTTCGAGTCCCGTCTGCTGCCTGGTCCGAGTGGATTTTGTTATAGTTACATGTTTAAAAAAATAAAAATTAAATCTATAAATTGCTATTTCTTCTTTCAAATGTTTAATATTGTAAAAGTATTCATTTGACATTGTGGGTAACCTACAATGCGAAGAAATGGCGCTGCCTTGCAGCTTAAGAATGGCTAGAGGAAATTCGACGCGGCCGTCAGGGCCGCGGTAGCATAATTGGTCAGTGCATTCGCCCGGATAGCGAAGGGTGCGGGTTCAAGTCCCGTTTGCTGCCTGGTCCGCGTGGATTTTTTCTAGTTATATTTTCTTTAGATTTAAACATCAAGCAGTTACATGTTTAAAAAATAAAAATTATAACAACATTTTTTTTTTATATTTATAGATTCTCAACCGCTGTGTCGCCGTCACCGACGCGTACTTTCACGACGCGGCGGAGTCTTTCACCGCAGACTATCCGGGCTTCGTCCTTCAGTCCCGTTGGCCGCGGGGGCTTAGGTTGTAAACGGAAGGGGGAGGAAGGCACAGAGCCCCGAAGTAAACGAGCCTGCCACTCCCATGCCCCCCCCACCCCACCCACCCCCGACTCGGACTCGTTAGACTGCACCTTCCGCCCCGTCTCGCCCCGCGCGCGCCCCATGCCCGACTCGCCCCACTACCCCACCGACCCTAAAACTCCTGATCCCAGTTAATAACCCTCGACGTGGGAGAAAACGTACCTGTCGCTTTTCTGTTTCAAGGAATCGACGCACACGCCGCACCATCGGAATCGCGAAGACGCGCCATTTTTTCATTCTACTGTTTCAACTTTCTAATAAGAGACGATGTAAATTCATCTCCGTCTGCGTTTCAAAATTGAGTAGCAATAACTTTTCTCTTTTGAGATAACGGAGTGGCGATGTCGGATTAGCTTTTCCGAATCTGTGTCGTGTGTGTATGGCGAATGCTTTTGCGCAGCCGAAATGCATCGCGACTCCCGAGTGTACAGCTGTACTAAAAAATAAGTTACAAGCTTACCTTCTTCCCAAACCTTCTACAATCACATTATAATAAGGTTCAGAATCATTTACCACCAATTATTCTGGACCTTATTATAATATAGTAGATTTGTTTATGATATTTCCGTGAATCATTGCCTATTACTGCGTTTGCGCATATGAATATATGGATAGCCTTTGGTTCGCGCGTCGAACATGTATTTTACAAATTCCATTTTGTACCGTGCCCGATTTTTTTTCATTGTTATTGTCAATGTAACTTATTTTTGTCTTTGTCGGGTAGTCGCGCCGCTTCTTTCGCAAGCGAAATCACACGCCGCTCGAATTCCCTGGACTGTAGTGATTTTCCGCGACGGTAAATCCGTCGTGATATGTAGTTATAGGGGCGTAGCGTGTTCGTTCCAATCGATGTCAAACTCCACGGAAACGATAGTTCCTAAATAGTGAACTCGTAATGGCAGTAGTTTCGGGATGAACGTAGGCGAATGCCCTGTTAATAGCCAAAGCATTCAACTTTATTGTAAATAGTTAGGCGCGCGCGTTCCTGTGTACCTATATGAACGCCGATTTGTATATAATTTGTAGACATAAGGAAATGTAGCCATATAAATATTGTAAACCACAACGAAGAATTTCATTGATATGGTTTTACAGGTTGATTAGTTGTTTTTTTTTTTATTATTACTTTTGTTAGTGCTGTGTTGACTCGATCCGCCGATTTGTATTTATGACAACTGTCATTCGATGCTTTTCTCGTCCCTTTGATAAAGGTGTGAACATATTGCATTTTTCGATGTTTTCCAATCATCAGCCTATTAATTTCCCCACTGCTGGGGCACAGGCCTTCCCTATGGATGGAATAGGGAGATTGGGCCATGACCCACCACGCGGGCCCAGTGCGGATTGGTGGGTGTTAACGACTGCATATGCAGCCGGGACCAACGGCTTAACGTGCCTTCCGAAGCACGGAGGAGCTTGAGATAGTAAATTTTTGGTCACCCATCCAATGACCGACCACTGCGAAAGTTGCTTAACATCAACGTTTGCAGCCGAACGCACTAACCACCTGCGCCATCAAGCTCCTCTCACTTATCATTTAGCACATTCGATTATTTGATGGAAAATCATTCAAAGATACAATATATTTGCGCCAGAGGTAACTTATTAATAAAAGCAGTATAATATGCTTGTATTTACTAATGCCATTCTAATGACGTGAAAAAAATACACCGGCTAATAAATTACAAGTATTTTCTCCATATATTAATAAGTGAGTTGGGGGTCTCGCGCACTTGGTCACTGAGTTTAGTTGCAATACAATTTTAACGCTCTATAATTAACGAGGAATAAGCCTAGACTAGTTACGCCGTGTTTTGTTCATATCGCTCAAATGACATTTGTCATTCAATGAACAGAGGCAAAACATGGAGTAACTAATCCAAGCGTAGTCTTCTTTTATTAATAAGGGGGCTTATGTTAAAGGTATGTGAAGTAGTTTTGGACTACTGTGCGAAAATGCGAGACTCCTAAAAGCTCTCTAAAATCAGAGAGAACTTCATTATCATACAATGTTTTTTTTTGTAAATATAAAGAAATATCAATTCAATATTATTATATTAAAATTAATTTGTAAGTGTTGAGGTAAATGATATATTATTAACTAGCTTAATATTAAATTAACGAGGACCTGTTTTTGTTGGTGATTAAGGTGTTATTTTGATTAGCATTCTCCATTGATTGTGTTCATTATGTCACATAGATTAATTACACCATTATGGTTCAGATCAATCATAATTCATAGTTATTTTTTATGTAGTAGTTATCAATTCGTTTACTAAAGAGAGAATGTTCCAAGATAGATGATTATTTGTTGTTCATTTTCTTGGATTATTGCAAATGGTTTTTAGACTCCACTGTTACCAATGAACAGTATTTCAATAAGAAATTAGTATGATTCAATATACTTACGGTTCGATTGAAATGCACAATGAATTTGAAACAAAGATACACCTATGTTTTTTTTAAACAAAATGTATTAAGATATGGTTTATTGTGCTTACTTTGTGGGAATTTAAACAGACTTGAATAATGTCAGCGACTACCTCCGTACTACTATTTTAGTTAAGTATTTTAGATGCCCGAATCAATAGATTATAATTTAAACCACGGTTTGATCAATAGCCAAAGCATTTATTTTTAATTACGTTTTCCCTTGAAATATTGTCGCAACCTGTAGGATTTTTATATACCATAGTTCGTTAGGAGAGCTGGAATGGTAGCTTGGCGGTAGTCAAAATGTATGGATTTTAGTGTGGATTAACGTTTACCTCTGTATAACCCACAAGCTGCTGCATTTGAATATTAGTGTTATGATATAAATGATAATTATTTTGTACTATAAATGTACATAATAAGTTGCGATCAGGAGGGCAGCTGTCACCGCCGCTTGGAAAGCGATTTGCTAACGACTATTTTTTCGTTCTATTAACCTGAATCTGTAAATAAAATATTAATAATTACAGTGGAACGCAGGTTCTCCGAATTAATTGGGACCCTTGAGCAAAACCACAGACAAATAAACTTGCGCCGTATGTTTTTGTACAGTTGAAGATCTTGTGGCCAAAATCGGAACTTAATTTAATATGGTTGAACTTAGATTGAAACGAAAGGGGACGGTACGGCACTCCCGGCTCAAAAGTGTAACGCTTAAATTGTGATGCATGAACACAATCATCCAAACACGCTACTTTTGCAGTCAATATAACAATGATAAAACGGATATTCTATATTAAATAGATTAAACAATGCCATCGATACTTTTAAAAAGAACACAGTTCAAGATCAAATAACAAATTCCACGCCAACACTTTTCATTCGTAAAACTATAAGTTTTTAAAGTTTTTTTTCCTCTCAAAAAATACGTGATTTTTAATCACGGTTTGTCATGAATGTTATTTACTTTATACGCCATTTCAAGGAAAGGACAACAATACAGCTCAGCCGTTTGAACGCGAACTCCGTTTCATTCGCGCTGCGTTGAAGCGTACAGTTCCCTCTCGCTAGCTCGATGTTTAATCACAAAAGTGTGTGAGAGTTGCTTGTGTAGTTGAGTCAGAGCATATGCTATTTGATGCTGAGCATACCGTATCTTCCCTTCTTGTTTTAAACTAAGGGTATAAATAAGCCTTTTAAATTTCCTATAACTCTTTCCGTCTTATTATAAATTTTTAAAATTCCCTTGCCACAAGATCTTTTACACTGTATGTAAAATTGCTACTGCGCAGGGCTTCCTTGTCTAATGGTTGGTGCTCAGGAAGTTTGCCGGGATGTATAATATAAGTAATATGAAAGGCTCGCTCACCGACTTTTTTCTAGTCGCTTATCTTCGGCGGTGGAACAGATGCACAAACTTAGGAAATCACATTTCAATTTCCATTGTGGAGACTATGTATATGTTTCCCACCAAACGCGAAATATCCGATTTTCACTTGTCGGTGCTAAAGCTCGTGGTTCATACTTGATTTGAACAGACGACACTTCCCATATCTTTTTAGAACGGGCGCGGCGCTCATATATGACGAAGCACAGAGCAGGGCAATTTTGAATGTTATTTGATAATGATTGATTAGTTACATAAAAATAAATAACACTATGCGAAGAATTAGATTTTTACTCATGTTGTAACTTTCACTCAAGTTGTAAATCTGTGAATAACAACAGGACTCTGAATCCTCAATATCGGAGAAACAACAGTCTTATAAAATTGTCTCCAGTATGTGGTCGAGCTTTTAAACCAAGCTCTGCCTCTGAGCTGCGCTTCGTCATATTATGTCCGTCGGCCCTTAAGTACCTACGTTGTTATAAATAGGTATGTTTTGTATCTTTTGTAACGTTGTTGGTCCGATAATTACAATATGATCAACTTCTAGCTGATTATTGTTTTAAAGTGTGATTAAATCACATTATGAATTCACTTGATTTGTGTGTTTTATTTATAATATTGCCCACAAATTCGCACTTCATTGAATGCTTGATAGGAACAGCTACGGCATTGTAGTTTCAGCTAGACGATGTTATGATGCTGGCACTTCACATGGTTAGTATTTGTAAATTTGACAGCAGTCTCATTTTCATTCCCAATAGACAGGACAGGCCCTGGTGCGACGAAGGCAAGGTGCCGCATTTAAATTTTTAAACCTGGAAACCCGGTACACTTAAGGTTTGTACACCGATGACCGATTGTCCACCGAGAACTTGCCACGGACTCTACGCACACGGTGTGCGAACATTTGTCGTCAGTAAATTTAGATTGCGCACGCTATGGAAATAAGTATTCAGAAATTACGTTGTGTTGTAATTAACATTTGGGAAAAATTTAAAAGAAAAATCTGGGTCCATCCTTTTCTATCGGATCGAGCGCGCAGCGCGTATTAGGCACTTTGCAGACGACGGGGCGGGGCGGGCCGGTCAATTTCGCCGCGAATAATAGCACAAAGTGAATCTATACTTCAAACGCACACAGAGGGCAAAAAGACGCGGCATGTCCGCGGCTGCCCGCCGTGGATCATACAAACCAGTTTATATGCTGTAACGCAGACGGGGGCGCCACCCGCTTATTAGTGATGGACTATTCACTAAAACGAACGACCTAAACTGACCGCCTCTGCCCGTCGTGTGCTTTGTGTACGCGGCGCGGGCAGCCGCAGACATCGACGGGCAGACGCGGTCTTTATTGCTTCGCGGACAAAATGCCCGCCCCGCCCCGTCGTCTGATCAACGCCTTAAAGTTCGCTATGCGCGTTGCTGCGCCTCCTCTGTAGCAGAAGGAAGAAACAATATCCCGCAATAGCAAAATCCCAGGACAGATTCGCATGAAGGCAGAAGTATAGACCCGGTTCCGGGATGCTCATCTGTCCTTTTGCTGCAGAGGGGCTGCGCCTAGTCATATACGAGTTTTATATTCTTTCGGGGACTCCACCGTACTTTTGTCCAGTGTCTAGTGCTCTCTTGGCGTCCTCAGTTATTTGGAAGGACTGTACGCGGTACTTTAAATTCCCTCATGTGCGTTTTTGGCCGACTAATGTCCCGAGGGACTTGTCTCATGTTTCCAGATTCGTTTTCTGCGCAGACTTTTAATGTTAAGGTAAGAACGATCGTATCGTAAAATAACGGAACGAATTTTTAATGTACCAGAGCAACCAACTGAACTAAAAAAATCACGAGCGAGATCAAGAATCAACTACCGCAACACGAGGATTTTTTTATTTGAAATATCTTAAAGAATTCTGTAACCCTAAAATAATATGTGCCCCTCTCTGCCTTTCGCTTTCTCTATTCCGAGACCTCAGAAATTTCACACTGGAATTGCTCGGTTCAATCACATACATGCACTTGGACACAAGTGTAGGAGCTTCCAATAAAATGGACTGACAACCTGTAAAGGAGGGTGCCCGTGAAATGCCTTATTAAAAACCATATCTTTATATCATATAATAAAATGGTAGAAAAGTCAAAACTGTACTGTGTAGAATACTTGGGGTGTGATCTACAATCGATACAGAAGCCGAAAATTTAGTTTTTAGAATTTTTGTCTGTATGTATGTCCAGGGTAAACTCAAAAAGTACTGCTTAGATTTACTTCAAATTTGGCACGAATATTATTACGAAGTCGGGTCAACTTAGGCTACATATCATCACGCTATCACCTAAGGGGTACGAGCAGTGAACAGGGGTCAACAAAAAGGTATGCGTAAATAACTAACTCCACGCGTACTAAGTTGCGGGCGGTCGCTAGTCACAATATTAATGTTTATGGAAATGTTAAAAGTTTAGACCCAACTCTTAACATCTAGAACTATAGAACGCAGTTGTTGTACTTCCCGAAAAAGGATTGTAGTATTACAGGGTTTAATCTTGTGATCAAATTCTACTGCATAAAGCACTGAATATCGCTTTTCGTGATGTAATTGGAACAAGAACTTGAGATAATGAAAAAAATATTTTCAAAATCACTCATTTCTTATAGATTCTTCAACTATTGATAGATAAATTAAACAAAATCATACAAACCAAAATCACTTTTATTTACAAGTCGGAGTTTTATATTAACCTTGTATAATTAGTTGACAAATGATATCAAGAAAAAACAGTTTTAAAAGTGAAATTAATCTAAAACTTACCATTAATGAACAACATTATTATAACATTCCAATATTTTGTACTCTTTAAAATGTGATAAATTACAAAACATAAGACAATCATGCGAATAATCTCACAATAATTACTATGTAAATTAATTATTAAAACATTACAAAATCCATTAATAATAACTATAATTAAAAGAGAATTAGCAAAGCTTGCCAAGTACAATACATACTATAATTATGTATATAAAAACGATACAATTCGTTGATCCGGCTCAAGTAGATCCTACTTATAATAATTATGTCCAAAGAAAATATGTATACACACTTCATGAAACGATAATAACAATTGTATTAATCTGATTATATGTGAAACGGTAATCGCATATTAGTCGCATTTGTTTATTCAACGGCCCCATTACACATTTTATTTATCTAGAAAAAATTGTCAATTACCCTGGAAGACCGCATAGCGAAATATACAAATCGTTTCACACTATATTACAAATTATTACCTATAATTCACTATAGGAAGACGGTAAATCTAATTAAATTTATAAGAGAAGCGTAGCAAGACGGATAAACAATATTGGAATGCAAATTATGGCATGGTTTTTTGGTAAAGTTCTATTGAGCGTATGTTACTTGAAAGAGAGGCTTTCGATTTTGGTTTTTCATTGTTTTTGTCAAACAAAACTGGAGATAACTTAAACGGAAACTTAGTTTCATTAAACACGATCGATACAGAGACCATAGTCCCCTGTCAATACTGGTACATTGCCACTTACATGGCGTCACTGGGTTAGTAGAAAGAAAGCTCGGAAATACCTTTCACCAGCTTATCAGTCTTGTGTCAAATTTTGAGAAGAACTTTGTAAATAAAACTTTGCATAGAAACGCTAATATTGACATCTAAACATTCAACAATGCGCGTTAATGCAACGCCGCTACAATATTTGTAAATTCTAATCTCAATTGATCTATTAAGTCTCTTTTGCTCTATTTAATAAGCGGCAGTGATAATGTCTACACGTGTCATACAACGTAACATCAAGCATCCTTACTTAAAATAGCATGATAGCCAAGTGGCACCTTACTTAAATTAATTTGATATTTTACTAATTAATAAATGCTTCGCTTGAGCTTGATTTAGATACATTAATAATTAGCAACTTAACAGATTAACAACGCAATTGGATACGATGGCGAGCTGTCATCTGCGCTCATTATTAAGCGTAACTGACATTTAAGATCTCTGATTGTCCGCCACACACTACTTACAAGAAATATTAAATAATTTGAACCCACCTGAGTAATTTCCGTACTGTGTGTAAAGTGCCACGAGGCGATTCTCAACTGCTCAACGCAGAGTCTTCTAGTAGAGGCACTTTAGCAACTTCGAAGAATATTGTGTGCGAATACTTGTTTCTCACTGTGCTGATGGCCGATTTCGGTTTCTTGTGCAGAGTAGCGTTCTGTTCTAGGACCACTGGTAGGATGTCTTGTAGAGAGTAACCTGCAAGGAAGGAACAATAAATTTGTTTAGAGAAAAGAGGTAACCAGAAATAAGTTTCTTGTCCAAATTACTGGTGTTGGAGGTATGTTTTTTTTTTCAATGAATAGACATTTTTACATGCTTCAAACTCGAAGGAGCGTACTTAACGCGTTAAAGCGAACGACTGTTGCCGAGGATTATTGCTAAGACAGGTCTTTCGACGTTCTCTAAGCTAAAGAGAAGGCAGCACGTTTAATCATTATAGAATAGTGTGGTAACTTGAACAGCAGAGGTACAACGGACGTAACGAGTATAACACAACAATACACATTTGACGCATAAAATAGATCTAATTCAACTATTCGAATTCGATAATGATTCGTGCTAAGGGAACAGAACACGGCAAGGGTGCGAGCGAGGCGATCCGGTGACTGTACGAAGTCGATGTAGTGAGCGCATACCGCAACGAAAATGTTGAGTATTACTTTGTTATAACTAAGTAATCATTTGTTTTGTGGAAGAACTTTAGTGTCAAACAATGACTTGGGTACTTAACAACAAAGTATTTACTTGTAATTGTTTGTAAATACGAGTGTTAGACCATTTATCTGTATAGGAATCAAGTGTGTCTAAGTAGTGGAAAATATGAAGATGATGTTGCTGCCTCGTGCTGCCCTGCAGAAGCGCACTACTGACCTGTGTAGTAGCGCAGCGTGGCAGTCCAGCCGCCCAGCGACTTCATCCGCAGCGCTAGAGCGCGGGGCCGCATGTTGCTGCCTCGTGCTGCCCTACAGTAGGGCACTACTGACCTGTGTAGTAGCGCAGCGTGGCAGTCCAGCCGCCCAGCAACTTCATCCGCAGCGCTAGAGCGCGGGGCCGCATGTTGCTGCCTCGTGCTGCCCTACAGTAGGGCACTACTGACCTGTGTAGTAGCGCAGCGTGGCAGTCCAGCCGCCCAGCAACTTCATCCGCAGCGCTAGAGCGCGGGGCCGCATGTTGCTGCCTCGTGCTGCCCTACAGTAGGGCACTACTGACCTGTGTAGTAGCGCAGCGTGGCAGTCCAGCCGCCCAGCGACTTCATCCGCAGCGCTAGATAGAGCGCGGGGCCGCATGTTGCTGCCTCGTGCTGCCCTACAGTAGTGTACTACTTACCTGTGTAGTAGCGCAGCGTGGCAGTCCAGCTGCCCAGCGACTTCATCCGCAGCGCTAGAGCGCGGGGCCGCATGTTGCTGCCTCGTGCTGCCCTAGAGTAGGGCACTACTGACCTGTGTAGTAGCGCAGCGTGGCAGTCCAGCCGCCCAGCGACTTCATCCGCAGCGCTAGATAGAGCGCGGCGGCTGCCATCTTGCTGTCGGAGTGCTGCACCAGCGTGTACTCGAGTAGACACTGCTCTAGCACGAACCGTGCCAGTGTCAGCGTCGGCATCGATACTCGCGCGCACTGTTAACGAAAAAGGAGTTTCTTGAGTAAATTGCGGGGACAATAACTAATACTAAATTTGATGACTTCCGTGGCGCGAGTGGTATGTACGCGCGGTTTCTAGGTGTCGCCTACTAGAGAAAGAAAATAGTCCCGGTGGGGCAAAAGTTAGTATGACGAATACGACCATATTTACTTAAGTCATGGATTTTTATATATCTTTCTATATAAAACCTAGTATCCCATAACACAAGGCCTACGGTGCTTACTTTGGGGCTAGGCTAATTGGTGTGAATGTTAAAAATATTTATATATTTTTAAAAACACTATAATTGAATTTTAAAAAAAGGAATCAGTAAAATCTTGTTTTGAAGCCCAAGCACAAACTTTTAAGAGATCCGTAATTGTATCGTCATTATAAAATTTTGTATGGAAGGAAGGAGCCTGTTTTTTCTTAGGTTCAGTAGGGGCGCTGCTTAGTTTTCATAGAAACTTTGACGATGCGATACGATTACGGAGCTATCAAAGTTCGTGCTTATGCATCAGTACCCTTAGCACGAACCAATATCGAATTAGAATAGTTTGCGAGTGCGAAATGTCATTGTCAAATGAGTACTGTTTTTTAGTTCTCCTTACGTACTTTGTGGCGCTGCTCTCCAAGTTTCCATACAAAATTTGACAATGTCATTTCGTGCTAGGGGTACAGATGATCGAAGCTAACCAGGACTCCCGCACGCTTTGTGTTTTTCTTTCGGTTCTTTAGGTTGCGTATGCAAGGCGTATGCTAGGCGTACGGCGTTGGACTTCGATTATTTAGTCAAAGTCGGAACACATAATGTGGTGAATGAGTTAATGGTGACCAATGGAAATAAAATTATACTGTATGCTATTGTAATTAACCATTTCCGTTATGGAGTACCAAGCAAAATAAGTTTAAAAGAAAATTATTGATTTATTACAAGAATGAAAAAGATAAACAAAGATAGATTGGGGCCCTGGGGCAATCCCACTGTTTGAGAAATATGAACAAACTCCGTCCTGTTCGGTTGGTAGCGGACTGTAGTTAGGTTGAATGGTAACACAAACACTGGTTCGTCGGTCAAGGTATATTTATGCACATACAGACACAAAGGTAAATACACTGTAAGTACAGACACTGAAAAACTTGGTATTATGGCTAGGACTTACTCAGAAGTAGTTAAATTAGATATAATAGGAAGCACGTCCGTACAATGCGGTGGCCGGTAATGGAGAGAGAGTCAGCGAGAGACGCTGCTGGTCAACTAGTGCTGTGCACAATATTTAGTGTTGGAAAACATTCCAACACGATCATCTTTAGATTTGCTATTGCAAGTCAGGTATAACAGTACAAATGTCTTTAATAAACCTTAATAATTTCCCTCAAAAACTATCAAAACTCAGTATTGCCGAGACTGGTTGTTTTAATACTTCTTACTTTTTAATGTTTTTGGTTATTTTTTTGACTTTTATTGTCATAGACAATTCTATACCTTATTAAACGTTAATTACGAGAAAACGGTACTTTATTAGTTTTCCTAACACTCACCATGACAGTTCATGGCGAGAGAACGCCTAAGGTCCAAGAGTGTCTGCTGTAACATAACATGCCCCAAATTGATAAATAGTTCGGTTGTTATCGCCTCACCCGTGCGTATCTCCTGAGGAACCGGTATGAGAGTGGCACGCCGAGATCAAAGTCTATCACGCGTAGAATGTTCATCTCCATCTTGAGCAGCTGGCTTAAAGTGTACGCGCCGTCGCAGATGTAGAGGAAGTCGTCTACTAGAGGAGGGATGCGTTCCTGCAAAGTATGGAGTTTTACTCTCACACAGACAATTATGTTGCTTCACTCGGGTTTTCCAGAAAGAAGGGATAACCTACATAATCCCATCCATCATATTATTATAAAGGCTAGGTCTGTTACTGTCTATATGATTGTTACGTTTTAAAAAAAAACAATTATTTGCATGATTCGTTATTAGATAAAGGATACCTAATTAAAGAGCATTACCTTTTTCTTTTGCAAAAAATAATACTAGCAGGGGGTCAAATTGGAAATGAAAATATGCATGGAGAATAAAAAAAACTCACATCAAACTTGGAGGAGATGAACAAGGCAGAGGCGCCAAGCAGCTGCAGTTCCTCCTTCGTGAGTTGATCCTTCTGGGGCTGCGTTTTGGTGGAACGCGTGAGGAACAAATCCACCAGCTTGACGGCCAGGTATAAAGTCTCGTGGTTGAGCTCGAAGCTCTCCTGCACTTCCACCATCCAGTCTACGAGGAGCGCGCGCATCCAGGATGTGATGCCGTTCATACGCGTCAAGTAGTCGTCGATCGGGAATAATCGCTAAACGAAAAAGTTGACTTTATTAACAATGAAGAGGACATGAATATAGGAGCTGGCATTGAACTCTACCAAGTTCCTGGTACCCCATTCGGAAATGTGGTCCAAAGCCTGATTAAGTTCAACGATTTCCCGTTTCTTTCTTCTCCCGTTTTCCCCTAGTTTCTACCCGTCCAGCCGCTGCATGTCCAAAATATCTCGCATGCACTGTACTATCGTCTGCATAGCAATGAATATTCGCAAGTGGCATCAAATCATTGATATGCAGCAGAAAGATTGTGGGGGATATAACGGAGCCCTGAGGAACACCGGCATTCACTGACATGAACTGCGAACTACATCCGTCCATAAGGACGCGAATTCTACGCTCATGTAGAAAGTCAGCTACCCAGGCGCAGAGCTGAGCAGGCAGACCGTATGCAGGAAGTTTGGAGAGGCTTTTGTGCCAGACCCTGTCAAAAACCTTGGCGAAGTCAAGGCTAATAGCCAAAGATTCTCCCCGCTTGTCTATAGCTTCACCCCAGATGTGTGTCAAGTACGCTAGAAGGTCACCCGTCGATCGATTCGTATTGACGATCGTGAATCATGGCGCATTGCTTGACAAAGTCGGTATCTATGATTGTGAGAGTCAAACAATTTGATGTGTTCAAGTCGAGCGCGTGAGGAAAGAGTCCACCAGCTTGATGGCCAGAGGGATTGCTATAGCTTATGATTTCATTATGTTATTTCTGACCGCCTAAGGCATTCAAATGCCTCACGCTCTTTTTTTTCTTTTGCATCGGTACTACTAATATTAAAGAAAATGAGTGTGAGGTCATATTTATGACATGAATTAGAAATGCTCGATGGCATAGTGAATTTTTTGAAATTGGGCAATTACACAACTCTCGCAATAATCGGTCCCGGTATATATATATTATTTTGTGTGGAAAGGGTATAGTAATTGTAAGCAGCTGCGGTACCTATAGATAACGTAAAATATGAATGGCGTGTTTCCTATCCTAACCTATCCCTTTAGGGAGTACTGGAACTTAACTTACTAACAGAAACAAAGTATCAATCAAAGGTACTTTTATAATATTACAGTGGACTTTCTGTGCTGCTAATTGTTGTTGCTTGGGCAGGCACTCCAATGTGAGCAGATTATCTGCTATGCTTGTTTTTTTTGGGAACAAAAAAAACTAAAGCTTGATTGTACAGATGGTAAGTCAAGAGTTTGGTTTCTGCTGTGCCCAAGCAGTTTTAACATTTATAGCCTGATGATATATTTATTTAATAATTTAGTACACACTCAATAAAACAGATAAGAACAGGAACGAGAAATTTGTACAAGGGCACTGCTTATTTCATATTGAAATTTCTTCCAGCAGGCCCGCGAAAGAAAAAAACATAAAAAGGGTCGTCAGTGTGTGCCTCCTGAATATAAATAACAAATACAATACTTGCATAAACAAAACCTACATATATATCTACATAGATGTACAAATAAACATATATACTAAATTAAAATATACAAGTGTTAAAAAGGAGAAGCGAGGAAATATAGTGTTCCTTCAACCGTTTTTTAAATGTAGCAACAGTTGGACTGTCTCTGATTCCTGCTGGCAGCGAGTTCCACAAGCGGACGGCATGTACCGTAAAAGAGTATGATGCAAATTCGGTTTTATGAATAGGACATGTAAGTAATGATTTGAGATGGGACCTGCAAGGAACATTAGGCGAGTGGGTGATAGAAAACCTCTCCCGAAGATATGAAGGATTGTATAGGATACTGAAGAGGTAACAAAGGAATCTGACATTCCTGCGCAGACGTATGAGGAGCCACTTGAGTTCCTTTCGAAAGTTGGAGACGTGATCATACTTACGAAGCCCAAAGATGAATCGGATAGCAAGATTCTGCAGGCGCTCAAGTTTATCAAGTAATACCTGCGCAGCGTCTAAATAACAAACATCGGCATAGTCGCGAAGTGGGAGAATAAGAGATTGTGCAAGGGCAATTTTAGTATGTAGGGGAAGGAAATTTGAAGCGAAAAATACATTTTACGACTAACGTTAGCGACGTGATCAAATGTGACGCCGAGATTTTTCACCGTATCACTATAAGGTATACTGATTCCACCTATGGATACTGGCGGCAAATGAAAAGAACGGCAGGAATGTGACATATACCTACTCCCTATGATGATTGCCTGAGATTTACTTGGATTAAATGAGAGACCATAAAATTGTGCCGAAGTACTAATACGGTTTAGGTTGTAGTGTATAATTAGTGTATTTAGCCAGTAAGCAATATTGATTTATATTAAGTGACGCGCGTGAGTCGCGTCGGCATTAATAGTTAAGACATAGAATAGTTAATATGTAATCTTAAAGGAATAAATAAATAGTTTTATTAGTTTAATAAATGTTTCAATCAACGGCTCCTACGACAACCGTGGATGGCGACCCTGCCAGGATGAGGTCTTCAGGCAAACCGGGATAAATCATGGGAGGATCTACAAGTAAGGAGGAAGTCGTGTTGGCTCAGACCGCATCAGGAGGTAACAATTTGTCCGAATTGAGTCAGCTGCAGCACCATGTCCGTGCTACTAACGTCGTGATGATCGTCGTGGCTGTCCTGTTCCTGATCGCCCTACTTATTGGAGGATTCTATTTATACCGAAGGTGTCATAGGGGCTGGGTTCGTGAGGAGTTACGAAAAGCGGTCATTCGTAAGGTTTTGAGCATCAAGAATCCGGCTTTCGAAGGGGCGTGATTAAGTGAGTGATATTAGAAGCCCTTATTATTTAATTTCTTTCATTTTCCTCGAGTGTTTCATGTCGTATATTATGTGGTGCGCGGTAATTGCAGTGCTAGCGTTAAAATAAAGAGACAATGAACTTTCGATTATTGAACTTAATGTAGGTCAACATTATATTTTAATTATTAGTCATAGCATTACTTGTATTTTATATTAGTAACTCTTTAAATGATTTTATTTTTTGATTCGGTAGAATTTTATATAGATGGCAGATGAAGGGTTACAGAAGTTATTAGATATTCAAAGTAAATTATTAATTATAAAAGAATATGTGCGTAAATTAGGACAAAAGCGGCGTATTAGACCAAATTACGAAAAACGTGTTAAAGAAGCGAAACTATTGTTTCAGAATTTTGAAGATATTTTATGTTATAGTTTTATTAGTTTAATAAATGTTTCAATCAACGGCTCCTACGACAACCGTGGAAGGTCTTCATTAATGGCTGCTATCGTGGAGTCCGTTTCGTCAATATTGAAATGACGGTAAAGCTGCAAATCGTCTGCGTAGAGATGAAACTTGGAGGAAATTACTCTAGTAACAGAGTTAATGAAAATAGAGAATAGGAGCGGTGAGAGAACACCTCCTTGAGGTACGCCGACACAGAGGTCACACCCATCAGAGGTTGAAACATCAAGGCGAACATTCTGCGAGCGACCCCGAAGATATGAATCGAACCAAGAAAGAGCAGAAGTAGAGACATTTAAGGAACGAAGAATGGCAAGGAGAATATCAAAGTTGACGGAATTAAATCCATTGCTAAAGTCTACCAATACCAGGGGGGCATTCGCCTAACGGAAATGCTTAGGAACGATTTTCATTTTGTTATTTCTAGCCGCCTGAGGTTTTCAAATGTCTCGCGCTCTTTTTTTTCTTTTGCATTGGTAATAATAATATTAAAAAAATGAGCGTGAGGTATTTGAAAACCTTCGGCGGTCAGAAATAACAAAATAAAATCGAAAGCGTTAGCGTTTTCCTAAGCATTTCCGTTAGGCGAATGGCCCCCTGGGCAGTTAACGCTTTGTTTTCCATTGCCCAGCGTATATCTCCAGTGACATTCACTAAGGCAGGGACTGTGCTGTGACCTGACCGAAACCCGGATTGAAAGCTGTTTAGGTTATTCGAAAGAAGAAAATGGGAAACTTGCTTGTGAACTATGTGCTCGAGAACTTTGGAAAGAAAAGGACGAAAGTGACAAGGTAATGAAGGATTAGGGATCTTTAGTAAAGGAATTATATGAGCTTTTTTCCAAATTTGAGGAAAATATTTCGATCACAAGAATTAGTTAAAGATGTGAGCTAATACAGGGAGTAGAGTAGGTAGAATAGGAATAAACATCCTCGAGCACAAATTATTCTCACCAACGGACTCAGAAGATATAGATAATATAGAATCTTTGAAGTCATTCTCAGAAACTATCAAGAAGTCGAATAGTGGACAGTTGGGTCTAGCAAGTTCAGGCAGTTCCTTGAGAGTAACAGCCTTGTCGCAACTGTTAACATTAAGTGGAGGGAGAGAACAATGCTTATTCAAAGCGTTTAAGTCGGTGCCCGCAGAGGCAGAAGAGCAAGGTTTGCCCACACCGACTGACCGAAGGAATCACCAAGTATCCGCTGTATTACGATTAGACATAGAATCATGGAAGAATCGTCTAGCGTCTCTACATATACAACTGCAGCGATTGCGGAAGGCTTTATAGCGAACCAGGTTGTCATCAGAGGGGCGACTTTTTAACCTACGTTTGGCTTTTTCCCTCAGTGCCATAAGTTCTTTAATTTCATTTTTAATCCAGGGAACAGGTTTATGTTTAATTTTGATTAATTTTAATAGTGCATGCAATTCAAAAAGGCTTAGTATCAGGGAATTTAATTTACTGACCTTTTCGTCAATATATCGCCGCATTAAAAAAGGGGGTTTGCTTTTGGGTGGTTTCACTTTATGTGAAAGGAAGACGAGATCATGATAAGAAAAATTTGCAGTTACTTGCCCGTGTGATTGCACTTTCTCTGGAGAAGAAACTATCATTAGGTCAAGTTGTGAAGGCGTGCAGTTAGGGAAATGAAGGGTAGGAGGGAAGAATGAATGAATTTCGTGGGAAGAATATGTAAATTGTAAGAAGAAATAATAGACTGAAGTTTAGAGGTACGTAAGTTGCATTTCATAAGGCATGTGTTAAGTCGCCCATTATAATGATGTGCTGGTAAGTTGGTCTATAAAAATCAAGGAGTTTATCAAAACTGTCAATAAAGTAATCAATAAATAGATTAGGAGAGTAAAATACACCCAGGAAGGAATTTAGTTTGACGAAAGGACACTTCTATAAACAAATGCTCAGCTGAAGCACTATACGCAGAAGGAGAAGTGCTAACAACACGGAACGGAATATCAATGCGAAGGTAGATCGCTAATACTGCTAATTTTGAATCAACCATCAATAACTTACGTGTACCAAGTAATAAGTGCAATAAAGTAAATTTTATCGATTGTATACACATGATTCTAACGTTTGGCCTCGACATGACACAAGTACAGGTCGCGGCACGTAACTCTAGCGCTGAACAAAACACGTCAGGGATAGCTGCTCATGGGTACAACTGGAGAGACAGTCGGCGCAACGCACGCCCACCCCGCGCACCTCGTTTCCCCACAATACATCTTAATTTTTACTTCAGCGCAATAACGGTCAGCGCTAGTTTCGTGCCGCGACTAATTCTGATAAGGACGACTATACAGCAGGCCACTGGGTAGTAGAGGTCCAGTGGTAGGATGAAGAGGATCAGTTCAAAGAGACATTGTACATGTTCATTAACCAATACATAAATTCTGTGAAATATAGATAGGTACATTAGAGACAAGAATACAATAGAATAGCCTACACGCATCCCCGTAACATAAGCACCACAATTTACATTATATCACGTTTTTTATCGCGCCTAACTGTCAAACTCCATAGTAATTTGACAATTGAGCATGATAAAAACGAGTTTTTTATCATATCGCGGTGCTCATTATGATAAAAATGAGCTTTTTATCATATCGCGCTAGGCAGGCTGAACTGTAACTTTGTTTACAATATATATCTCAGAATTTATCTCTCTCTGATCTTTTTCTCCTGCACTCCAACTAATTCTCATTAAAAGTGTACAACTGTAATTTTTTACAAAGTGTACAAACTGTACATAGGCATATCATGGAAGAGCTCGATGGCGCAAGTAGTTAGTGTTCGGCTGCGATCGTTGAGTTAAGCAACTTTCGCAGTGACTGGTCATTGGATGGGTGACCAAAAATTTACTATCTCGGGCTCCTCCGTCCTTCGCAAAGAACGTTAAGCCGTTGGTCCCGGCTGCATCTGCAGTCGTTAGTACCCACCAATCCGCGCTGGGCCCGCGTGGTGGGTCACGGTCCAGTCTCCCTATTCTATCCATAGGGAATACATGTGCCCCAGCAGGGGGGAAATTAATAGGCTGATGATGATGAGCCTTGTTTAAGACTGAGGAGACTTTTAAGTCCAATGTTAGATTAGGCACCCATTGAAATTAGTAAATCAAAATATCTTAACCATTAAATACCTAAGCGGGGTAGATAATACATAGCATAAAACACCTATACTTGTGTGATGTTACTATGTCTCAGGTATAAGAGTGGATTCTATAGTAACTCAGCATATTCTTTTTATTTTTGAAGTTTGTTATATTTGTGTTAGATGCCAGAACTTGGAAGAGTAAGCAATAAAGAATGAATTTATAATTGTTATTTAAGATCTGAGTTAACATTTACAAAATATGTAAACAATTGAAAATTTCTTTTTGCAATTTTAGGGGCATGCTTTATCTCAGCAAAAATTATAACATCCCATGCAGAGGGGTGACAGATAAAGGATCCATTGTCATGTCAAAAGTAATACATGCTTCAAGGAACATCATGTAGTAACAGGGAACAGACAAAATATAATAAAAGGCATGAGAAATTTTAAAATTAAAGAATTATGTGCACTGGTTTCAATGCTCAGCTGCCTTGACATAAAACATTGTTAGATATTTATTTTACATGGTGTTAACTGCCATGTCTTTTTATCCAATTAAATTATAAGTTATTGATAGATTCAAATTAAATAAACAATTCAGTAATGCAGTTGGGAAAAGTAAAATAAATTACATTCAGAACACAAATGTTTAACTTGCTGAGATTAATGCATGTAATTTTCTAAACAACAAAATATTTTATTTTTTAATAATTCATTAGGAGGTGAAAGGTCTGTATATTGATACATACTTCTCTGCCCTTCAGGTAATTGAAGATGTCCATAGCATAATTAGAGACTTGGAATGGGTCATTCCAGTTCTCCAAGTCAAAGTCCGGGACTCCACTGGGCACCTTGTGTGGAGATTCGGTCTCTTCATCCAATGATCTGTTTATTGTGTCATCTAGATTCACTTTGTTGAGTTTTTCACTTATTGCCTTGCATTCCTCTTTCGTTGTGTCAGAGGGACTTCTAAAATGTTTGGATTTTATTATAAAAACAGACAACAATAAATAAAAAAAAAAAAACAGCATCTTAAGACGTCAACTATATTTTTTGATGATATAGAAATCCTTGGCTAACTGATAAGTCAGTTCAATGTTGGAAGGCTTTGTTATTTACCAACACGTACAATTTCTTACATATGCTCCTTATAGGGGTACTGGTTCTACCTCAAGATGAGGCTCAACATATACTACCACAAAACAATATATGGTGTGAATAGTTTACATTAACTTTATGTATTTTAGAGATGACTGTACAACTAAGATAGTTGTGCATGCAGCAGCCTATTTGCAGTGTATGTGTGGCAGGGGAAAACCACAACAAATCAGCTTTGAAGTCAAACAATTACATTTCCCTTTTTTTAAAAACATAAACAACAGCAAGTATGATACCGCATCAAAATCTAAATTAGGTATACAGGGTAAATTTTAAAACACCAACAACCCTCTCTCGTCTTAGGGGGCGATTCTACCCATCAACAGGAACAACTTTTATTATGGGACCAACTCTGAAATCACGAAAAAAGAACAGCTGTTTCATACATTTCTTTTGATTAGCTGATGCACTTTTGTATGAAACAGATTTTTCTTTTGCGATTTCAGTGTTGGCCCCATAATAAAAGTTGTTCCTGTTGATGGGTAGAATCACCCCCTAAGAGGTTGTTGGTGTTTTAAAATTAACCCTGTATAATGTAAAATATACTAACATATTTTCCAATGCTGTCAAATACAGGGACGGCTCAGACACATCACTTCTCCCTGACTTTGCTGAGCTTTGACTGTTGTTCTGATTTTCTTTGCCCAGCTGTTTTCTGTCAACGTTTTTCAGAATACCATTTTGCGCTCTGGTTGCAACTGGCTTTGGTGGGTCCTTAGCAAAGTGCTTCTGCACTGATTCAATTGCATTTGTGGCTACCCTTTGTAAAGTTTTAGCTTTGGAAGTTTTACCATTTAACGTGGTTGTCTGGGGTTTGATGCTCTAAAAAAGATGAAAAGACAATTAAATAGCAAATGTCTGGTGTTTAATAACTTTTGCTTTTAAAAATAACATGTGAGGAGTAAATGACCAACTTAAAATTTTGGAGGGAAAGTTCACTAAACTTTATTTGATTTGAATAATTGGTTAATAAAGTAATGTGACATGTGTCCAATATGTAAATAGTATGTATATTATATACTGTACAATTGTACTTATCATAGATTACTTAATTTGCTAATGAAATGATGATAAAATGAGGATATAACAGTACCCTCCAGAAAGATAGTAAAATCAATTAACCTTTAAGATTGGAAGCACTTTACTTTCCACCGTGACTTTCTTTAGCGCCATAACCTTATCTTTATCATGTGCAGCACTGGATTTGTTGATAGCATTTGTGATGTCTCCAAATGCCGCCCTCTTGGCTGTCACGTCTTTCAGGGGGCTGTCAGCTTTTCTCTTGTTTGGTACTTTCAAGCCATCTTTGTGTGTCTTTAGAGAAGCCAATTGCTTACTCCTTGTCGTAATTCCATGGCCTAAGATACCGTTCATGTTTTCATTGACGCCGATTGGCTTTGATGCCAACCTGGTTGGCGCCATTGCAATTTACTGAAATTATAACTCAACAAATAAGTATCACGTGCACAGGTATGTTGTTAATAACACGTTACTTTAAATTAAACACGTTTTAATAATATCACGCAAGGGGACTGAATATGTAAACAAGTTTTAAATCCTTACTTCTAACGACCAAAAATGGAGGCAAAACAAGCGAACATCTAGACAACTTCAAATGCTATTCTATGAATTATTACTCACGTTATCTAGACGGTGGCCGCCGTTTTTGAATTCTACGTTGTATTTTTAAAGAACACAGAACGCTAGCAAAATTTCAATTTTTCCACAATTAAATTTTTGAGAATTCAGTACTCAAGACCGGACAGACAAACTCATTTGGAAAGCCGTTGCACTGCTTTGAATTTGTATTGGTTGATTTTTTCAAATGTGCGCTGTGCCCAGCCAATAGCGTGATAGTTACGTTCCTTTTCGCGTTGAGAAATATTACAAGACAAATAATTCCAATTTATAGTATTATTTAATAATATTAAATTTTAGAAAATTGACGAAATGTACGGTTTATGAGGGGCAGTTTTGAAAATTGATATTAATTGTGTTTGATAAAATATTCCAAACAACTATAACAAACTATGAGGTTACCGAGTCTTCATTAGCATGGTATTAAAATTTATAAAGTGAAACTTTATTTCATTTGAAAGGAAAATCACAATTTCTAATAGAATAACGAGAAATTATGCACAACGCATTGTACACAATATTTAGCTGATAGCCGTACATTTTTGGCATAATTAGAATTGTTTTTTTTAATGTGTATTTATATTTATGCATCGAAGTAACGGAACGTTAATTCTCCAATGTCACTGTCAGTCAGCCGTTCGAAATAGAGATGAGCAAGCGATTTTGCAATCAATGCTTAAAGCGATAATTAAATAAAAAAAGTCAAAAATATCGGTATTTTAAGTATATTTACAGCTTTCTAATATGTAGGCAAAATAAAGACATTTTCGGGACATAAATATCTTTATTTTGCTTAGAATAATTTCTTTTTTACGATAAGCTATGATAAGTTATCCTTAGTAAGCTAAGAACTTAGAAAACTCGAATATGCAATATAACGGGTAAAATTCGACAACCCTCGCAAACTCTATATTTTATGATAAAATTAAAACTTCAGAGTGAAAAGTAGCACATATAGTATAGGTTTGGAGCGCGCCCCCCCCCCCCCCCCCAGCGAGTTCTCAGAAAAATAAATGGTCAATGAACCTCTAGAAAAAGATTCTTGTAAGTGTTCATATATCTATTAATAATTTCATATTTTTTGTAGGTATTCATTTATTTTAAAATAACATTTATTGTTTAGAATAGCTTTTGAGATGTTTATAAATGGCAAATAATTTTATTTTTATTCATTATTGTATCAGGTAATTTGTTTGAGATCTTAATAGATGAATGGAATTTGCTTGATGCCAGAATTGACAACAATGTGAAGTTATGGCGGAAGCTTGAGATAAGGAAAACGTGGCCTAATTCCAGGCTAAAACATGCCTGGAATTAGGCCACGTTTTCCTTATCTCAAGCTTCCGCCATAACTTCACATTGTTGTCAATTCTGGCATGATTCTCTTAACCTAAACTTAAATTTGATAACAGTACATCCTTATCTTATTGTATACAAAATGAAGAGGAGAGACAGACGTTAAATTAAAATTTTAAATTAGAGAATGATGCCAGCATCAACACCATTTAAAGATTTTATATAGGTGTGCTTAACATTTTTAAACATTTTTACGGTTCAGGGATCTTACGTCTTAATTACTGCCTCAAACTCATAACTTCCCACTGTTATCAGTCTTTTTTAAATTAAATTAATTTATTTAAATTAAAAAGGTCTAGAACATTTACAAAGAATCTTAAATATAAAGATGCACACAAAATATGTTTAAAACCGTTCTAAAAATCAATACAATGGTTTTTACTATGGTGGCGATATTTTCGATATGATCGGTTTCTCAATATATCATTGCAACCCTAGTCAATCAGAAATAAGGGTACGGCCAGAGTGCACTCAGATTTAGATTCAGACTCAGAAAACAAGCGCGAGAAAAAGCAGCAGCTTAGACTACACTGTTTATTTCTCGCGCTTGTTTTCGGAATCTGAATCTGAATCTGAGTACACTCTGGCCGTACCCTAAGCTTAGAGGAAATAAGGGATGGCGATTCTTTCCAAAAAAAAACGATTTTAAATCGATTCTCATCCTGGCCTAATGAATCGATCCACAAAAAATTGAAGCCAATAAGATCGATTTTTGAATCATTCTTTTTTTAAAGGTTTTTTTATAATGAAATGTAAATCTATTTTATTAAAAACAAGATATATATTATAATTTTACGATCTCTTGTCAATAAAATCAGGTAATTCAATAATAACAAATATTAAAAGATTACAAACAAACGTAACTTTTTTTATTAAACAGAAGCGAAGGAATCCAAACATACAGCCATCTCGCAAGTTTTGAATAATTAACCGGCAGCACTCTTATAATACGGGGACATTCAATTAATTGTAAATACTGTTTTGGTTTGTACCAAAAAATTAAATAAAATCGAAAGTCTATTTTCAAGGGTGAAATATGGATTCACTGACTACATATCGATTCATAATATCGATTTTTCTTAGTCCAAAAACGATTCTTCAATGAATCGATTTCAGATCGTCATCCCTATCAGAAATGACGACTTGCTTGATTGATGAGTTTGTTTTATCAAAACATTGCTATACTTATATTTTTCCCCTGAATTCATAGTAAATTTAACCTTTCAATTTTATTTGTGCTTCTTTGCAAAGTGATATTTATAATAATGCTAGGAGGGGTTAAACTAAAATTATTGTACACTTATGAAAAATCTTGTTTTGCGTATATTAGTCCAAAGTACAGCACAAATAATGAAAAGGTAATAAAAATACGATTTAACATTCATAATAAAGTTATATTATGGTTTAATGTCTGTTTTTAAAGCTTTTGTGTAAAATATAATAGTTTGTAAGGTTACTTCTATCTTTATTTACAGACTCAGTGTGTTCAAGTACTTTATAGAGATAAGATAGTGCTTCTATGGGTTGTGTTCAGCAGTAACATTCCCGAGGGTAGGATAGCATGTAATCCCATATTTAGTAGATTAGTGGACCTAGATGAAGGTGCTGAGGTTTTTGTTTCACCATATAGTGATGTGAAGGTGTTAGATGAGCTCTATATTGACACTGATAGCCCTGATGACCAAGAAATATTGGTGAGTATTTTGTATTTTAAACTCCAATGTTCACAGTCATTCAATCAATCAAATAAAAAATATTGATTTAATAAATTAATGGAACAATTCTAATTTTCACAGGAACATAACATAGAGCTTCTGCAACTTAGAATTTTAGATCAGTTAAGGTTTGTTGTATCAAACCAGAAGGCTGTTGTTTGGATATCAACATCTCTGCCTATAATATTCACACCAAAGCAGACCGGCCTTTTAGTCACTAATAGTAGAATCATTGTGAAGGTAGATGCTTTCAACAGTTTTCACAATGCTCCACAAAATACCTCAGCACATGTGCCTAAACTTGATGGTGGATCGTTTAAAAATATAGGACTAATTAATAATGGAATGCTCAAGCCTTATTTAAATGTGCCAGACAGGCTGGTCCTTAGAGCTTTACCTATAGATAGTGATGGCAAAAAAAACCTCATACATCCATATACAGTGTTTATACATGAGGATTTATTAAATGATAAGTATAAGTATTTTACTGTCATACTAGCCACTATGAAGAATGTTGTTTCAATACTACAAGAGGCTAGTGAGGATGAAGCTCAAAATAATAACAATCATGTGAATGATTTATGTGTGGAAGTAGTACTTATAGATAATGTTGTTTATAGAAGTCTCTGTCAAGAAGTTTACAATGAAAATATAAGGACTGTACTAATACCAAAATCGTTAAATAACATTATCAACATAGAAAATGGAACTAAAATAATTTTGTCTATAATTGGTGAGAAAGTGGAACAACCTGATCATATAGATGTAATATCATATACAGAACAGATTCAGACTGAAGTAGAAGTCATTGAGAAATTTAAGAATTGTGTAATTCAAAACACACATTCTGGTAAACTGTTCCTAATAAATGATAGTATGATAAAGCAGAATTTGCAAATTAGCAAAGGTTTTTTACAATTTAAGCTTAAACCTGAGAAATTGAAGTATACAGTGCTTAGTTCTGAGTCATTTAGACAGTGTACAGTAGCTGCTAAATGCCTGACTGATGGTGATCTAGAACTTCCTAAGCTACAAATATCTAGGTTAGAGTATGACTTGAAAAATTACTGCAGAACAATGAAATCCCTGGAAAATTTGGTACAGAAAGTAGTGTCCCATTTGTATTTTGAAATACACAGAGAGGCTACATTTAAAAATGTTTCAGAGATTAAGAGCAATGTTTTAGTCACAGGTAAGAAAAATCTCCATATTTTATTTTTATTTTCTCGAATTTATTTATTGATTGTGTAATAATAATCTAATGTTTTCATTATAATTCTATAATTATCTGAAATAAATGATTATTATTATTATTAGCAAGAAAGTGATTTTTTATCATCTTATGTCTGCTATTTCATTTTGCATAAATGTTGCAATTCTATAAAATGTTGTTTTATTTAAATATGTGTAAGTGAGGCACACTATGAACATTATAGAAAATAATTTTATCTGTTAATTATGACCAATATATTTCAGGTTTAAATGGTTCAGGAAAGACTGCTATATGTCACATAGTACAAAAGGAGATGACAGTTTGGTCACATATTGTCCATTGTCGGTCACTGAAGGGCAGAAAGGATATTACTGAGGTGCTGGGCAAGGCAATCCTCATGTGCCAGGAGCACAGTCCGGCTGTTCTCATCTGTGATGACGTTGACTCATTGGTTCCACCTGATGTCGAAGGTGCATCACCACAAGACATCGCTTATTACCAAAGGTTATATTTTTATAAATATAGTGCTTTTTTATTTAGTATTATGCATTGGTCTTGCAAGATTTTTACAGGAGTTCTCCTCCGACGTTAAGCTCCAGCAATTGATAACTTACAACCATTAGAACAAGCGGTTTCCATTCTGGCTTCAGCACTATCGACCACATCCATGTGGTAGAACAAGTAATAGAAAGATACAAAGAATTCAATAGAAAACTATATATTGCGTTTGTAGACAACAGCAAGGCTTTTGACTCAGTCTGCCATAACAGTATATGGAAAGCCCTTAGCTCTCTGAAAATCGATCACAAATATGAAAATAATATGAAAACTGTGTTAGCACAGTTAAACTCGAAACAAGGGGGGATGAAATTAAAATAGAAAGAGGAGTAAGACAAGGTGACTATCGCCTAAGCTGTCTCAATCATAGCTGTGCTAGAAAATGTATTTAAAAAATTTAAATGGAGTCAGAAGGGAATACTAGTAAACAATAAACATTAAGTCATCTGAGATTTGCGGACGACATTTTTATCTTTGCTGTGAGACACACAAAGAACTAGAACTTATGATAAACTCACTGAATGAACAGAGTATTCATCGCTGTCCCAGAAAATGTATTTAAAAAACTTAAATGGAGTCAGAAGGGAATACTAGTAAACAATAAACAGCTAAGTCATCTGAGATTTGCGGACAACATTGTTATCTTTGCTGAGACACACAAAGAACTAGAACTTATGATAAACTCACTGAATGAACAGAGTTCCAAAGTAGGTTTAGAAATGAATACAGAAAAAACAAAAATCAAGACTAGCAGCCTGAAGAGACCAAGAAGCTTGAGAAACAACAGCATTAAATATGATAAACTATAAAGAAGAGGAAGTTACAAGAAGATCTAATATAACTTGGAAGAAGTACTGGTCTTTTCAAGAATTTTTTAAAGGAATCTACAGCCTAGCGTTAAAAAGTTACTTACCTTCTACCATGTACTTGCCTTCTACCATGCCTGAAATATGGCTCACAAACTTGGACTTACACAAAAAAAATAAAAGACAAAATCAGATCCTCACAAAGAGCAATTGAACGAAGCATGCTAAGAAAGAGAAAATTAGATTAGATTAAGCACACAAAAATTAGAGATAAAACAAAGGCTTTTGACGCTCTAACCTATCCACTCAAACTGAAGTGGAAATGGGCTGGCCATGTTGCTCGTTTATCAGACGGAAGGTGGACCAAGAAAATTACGGAATGTAGAGGACCATATGGCTAAAGGAAAATTGGAAGACCATATAAACTTTGGAGTGATGATATCATACAAACAGCAAACATTCACTGGACAAAATCAGCTCAAGATAGGAAAGAATGGGAAAAACTATAGGAGGCCTTCACCCAAGAGGGATCCATGCACCTGAATAAAAAACTAATAATACTTACATAACAATTAAGAACTGCAACTAACAAACTAACAACTATTTTCAAAATGTAAATAACCTATATGGATAAATAAAATGCTTTATTATTATTATGCATTGGGCACCTAATTATAATTACATAATGGAAAGAAAAAATTCTTATGGACTTCAGGACTGACAGTAACAACAATAAATAGTTTGATAATTCAGCATGAAGTGTTTATAAATCACCTTAATCTTCGGTCTGTTTAAATAAGGACTTCCTTATTGTTACAACGAAGTAAAAAAATTTTTTTCTCAATATGTAAAAAGTCTTATTGATCAAATTGTTTTGTTACAGGTTGGCTGTGGTAATCAAACATTTGTTACAAACTTGTTCTGGGGTGTGTGTTCTAATGACATCACTTAGTATGAAGACTTTACACCCAACATTGAGGCAGTTTGCAGGCAAGCCACTATTCACGGCGCATTTCGATATAATTGAACTCCAACAGGTGATGTATAAGGGGTTATATTGTCTAGGGGTAGTTTTTTAAACATTTTAATTACAATCTTGTGCCTGCATACTTTCTCTCTTAATAAACAAATCATTAGGTATCAATTTAGAAATTTTTTTTCAGGATGAAAGGATTGAACTCTTCAGACATTTCTTGAATGACAAAATCAAGGAAGAGTTTGAGGTAGATGATGATGATGTGATCAAACTGGCCATGGATACTGCTGGCAACAATGTAAGAGACATCACGGACTATTTGAATAAGAAGATATTTAAAGCCGTGAAGAAAAAAAGTAAGTGTATTCAGCCACTGTTTGTTTTGAACACATAATTTCTAGGCCTTTTCGAAAGTATAACTAATTTAATTTATGGAATTTATTTGTAAACTAAACTGCAGCGATATATATAATGAATGATTAATACCCTAATAGATCACCGCTTGTGTTTATACTGTCTCACACAGAAATCAAAATGTGAGTGGACGTTGTATTGGTAGCGAAATGTTTTTTTTATTAGATGAGTTTCTTGCGCCCATTCTTCTCATCCGCTAAAAGATGTCCTGAATGGGTGGTAGAAAAAAATATTGGACGATTCAAAAGAGCTTTCAATAAGTCAATTTGAAAAAAAGTATAATTTCAGTATTATACCACGACGACATCCGTGGCCGGGTGGTTTGTACGCCGGGTTCCATGGTGACGCCGATTCGAGAGGTTCCCGGGTTTGAATCCCGGTGGGGACAGATTTTGTGTGACGAATACAAGCATTTATACTCCAGTCATGAATGTTTGATATGTATTTTTATATTTAAATATATTTATATATGTACAGTATATGTATTCTATCCGTTACCCTAGTATCCCATAACACAAGCCTTACAGTGCTTACTTTGGGACTAGGCTAATTGGTGTGAGTGTTGGAAATATTTATCATTATTATTTATTATTAAAACAGAAGAGAAACAATAGTGTTATAGAAACTAAACTTAAAAAAAGTTAATTCTGCTTTCAAAGAGCCAATGATCCTCCCAGAGGTATTTGTTAGTCTTATTACGCCTGTTACGCAAACTGATGAAATGTTGCTTTTTTGTGTTGTATATTATCTATGTTATGTTACCATGAGAAATAATACATAATTTTAAAAAAATCTTATGGTCTTGCTTTTCTTATACAATTTCATGTGATTGGTTAATGATTTTAGAGACTGAACCAAATGTGAGGCCCCGTTTAGTTGAAGATATCAGTAAGGACGAGGAAAAGGCGAGTGGCTTCGCAATCTGGGGCCAAGTTGGAGGACTAGAAAATGTTAAAAAAGAACTGACTGAATGCATCTTCTGGCCTATGATGGTAAGCATCTGTTGTAGAAGATTTTGTCTGAAATTACCTTATTTTTCATTGTCATAAAGAAAACATTAAAATAAAGTAGACGAATGTAAGCCCGAGCCGAGGGCTACCAGAGTCACGAATTTGTAAAAACCAATCCCGCACGAATGTCATACAACGTTTTTTAACAAATTTGCGAGAAAACAGTACCTATATAATGCGATTCAACTAAGAATAGGATCGACTGGGCGCCATTTTGTGATGTCAAAGCTGTCAATTGAAACAAAATAGGTAGAGTGAGCAATAAAAGTTTTTCTTCGATAAAACTTATTTACTAAGATTAAGTGAGAAAAAACATCAGGTTTTTTTTTAATAAAACTTATTTACTAAGATTAAGTGAGAAAAAACATCAGATTTTATTAATAAAATTTATTTACTAAGATTGAGAAAAAAAACACCGATTTTTAATAACATTTATGACTGTGTGAGTAAAAATATTAATCGGAATCTAGCTCTTCAATTCCGCTCAGCTCTGCATAACTACCGGAGTTGTCATCGTCGTCATGTTTGTTTACAAATGTTTGGTTTTTGATTATTCTAGAATTAGCTGAGTGCTAAAAAAGAGTTTCAAGATTTTTTGCAAACCATACTTTTCAAGCGTCGTTTGACAGATGGAGGTCATTGGCTTTCCTATTCTTATTTGAATCGCATTATACCTAGTTTAAGTAATGAAGCAATTTTTTTTCTCATAAGAAAATAATAATAATAATACATTTATTTCAACCACAAAGATCATAGCATGACAATGACAAAGTAATAATAAATAGTAAATAAATATGTCCAATAACGAGTGGTAACGAAAAAATTTTTTGGATGTCTCAAAAGAATTGTACTATACATCCAATTTGAATTAAGAACTAATAAATAAAAAGAAAGTAATAATTATAATAAATAAAATACAAATTAAATGACATCTCAAGATTTAATTACAATTGATCAATTCAATTCAATACATAGAATGCCGCGCATTTCCAAATGGTGCCAATTCCGGGTGGTGGAAATTAGAACATCTTTCGTCTCTTTTTCTTTTCTTATTATTAAAAGGTATAGATTCAAAGCGTTTTCAAGGAAGTTCAACCAAATTAACAAAATATCAGCAAATGATACGCACGGCGCCATGTACTGGAGCGTGCGGTAAAACGTTTTACCGCACGCTCCGTTGTATGGCCCGTAATTTTGTACTTTCGAACAATGCATACAACCTCCGTTAATGCATTTTTGAGCAAATACGTTGAAAATAACTATTTTCAACAAATTTGCTAGAAAACAGTTGCATTCCTCTTCCACCATAGGTTGCCTGGAAGAGATTGCTGTTTAGCAATAAGGCCGCCTATTGTACTCTTTCTCCTGTTTTATTTGTTTATGTCTTGTGTCCTTTGTTGTGTGCAATAAAGAATATTTATTATGTATTATTATTTTCGTAGTACCCAGCCCTGTTTCCTTCGCAATCGTGCGGTATCCTCCTGTATGGGCCGCCTGGCACTGGCAAGTCTCTAATCGGCACATGCTTGGCGCGACTGGCGGGTGTCACTCTACTCGCCGTCAAAGGTCCCGAGCTGCTGTCCAAGTATATAGGACAGAGCGAGAAGGCGGTCAGGGATATATTCGATAAGTGAGTTGCAGTATCATCATAAGCCTATTTATTTATTGAAGTGAAACTTCTTTACGCACGCTTGACTTGGAAGGGGGGAGGGGGGGAGTAAGCTGGCGAATGTATTACGCGTTACGAAAGTGTGTTCGGGCGAGGCGAACGGGTATTGCGTGGGGGATATAAGCAAGAAAAAGCAGTGCGCGCACACATTTTATTTCTCTTTCTGTTATAGCTAGTAAATGTATATAGTACATACACACACAAATATATAGATACATACAGATGGAGCTAAAGAAGTTTCACTTCAGTCGTGTGGTCATAAGCATACTCTTTTTTTTATTATTGTGAACTTACTAGGCCTAAACTGAAAGAAAAATAAAATTTACTAGAAAAAATCACACTCAGTCCTCCATAGGTATTAAGATGCAACCTCTCCTACGATCTCATTTATTCGGATTTGTGACAAATGTCAAATATCTAATACTGTTTTCTATAGGCATTGCGACATTTTGCTGCGTAATGGCGTAATGCATATTAAGGGAATATCTAAAATGGCAGCTACCGAAATCGGAAGTGAGCTTTTATTTTACAGAAATGCCCCACAGCCGGCCTGTTTGCTAGTTTTGTAGTGGCGTAAAACGCTTTATTAAAAATAAAGCACCAACGGATCAGTAAATACCTCGGTGATTATCACTTCCATGTGTCAAAAACCATTAGCGAATATGACTACGGGTATTAGACAAGATTCGTATCTGCACCTTCCGCTATCTGAGTGGATCTCTTAAATGTCTTAGTAAACTTTTCTTTACATTTATAAATCCAGCAGTTAATTACAGTAATGTATGTTATTTTTTAAAATTTGTGACCATGTATTTTTCAATTTCAATTAATTCAAATTGTTAAATAAAATTAAGACAAAATACGATCATTAAGGGCCCTGTCGGGCACGCAACTAACTGAGAGATAGAAGAGAGGAGTTACATTAAAATTTCTATGTTAATTTATAGATTGAAAGAGTTAGGTACTGAATGTCACTATAGGTAATTTATAAATTAATTAAGTGAAGACAAAGTCCATTACGTTTATATAAACAAATAATTAACAATATATTAGTCTCCACTAATATTATAAAGAGGAAAGATTTGATTATTTGTATTGAATAGGCTCCGAAACTACACCGAAGCGAAGCGAAGAAATTCCGGCACTGTTGCAAGCGCCAGTTGTAACATCATCAGTTACTCGGTGATCATGGCGCTTGCAACATTACCGAAATATCGGAAACTCGCTAAAACAAGGTACATGGTAACAATCCTGTAAATAACATAAATTATTGTAATGTTAGTGACCGTGAATGTTTTAAATAAGCAGTTAATGTTTACAGTAAAAATGTAATGGAAACTCAATAGAGTTTTTACCATACACCAGAGATATTGATATTTTAAATTACAATCTAGAAAATGATAGTTAATATATGAAATATTTACCGTGGATGCAAACAGCACGACGCAGATCTTTTACTTTGTTGTGTGGCTAGCTATTAATCTATATACTGTTTCGGCCATAGGCCTTCCCTATGGTTGGAAAAATTTGAGTGGCTGTGTGACCTGGGGGCCAATCGCCTAACTGGATTGCTTTGGAAAACGCTATCGCTTACAATTTCATTTTGTTATTTCTAGCCCCCTGAGGTTTTCAAATGCCTCGCGCTCTTTTTTTTTTTCTTTTGCATTGGTAATAACAATGTTAAAGAAAATGAGCGTGAGGTATTTCGGCGGTTAGAAATAACAAAATGAAATCGTAAGCGATAGCGTTTTCCAAAGCAATCTGGTTAGGCGATTGGTCCACTGGAGAAGCGCTTCTCCAGTGCGGGTTAGTAGGTGCTAATAATTGCATATGCAACCGTGACCGCTGAACGTTTGGACACGCGATATATTTGGCCACCTATCCTATGACCGGCTACTACGACAGTTGCTTATTTCATTATAGCAAACTAGGTCGCTCGCCACACCGTCAACGAGCAGAATTATATGGCTCCCCCATATACATCATCGGGGGATCGGAGGGGTCAAAAATATTCATCTAACAGAAAATGAATTATAAAGCGGGCTACTGACATCCCTGCCGCAGGGCCAATCTAGGGCGCACGGCGGTCAAGTTGAGCTAAACACACGCGTTGATAATAGCCAGAGTATTATCAAAAAATCAAAAGATCGTTAGGTAGGGGCATGGCTCTTTCTATGGTGTTAGCGCAATAATGGAAATACGCGGTGAAGAATTAGCAACAGAGAAAAATGTATTGTTAATAAATAATGTTTGTGTTTTTTTATTCCACATGTTGGTCCGGTCTTTATATACTTCTATCATTGGAGATTAAATTTCATGCTCATTATGAACTGCCGCCATCTTGATTGAAATACGTGCGTGATAGTTACCAACCTTGTTTGAGAAATTGACCTGATCGCGCTACACACGCGGCAACGTGTAGGGCGGCAGGGACAACCTAGGAACCAAGGGTGGTCTCGCGCCCATGCCGCCCTGCCGCAGGGCCAATTTAAAAAATTGCCCCTGCTTACCTACACACATCACAATTAAGGTTCATCCCCACTCTTACACCCTAGATTGCCGCTGCGGCAGGGATGTCAGTGGCCCGCTTAAACCGCTTTCTATCGGTCTGCCGCGTCGCGCAAGTGACCTGAGCATGTCGCTCTCGCTCGAGTCGCTCGACTAGCACATTATTCCACATTATTTTCACGATGCATATAACTTGCGCAAGTGCTTCAACTAAGCAAGTTACTTGCACCATGTAGAAGCACCTTGACTACCTGACGTGTAGGTTATTGTAAAGCACGTCCAGTTTTAGAAGTTTAGCACAGATTCCGTAGTTTTGATGTAACTACTGATTATCATGTAACATATAATTTTACGATTTTAAATTTCCATTACGTAACCTCTTGTTTAATTTCTTGAACAGAGCTGATATGAAAAGGCCGTGTATCCTGTTCTTCGACGAATTCGACAGTTTGGCACCCAAGTAAGTTTTGTACTAAAATATACACACATCAAAAGTGTCTAGGGATCAACATATATTTTTGCAATAACTTTTCTCCTGATTGATATTAATTAAAATTTTCTTTAAGGATTCATCAAATAAAGTGTTTTCGTTTGTCACAGTAACGATAAACCAAGTCACCTTTGCATTAATAAAGAAATTTGCCATTTTCCTAATAAAGGGATTTTTGACATTTGAACCACTAACACAAAAGTTCGAAAAAAAGACTGAAATAACAGTTTTCTCTAAAATTTTATTGGGTAACTTAAACAATTAATAATCCGTATTTCTACCGCGAACACTAACAACACAAGAACATCGGTTTGGCATACTCAAAATGAGTTCATCCAAATCACGCTGTGGAATGGCCGCCCATGTTCGTTGCAACAACAAAAAAAGGTCTTCTTGCGACTGGATACCCTCCATATTCGGCAGAGCTCTTCTCTGTAGCATATCCCATGCATGCTCAATCGGGTTCAAGTCTGGCGACTGAGCAGGCCAGGGCAGGACATTGATGTTAGCTGCGGCGAGAGTCTGTCTTACAACTCTTGCGGTGTGCGGTCGTGCATTATCATGCATTAACTGAAATAAGGGACCGATTTGCACTTGTAGAGGAACGATGACGTCTGATACAATCGTCTCAGCATAAATTTGAGCGTTGAGGTTGCCTCTGATCCAAATCAACTCAGTTCTTCCGCCGATCCAAATACCCGCCCATACCATGATGGTTCCACCACTATAAGGATGGACTTCCTGGCAGGATTTTAATCGCTGTTGGCGTCCAGGGGTTCTCCAGTGTCGTATACGTCTTGTATCCGGTCTCATACCAAAACGAGACTCATCAGAAAAGCACACGAAACGCCATTGTTCTTCTGCCCAATTTCTGTGTTCAAGAGCCCATTGATATCGAATCCTACGATTGTGCATTGCTATAGGTGGTACCCGTAGCGGTCTTCGGGAATGAAGGTTCACTTCATGCAAGCGGTTTCTGACTGTTTGGTCGCTAATTAAGTTCCCTGAAGAGTGATGAAGCCTCACGGCTAACATCATGGCGGTTATTGTTGGAGCTCTTCGAGTTAAGATTTGAATGTATCGGTCTTGTCTCCGTGTGGTGCAGCGATACCGTCCTCCATGGCGCTCAGCCACGGTACCAGTGCTTCGGTATCGTGTCCAAAGTCGACTGATAACACTCTGACTTGTATTCAGAGCTAAAGCCACAGTACGTTGCCGGGAACCAGCTTCTATCATTCCCACGGCTCTGAGCATTTCTTCCCTGCTTAAATGACGTCGCCGCTCCATAATAACGTTGGTTTTAATCAGTAGTAGGGAAACAGTAGCACTAATAATGTCTTCAATGCGTTGTATGTTTTTATAGGGAAAATATTGACAGCTGATTTTCATCTTTTACTCGAATTTGATTCACAGTTCCTGATTCAAATTATGAAATGCACCAAAAAGGATCCATATAAATTTATAAAATCATAAATTTATTACAAAGCCACATCTCAATCTCAAGAAATCCGCATAAAAATGCTTGATCCCTAGACACTTTTGATGTGTGTATGTAGGTAGCGCTTTTTGTTAAAGGCTTAGGAAATTCATACTATTAATAAGGAAGACCCTTTCGTCCATTATTCCTGACAGTAATGTGTGAAAGCGTCGCCACTTTTGTTTTGAACCGTTGCTTTTGAATGACGCAAGTTGAAAGTTAAATTTGGCATGACAATGCCGATTTTGGCATGATTATCCAAACCTTAAACAAAATTTAACATCGGTCTCTGATTTTCATTCTGTATAGATAATGCAGGTATAGACTGATGTTAAAATTAAAGCTTGGGTTTAGAGAATCATGCCAGAATCGACATCATTGTCATTGTAACATTGCACAGACGTGGCCACGACTCGACCGGCGTGACGGACCGCGTAGTAAACCAACTGCTGGCGCGTCTGGACGGGGCCGAAGGGGGCGCGCGCGGGCCAGTGGTGGCCGCCACCTCCCGCCCCGACCTCGTGGACCCCGCGCTACTGCGGGCCGGCCGGCTGCAGCGACACGTGTACTGCGCGCTGCCTGACCAGGTACCCGGCCCCGGTGACGTCACCCCCCCCCCCCCCCCCTCGTGGACCCCGCGCTACTGCGGGCCGGCCGGCTGCAGCGCCACGTGTATGGCGCGCTGCCCGACCAGGTACCCGGCCCCGGTGACGTCACCCTCCCCCCCTCGTGTCCCGCGCTACTGCGGGCCGGCCGGCTGCAGCGCCACGGGGACTTCGCGCTGCCTGACCAGGTACCCGGCCCCGGTGACGTCACCCTCCCCCCCTCGTGCCCCGCGCTACTGCGGGCCGGCCGGCTGCAGCGCCACTTGTACTGCGCGCTGCCCGACTAGGTACCCGGCCCCGGTGACGTCACCCTCCCCCTCCCCCCTCGTACCAACCCTGACCTCATCTTCTACTCAGTGGAGCTCTGGAACCTTGCTCACCAATAGAAAGACAACACCACTATAATAAAGTTTTGTTTCACTGTTTTATCTTCTGCCACTTAAAAAATACTTCTCCACACAGACACTCCCTTATTAAATCTTAAGGTGTTGTTTCCATCAGAATGGACGTCTGGAAGTGCTCAAGAGTTTGGCTAAGAGTGTAACATTAGAAGAAGACGTGGATCTCGTAGACTTGGCGAACCGCACTGAAGGATTTTCACCCGCCGATCTCAAATCACTGCTGGTGACTGCGCAGTTGGCTCGACTTGAGGCACACTTGGTAAGTGCTTAGCCTAAGTTTAGTTTGTATGCGATTCCCGACAAACTGTGTTAACGTGTGTAATATTGTGGAAAAAAACAAAAATTCAAACTTGCCCGTTATGAAGTTAGCAGCGAGAGCAATTATGCGCAGTTTCAGTTCAGTGAAACCCCACGCGCATCTGTATGTCGTTAATGCGCAGCGACTCGCGCTAACTTCACAGTCGCAATAAAATTTGAATCGCAGTATACAAATCGCACTTCTAATGCGCTCTGAAGTTGCTTTACGCTGGTGTACTGTACAATCCTAAAAACAACCTTCGTCCCTCTGCCTGTCTTTTGTCATTGCGATGCTAATTGCGCAATGTTCAGAGCGGACTCGAAGATTGGATCATGATAAGATAAAATTGGAATAGTAGTTTCGAAATCACTTTTAAAAACATAAATGGAACAGAAACTTTTTCGATTTCTTGACATTATAAAAAACGTTGGTAAACTAAAAGGGAAATCCTTAGTCCACGGGCAAAACTCCAAATAATATATTGTCAAAATTATGTAACAGGAAGGCGGCAACTGCGTGTCAAATGTGATTGGTCAGAAAATAAGAAGTTTGTTTCCAAGGATAAGCAAAAATCTACCTTATTGATGTAACAAAATAAGTTTATGGTGGATCAGGAATAGAGTTGCCAGATGGCCGGAAATTCCGGGATTGTCCCGGAATTTTGCGTGTTGCCCCGTGTCGAGTAATTAGACATTATTGTCCCAGATTCCAATAATGTGCTAGTTTCGTAACAAAATAAACCAATAACGAATGACACCTGCTTGATGTTTTAATTCTGTTGGTTGATGGGGGGTTAGATTTGATGGTTTATTTTTTCAGGGGGTGCAAATGTCCTGGAATTGATAAGCCAGCATCTGGCAACCCTAATCAGGAATAAAATTGGCTGATTGTACAAAGTAACTTATATGTTATATTTATGTTGTATCAGATGAGCAGCGAAGACAAGAATACGGACACGGTTGTGGTGCGACGGGAGGAGATAGAGATGGCTCTAGCCGACACGAAACCTTCGCTGTCTGCTGAACAAAGACTCTTCTACGACACTATGTATGTTGAACAAAGTATCATCACCGACCTTTTAATGTCCCCACTGCTGGGGTAATTTTTTTATGTTAAATGCGTGGCAAAAAAGCGTACGGAACGGTATAGACGCTTGCGATAACAAAAATATTGTTGGCACCGTTACCCACCCTGAACCAGTCCCCGTGAAGACCTGGAAACTTATTGATGTGTAACATCTTTCCTCTCGCTTTCCTGCAATTTGTGGGAGTGATTTCGTGAAATGGGACTGAAGTGTGTAACCGGAAGTCGCGAAAGCGCGCGCTATTTGATTTGATTTTAGAACATAATGTTCAAATGGCTTATTCCTTTTGTCATCATCATCATCATCATCATGTCAGCCGTATGACGACCACTGCTGAGCATAGGTCTCCCCCAAGAATCTCCACACCGATCGGTCCTGCGCCACTCGCATCCATCGGCTTCCCGCGACCTTCACAAGATCGTCGGTCCACCTCCCACAGAGCGTCATCCGGTGCGTGGTCGCCATTCCAGAACCTTTCCGCCCCAACTTGGTTCGGTTCTTCTTGCTACGTGTCACTTCAGCAGAGCCATCATTTGAGCGATATCGGTAACTTTGGTTCTCCTACGGATTTCCTCATTTCTGATTCTATCGCGTAGGGAAACACCAAGCATCGCTCTGTCCATTGCTCGCTGCGTGACCTTGAGCCTTCTTATGAGACCCGCTGTAAAGGACCACGTCTCGCTTCCGTAGGTCATCACTGGCAACACACACTGGTCAAAGACTTTTGTCTTGAGACACTGAGGTAATTTGGACGCGAATATTTTTCTCAAAGTTGGACCTACCTAACTGGACTGTCTGTCCTAGGTAGACGTAACAGTCGACAACTTCGAGTGTAGTGTTCCCAATTTTAACTGGAGCGGGTACTACATGGGCATTGGAAATAATTTTCGTCTTCTCCATGTTCATCTTAAGACCCACTTTTTGGGAAGCACTACTAAGATCTTCGAGCATCGTGTTAAGATCTTCCAAGGTCTCAGCCATAAGAACTACATCATCGGCGAAACGAAGGTGCGAAAGGTACTCGCCATTGATGTTAATGCCTCGTCCTTTCCAATCCAGAAGCTTAAAAATATCCTCCAATGCAGCTGTGAACAGTTTCGGAGATATCACATCTCCCTGTCTCACGTCTCGCTTCAATTGGATAGGATTGGAGCTCTGGTTCTGTAATCGGACTGACATAGTGGCGTTTTCGTAGAGGTACCTTAATACCTCGACATACCTGTAGTCTACTTGGCACCTTTGGAGAGACTGTAACACCGCCCAGGTCTCAATCGAATCGAAAGCTTTCTCATAGTCCACGAACGCCAAACGCCGTCTTCTGTATAACCTGCCGCAGCGTATGAATGTGGTCTATGGTACTGAAGCCTTTGCGGAAACCGGCTTGTTCGGGAGGTTGGAAGTCGTCAAACCTGCGTGCGAGACGATTCGTAATGACTCTCGAAAACAACTTATAAACATGGCTAAGAAGCGAGATTGGTCGATAGTTTTTCAAGAGTGCTTTGTCACCTTTCTTGAAGAACAGGACAACCCCACTTCTGGCCCATGCTTTTGGCGATCTGCCTTCAAGGATGATGGAGTTGAAAAACCTCTGGAGGACTTTAAGTATCGGCTTACCGCCCACTCTCAGAAGTTCTGCTGTGATTCCATCATCGCCCGCCGCCTTGTTGTTTTTAAGTTGTTTGAGAGCCATACTAATCTCATACAGGCTGACGTCCGGGATATCTTCAGTGTAGTGTCGAGTAAGCTGACTTTCTTAATTTTGGTACGGTGGGCTTTAAAATACTTGGACCCTACCGTACGGACAGTATCTACCACCGTGTTGTTCAGATACCACCTTTTGTAGTAGGTTTTATTTCTTTTTTTACTAATATGAGGTGAGGTTTCAAATGTTACACAATATACGCGATTACTGTAAGGCTCGCTCGATTTTTTTTATTAGCAGCATTTGTTACAATGATAAATTGTAAATATTACAGCGATAGTACTATAGCCAAAATCACAAATTATTATTTAAGGTAAACGCCACATGCAAAGTAAATAATAACAAGTAACATTAGAAGCACATTAAAAGTTCGCACATTTACAAAATTCTGTTACAATTTCTGAAGTTACATAATATCAACATACTGTTACGTGTCGGGATGGGGTTCGAAATTATATGCAAGTTACGCTTGACCGTACTTTATTCAACACACAATTAACACACAATGTTAATCACAGTACACTCACTAAACACTGTATTTCACTATACAAGTCTCTAAACTATCGCACTTGAACACTTTTGTTGCACTTTGATCGCCTTTGGATTCGCTCCGAAATCGCTGTTGAAACTCAACTGTCTGCGCGGCGCCAATTGCGCTTATATACGCTAATCGACGCATTCTAGAAAGTACCTGTTAAATTGAGAATTAGCTAGCACCCGCGAGCACGAAGTACCTACCTATACCTACGCAGCTAACACGCATAACTTGTAAACAAGTGCAGATGTCGTTGCACTTTCTCCCTTACACCGCATTACATAAGGCTCATTTTAGAATGTGCCGCATTACTCAACCTCTATCGCGACCCGCGGTGCTCTGGCACATTCGATCTCTAGCACTTTCGCGGTTCTGTTTCGAGAGCGTTTGTGACAATACTACAACGTGGTCAATTTCAAGTGCTGACGAAATCTATTGAGGCTAACAGCATAAATATCAATGGACTGATCCAAAGAATTTAGAAGTCTACTTACTCTAGGGACAAACGAACTTGAACCCAATACCAATACCGTCGTGCGAAGAGGTGGAACTAATGTTTTTATTTGAGTTCTGGGTAATCTACGTGGTACATTAAATATAAAGTAAATAAGAAGGCCAGGGCAATCTATTTTATTGTTAAATAATTATTAACCGACTCCGACTGACTTATTAACCGACCGAAACACAAAACCACCAAAAAGTTGTGTAAACCAGGGATGTAACGGAGGTAAATTTATCGGAATCGAAGTCGGAGTTTTTAAATTTGATTTATCGGAGTCGGAACCGGAGTCGGGAAGGCAGAGTCGGGACAAGCGGCAGAGTCAGCAGTGGTCACAAGAGAGATATTTTTCATTTAAGAACAAATGAAAACATCATTCATTCAACCTTTTTTCATTTAAATTTACTTATTATTAACACAGACTCCCAACGCGACGGGTATGAACCAGTTCGTAACGGTCGACGCAGACCGCCGTCGCTATTTGCTATGCCTCGACCTCCGATTAAAACCTCCGATTTAAAAGTTCCGAAGTCGGATCCGAAGGTGTAATAATAATCGGAAGTTCCGCCTTATCGGAATCGGAGTCGAAGCTCCGTAACATCCCTGGTGTAAACTATCAAAAGTTTGTGTTATTTTACTGTAGTCTTCTGTAAGGTAACTTCCTCAGACGGGCGCCCCTCGAGATATTAAGTTTTTGGTCACCCATCCAATGACCGACCATTGCGAAAATTGCTTAACTTCCACGATCGCAGCCATAACGCGCTAACGACCTCCGCTATCGAGATCCTCATTTAATGAATGAGGATATCGAATTGGTTCGCGCTAATGACTGCAGATGCAGACACTATTAACAGCTTAATGTTCTAACTAAAGTATGGAGAAGCTAATGATATTTATATTTGGTCACCCATTCTTTTATCAGTTATTGAGAAAGTTGCTTTTCTTTTAAGATCGCTAAACACTATCATCGAGCTCATCATTATTACTAGTGGGTCACTAGTAATTGAAAATGAAATGAAATGATTTATTTGACATAAATAGGGAAGATTGGTGGTCATCAAAACATTGTACTTAGGCATAATTAACCATTTCAAATGGCATGCAAATATTAATTATACAGCAATGAATATTAAATTCACTTCCGGACACACCCACCGGCCCACTTAATGTTATAAATTTCAACGGTCTGTAGCAAACATATAATTACGTTAGGTTGAGCAATAATAATATATTTTTGAAAACATACGAATGTTTTCATTCCCGGCTGCATCTGCAGTCGTTAGTACCCACCAAACCGCACTGGGCCCGTGTGGTGGGTCATGGCCCAATCTCCCTATTCCATGAAAAGAATGAAAAAAATGTGATGATTCCACATTTTTTTCAGTTTCGTAGACGGTTACAAAATCATTTCGCTTTAACAATAGTACAGTGAAATTAATACTTCAGGGAGTACCTACAAGTACTACTTTAGTAGTATCGGTAGTCCTGATTTTTTGCAGACTTGTTTCGATGTTGGCCCATTGAAAAATCAAAATTTGCGACCTCGAGGGCATAAGAAATTCAAACAGCAGGATTAAATTATTTTATGTGAATTGAATTTGATTGTATTAACCTGCCGTGATAATACCTTTATTTGTATGTAAACATTTTTACACACGTCTATTTAAGCAATCGCTAAAATCTCCTAAACCCATGGATTTTTATGTGCTTTATACAATTAGTCAGGTAACGCGTTAACTAGTTTCTCAAGCATGTGAACAAAACAATAGTTTACACCGAAGCGAAGCGAAGGCGGGTCACTAGTAAAATATATAAAGCTATTAATATACGGGCTCAATATGAGGAGCGAGGATGCGCAGGTGGTTAGAACGATTGGCTGCGATCGTTGAAGTAAAGCAACTTTCGCGGTGGTCGGTCATTGGATGGGTGACCAAAAATCTTCTACCTCGAGTTCCTCCGTGCTTCGGAAGGCACGTTAAGCCGTTGGTCCCGGCTGCATCTGCAGTTGGAAGTACCCGCTAATCCACACTGGGCCCGCGTGGCGGGTCATGGCCCAATCTCCCTATTCCATCCATAGTGAAGGCCTGTGCCCCAGCAGTGGGGAAATTAATACATAGGCTGATGATGATAAGTATTCGTTTATTGTATTCTCTTACAGATACAGAAGATTTAGAGGTGAACCTCTCACACCAGAGCAGAGGATTATGGCGATGCAAATGCAAAAACAGAGAGTCACATTAGCGTAAACAATTTTTGTAATAATTGCTCGAGACATTGTTGAATTTTGTTCCTATTTATATGAGTATAAAGTGCAAAATGCAGTGAGTTTAGTCATCAATACGTCAATACAATGCTCTTTTGAGGTCCAAGCACGGACTTTGACAGCTTCGTAATCGTATTGCATCGTCAAAGTTTCTATGAAAATGAAGCAGCGCCCCCTACCGGATGTATGAACAAACTGGCTCCTACCATACAAAAATCTGACGATGATGATACGATTACGGATCTGTCGAAGTTCGCGCTTGGGCCACCGATGGTGAAATTCTTGCTGCTTTCTAAAATATCTGTACTTGTAATGTGATAAACAGTTATATTCAAGCGCATTATTATAAGGGACTTTTGTAGAAAATCCTGAAAAAAGTTTATCAGGTTGAATACAGGCCGACATACGTAGCTTCGCTATCTGGACGGGCAGTTTGCAATTCTTTTTTTTTAAGTTTATTTTCATTCGATTTTTGTACATATCTGCCAAACTGTTTGTCGGCAGTGAAAATGGACGAATGTTGAAGCTTTTATAAAAATTGTTTTGATATACATTTCCAAACAGATTATTCCGCTATATAAATCAACTCTTTAATAATAATTTAAATCACTTTATATTGTGTTAGACTTTAGTGGTCAAAAGCTACTAGCGGAATTGCTGCTGTGTACCTTGTTTTCTTGGTGAGTCCCATTTGATATTTGCAACAGTGCCCAAATATCGGCGACTCGGAAAAGCCAAGGTATTGACAGCCGCAGATCCAAGTTAATACAAACTGTCAAATTTCAATAGATTTTGAATCTTATATCAGGCTTCTTAAAGCTCAAAGTTGATTGCAGAAAATTTGAGAGTTTTGGATAACCTGAACTTTTAAAGGCCACGATTTTTTTAACAAACTGCCAACAAACCCCTAAATAACTATAAAATCACTTTAAGCATCTAAGCAAAGTAAAAAGTACACAACTAGATTAGATTGAAAGAAGTAGTTATGTTATTTACATGGCTACAGGCAATAATGTAGGTAATTATAATATAAGGGTACTATTGTGTTGAAACCGATGTTTTTTAAAATTATTTAATTTAAAGATTATGACCTCAGTTCCCGATTCTCTTTATAACTAGTCTCTTTTTCATCAATAAGAGACAGTTATTGAATTCAAATGTTGCTAACAGATTTTTTTTAATCTCACGAGGGTGACTAAATTAGAAAAATAATTTGTAAAGGGGTGTTTGAAATAAAACAAGGCAGTCCTTGTCGGTATTTTACACGTTTGAAAATTGTGTTTATCGATTGACTTCTTGTTCTTTTTATAAACAGAAATTTTAAAAAAGACGAAAAGTCTAGAAGAAGTAGAGAAGACTTAAGAAAAAAGTAAGAAAGATCAACCCTTCAACACATTTTTAGCTCAATGCCATTATTTTATACTTTGAATTGTATATATATTTATTTATTGATAAGTGCTATTTATTTTTATGCCATAGAGGGATCACGTCTGTCGCATTGTATTAAGTATTTGAATGGACAAAGATGATGCAATGTAACTAGTTTTTTTAGGTAAATTGCTATCATTAAAGTTACCTGGACAATACGTCAGTTACTGCATCGGTACAAAAGCTGTGATTTTAATTAAAATTTTACCAACGATGTAATGACTCATTTTACTGTCTGTAATAAACAATTTGAATTTAATGTGAATGTGTAATAGAAAATAGTTTAGTCAATTTAAATGTATTGTAATCAAGGATATTTATTATTCTTCCATCTATTTGTTTCATATCTAAGTGATATATATGCCCGGTGTCCGATTTCATATTAAAGCATACCTAAAACACATTTAATGAAACACTAATTATTCATAAAAAACTTAATGTTTACGTCAGTGTGTAATTTACAGCATCAAAATTCAGTAGTCCAAAATGAACTTAAATCGATTGCCTTTTGCAATTATATTTATAATTAATGAAACGCCTATTAATAATAGTACCTGGCTGGTGCATCAGTATTTATGTAGTAAATATTTATTATTATATATATTTTTATTTATTTATGTATTTTTTGTTTTTTTTTTGTAGTGACGGTGCTTTAATGCGTAGAATATAAGTTGAAGTTATGTTGTTATTTTGTTGTAATTTTTTTATCAAATCGCTGTTATTTTTAATAAATTTGAATTGGGAAGAAGTTGAAGTGTTTATTTTATCTGTAATTATTTGCTACCTTCATAATTCGAGTTATAAAACTCCAAGCTCGAAATTAATGTAATGAAACGATAACTCGATCGTATTAAATGTCTTGTCCACCTATTATCAAACGACGTTTGAGCGATTATGAATTTGGATTAAAACAAAAATACGGATAGATACGGCACTCGCGGCTCAAAAGTGATCCCCTTAAATTGTGGTGCACGATCACAATCCGCTGTAGTCACAATTGGTCATTCATACACGCTGCATGTACACTCAATATAACAATATTGCGTATATTCTGTGTTATAAAGATAAAAAAAATGCCTTCGATGCTTTTATAAAGAACACAAATAGTTCATAATCAAATTTATATCAAATGCCTCGGTAAATACTTCTCATTCGTAAAACTGTAAAACCATTTTTTTTTTCTCAATAATCGCGGTTTGTTGTGAATGTTATTTACGTAATCGCCATTTTGTTATCAAGAAAAGGACAACAATACAGCTCAGCCGTTCGCACTCTGAAGCTGATTCGCCGTTTCGCTCGCTCTGCGTTGAAGCGTTCAGTTCTTTCCCGCTCGATTGAATGTTTACAGACGTGTGCGTGTGTCAGAGTTGCTTATGTAGATGAGTCGGATCATATTTTATTTTATGCTAGTATGAGCGTACCGTATCTTTTCTTTTTGTTTAAATCTAAGATTATCAATGAGCTTCATCAGTACAGTGCGACCAAGATCTTGTGGCCCCTAGACTGTGATGAAATCTGTATTAATAAGTAGGTACATGATGGGTGTATTCCGTAATATATACCAGTATACTGGCCAGTGCTAATGACGTCATAATCGACACTATACTGGTGAATTGTTCCGAAATATGTTGGCCAGTGCACTGACGTCATAAATCGACGAAATATTAAAAATTGAGCGCATAACGAAGATTTTTTATTCACCTCATCAATTAAAAGGAATTCTTTTTGTTCAGATGCCATTATTGTTCTTTAAATAAAAAAGAAATAAAATTCGAATGCATCTCACGCACGCTCGGTCATACGTCATATTCGTTTTCCCGGTAAAATATGGTAGCATACCAGTACAATATGGCGTCGGATTCGTGACGTCATTACCACTGGCCAGTATACTGATGTACATTTCGGAATACACCATTAAGTGAGACTTTACTAGTCGCGCTCTATGCGGAAACGTTATAATTTGCAATAACTCTGAAAGAGTAATAGAAAATATGAGAGGTTTAATTACAGCTTCTTACGTAAAAAGGGCTTATTTAAACCTTTCTAAAATTAGTTCCGGATTCGGCCAAACGCCAGAAGATCTGGGTCCCACTGTATGCCTAACTTTTAGGAGCATAACGCACCAACCGCGTCGGATGGCGATCGCGCGGATGTTAATTTGTAAAGGCATATAGGTATGTCAGGGTCTTCAGGTGCGTCGTGGGCAGCAAGATAAAACAGTTTTATGGAATGTAAATTAAATTTATTCTTGGAGACACGTTAAAGTAAAGTTTATACAAACCGCCATTACCCATGAGAGAGAGAGAGGATACAGTAACAAGGACAAAAAATTAATTCTTGTTGGTGTTGCCAACAAGGTACGACAAAGCACGGGCATCCGCAGTGGCCTAAACACGCGGATGTGTGAGCCATACAAATTGACATCCGCCGCGGTAAGGGTTGCCAGATGGCACACGTCGCCGTCTATACGTGTTAATTAGGTTTCTACTAACATAGTTATCATATTTTTTAATTACTAACATTTAATGTATTACCTATATCTGTATTTATTTTAGACTATAAGGTATTTATCTATGGGCGTACGTTGCCTGACTATAAACAAATAAATAAAAAATTTAAATAAATATTGCACTTTAGTGCAATCCACCCACTGCAGTGGATGTAGGTACCTACCTACCTATCTATTAGCTTTTTTTGGATTCTTGGATGACATCATTTCAGAGAACAAGTTTTAATCATCCTTATTTGGTTAATCAAGAGAGCATTATCGATAGCTGCACTTCGCGTTCCGCAACGAACTGGTCGTAATAGTTATCAATTAGATGGTATCTATATTCAATCTCCTGAGACGGCGCAGCGGCGTATCGTTAATTACATACAGCTTGCCGACTCGCGTTAGCACGCCGCCGCGCCGTGATAAAAGTTTGCTCATCAGAAACATTAGGCGCTTTCCTGACACACGATTCTGCGCTGTGCAGTAAAGACTATTAGCGCCACGCCGCCAGAAATAAAAGTTCAAAGCTTTTTATATTTAACGGTTCTAGGTATTGTGTATTTATGGACGTCCACCCTCAATCATCTAGGCTCATTAATGAAAATAATGCTAAATGACTGACTGGTTATAAGTCAACCAGCCGGCCTATTTCCTAATTTTTTTAACATTTACAGTGTGCAACTAAAGATAAAATTGCATATCCATCGATGCTTTTCAGAAAAAGTATCTTAGTGGCATTGTAATTAAGCAGTAATAGATCACAAAATACCTCGGTGATTATCACTTTCATCTGTCAAAAGCGTTGGCAAATAGGCCTACTAAACCTTCAAGAGCCTACTTCCAATTCTGGTTTTGATAAGGGTAAAACTAGAAAAGATATATTTTTCAATAATATAAACACAAAACAAAACCACTTTTGAATGAAGTTATGTAATATTTTATGAAGGCATTGAGCATAAATAATTATGTAAAAGAGGAAATAACTTAGGCACACTTTAAGCACCTTTTCATTTCCAAACAAAATTTTCTGCTGAAATAGTATTGCGTCCCTTGATTTTGTC